ATAGAATGCTCCACGAAAGCCTCCTTGTTGTCGAACACGACAAAGCACATTCCGCATTGAATTTGCGCCTCGGAATCGATTCCGTCTTCGAATCTAGAAACGAGTTTTATGTAACAAACTGTTAGAACGTTCTTAGAAATGTTTGGAGGAGGTACAATGAAAAACGTTACTAGTTATTTTGTTGTTTAATAGTAAACAATTTGGGTCAACAGTGAATGTAGCAAAGCAGAAATGATACAAAGATATTATTTGTTTTACACTGTTTAGCTCTGAATCGTTTCTTTAAACAGATCACTTCCCTATTGCAAGTTCTTGGTCAACACTCGGTCCTAAACACTTGTGATTCCTAAGCAAGCTCTTAGTAGTGAATTTTCTGGTGCACAAATCGCAAACATGTGGCGTTTGGCCGGTATGAATCCTCATGTGAATGTTGAGCGCGGATTTCTGGTTAAAACCTTTGGAGCAAACGTGGCAAATGAACGGCCTTTCTTTCGTGTGTATCCTCCTGTGATCGGTCAAATTCTGCGTCCTGGCGAAGCGTTTGCCGCAGAAATTGCATTCGAACGGTTTCTCTCCGGTGTGCGATCTTATATGGGCTACAAGGGCCGTCTTGTGGCAAACCACTTTGCCGCAAATGTGGCAAACCATGCTATCGGGATTGCCGTCGTGGAGCTTCATGTGGCCTTTCAGCGATTTGATGTTCATGATTTTCTTGCAAATCGTGCAGGTAAACTGGGGTTCGATGTGGTTCGATTCGTGGTTCCTGAGGTGTCGTTTAAAGTACACTTCGTCTTTGAATTGCTTGCCGCACTGCAGGCAAGTGTATCTGAAACCTTCGTGATCGAGTGCTATGTGTTTCTTTAAGGCCGGCCTGGAATTGTAGCCGTTTTGGCATAGCTCGCAGCGGAATTTGTATTTGTTTAAATGGATATTGTTAATGTGCAAGTTCAAATGTACTTTAGTCGAGCACGCCTTACCGCAATAGGTGCAAGCGAAACCGCCGGTATTGTGCTTAATACTTTTGTGAAGGTTTAGATTGTTTTTTCCGTTAAATATCATATTGCATACGTCGCACGTCCATGTTTCGTTAGTGTCGGTTTTTACACGTAGCCTCAGATTAATCGGTTTAAATACAAACGAATCATCTACCGATTGTGCTATATCTGACCTAAAATAATAAATTCTGTATATCAATTTGTTTGGTTTATGTTTATCGAAACTTTCTTTATACGAGATACCATATACGAGAAAAAGTAATTGTACATATGTAGTTCGGTTTGTATACAATAATACAACTATTTACTGTCCATTAATCTGTATAATTAAAACAAATTTCATTTCGAACTACAATTACATTTATGATTTTTTAACACAGTCGCATTAATGAATGATTTATCGCAAGCCGGGCAGTTATAAGGCTTTTCCCCTGTGTGGTATCTCATGTGTATGTTTAGGGCCGGTTTTTGCCTGAAACATTTCTTGCAAACTTTACAAACGTAGGGTTTTTCGTCTGTATGGATTCTCAAATGCGTCCTTAATAAATTGTTATTACTAAAGGCCCTATCGCAATAACTACAAACGTAAGGCTTCTCGCCGGTGTGCGTTCGCATGTGATTTTTTAAACTGTCTTTTCTCGCTACTGTTTTCAAGCAGATATTGCACGTATAGCATTCTTCGCCTTTCCTGTGCTTTCTCACGTGTGCCGTGTAAGTGGACCTATAAGAATTACAAACCCCTATAGATATAATCGAGATTGACTGTATGTAATTTAAAGAAAAAACCGTAGATTGTTGTCACAAATTAATTACACTTCTGCTAATGACATCGGCGGTTTTTCCCTTAATTATATCGGGTGTATCTAAGTAACACCGAAAAAAATTTAAGGGGTGATTCTGTGATGAAAATTAAGGTGGGTACTTGGTATACAATTTTTTGAAAAACCCCTCTCCACCGAGGATTGAAAAAAATGGCTTTTCTTCTTTATTTTCCCTGTATACTAAGCTAAAAACACGAAACTTCGCGACCTTTATTTGACAATTTTTTCAACCCTGAAGTATTTTTAGAAGGGGTCGAAATAGTTAGGCCCTAAAACATTTATTCTCAACTTTTTTTACATGAAAATTGAATGAATTGAAAGTTTTTACAAAAAACTTGAGCATTTACGAGGAAAAAAAAATAAATGTAGGCATTGCAAGCTCAGGTTAAATGCTACTTAACATGAACAAAAACCAACCAAATATATTTTATACCAAGTGCCCACCTTAATTTTCATCACAAAATTTAGATACACCCTGTATACATGGTGTCTATAAAAAAAATCAATACTTAATTTAGAAGTTGGCAGACTTTTCTTACATTTGAGTAGTTTAAATTTATATGCAAGTCAATAATCTAGAAATGTATGTATAAGAGCCATATTTATTTCCAACATTTCTAAAAAAAGTGTAAATTTGATCGTCGAACTCGATTATTTACTGGACCATACCTGGCTGTAAAAACTTCAAGACACAGCCTACAAGTATACTCCTTTTTTTGCTGATCGGGATTGTGAAGGATAACGTGGCTATTTAGTCCTTGCAGGGTTTTAAATGGTTTCTGGCAATGCTCGCACTTGAATCTAAATTCTTCGTGTTCTATTTGATAATGAACGTTTAATAAGGTTTTAATGAAAAATCCCCGGCCGCATTTGTCGCACGTGTACTTGTAGTTTTTCAGGTGGATGTTCTGCTGGTGTTGCCTGAGAGTGAGGGCCGTTTTGAACGTAGAATCGCACGATTCGCATTTGTAGCTGTAATCGGCCAAATGGACGGTTTTTTTGTGCTGCAACATGGTGTTTTTGTACAAGAATTTTTTCCCGCACATGTCGCAAGATACATTTCGTTCTTCGTGAGCTCTCGTGTGGTTTTTTAGCTTTGTCTGATTCGAAAAGATTTTGCCGCAATTCGAGCATTGCCATCTAAAATCATTAAAAATGCTCTAATATGTTTGGATATTAAATTTTAGGCTTGTTACTTATGCAAGAATTAGTCTAGGCTTTAACGTTCGATCATTGTGAACATAATTTCGAATTAGTGTTACTTACTTTCTGTTGATGCAAACTCGCTTGATTTTATTCATAATGAATAGATGAATTTAGTCGATTAAAATATAAAACAATTTATTAACTATAATTTTTCATACAAAAATGAAAAGTTGTATAAGTAAAGTAATAAAGTTTTTACGTTTGATTTAATGTACATACATGCATGTATTAAGTAAATTAACAATTGTAAATATTAAATAAAAATTTTCTTGTTATCGATTTTTTTAAATGCAATTTAAAACAATGAAAATTAACAATAAGTTTAGTATAATATCAAAAATATGAAGAATTTTTCGAGATTAAAAAAGGATTATAAGTTTTTTTGAAGCATTTTATTGCACACAAAAATTTCAGTAGACAGGTTGTCTTCCTCGAAATTTTATACCCTTAATTTCGAATATACTAGTATCACAAATTTGTAAAATTACCAGCGAGTAAAAAATTCTTAACAAGCGCCCAAAAATTTCGAAAAATTCCCCAATATTTTTCTAGGTTTTGTTCCAGAACTATGCCGAGTTTGTAAAACATAAAGTACAATTAGCAGGAACAACCTTCTTAAATTATATTATCACAGACTGCATATGTTGAGTAAACCGAATTTATTTATGCGTTTTCAAATGATTATCCCTCGATTGCTTGGTAGTAAAAGTCTTTTTGCATATGACGCACTCGAAAGGCTTGATCGGCGAATGAATCCGGAGGTGAACCTTGAGATTGTAAGCCTTTTTGAAGCCTTTGCCGCACATTTGGCACTGGTAATGCGCTTCGTTCGAATGTATCATTTGATGGTTTCTCACCGTGCCGGGCAGCCTGAACCGTTTGTCGCAAAACTTGCACTTGAATCTCTTGTAATTCGTGTGCATGTCGATGTGCGTTCGCATGAAGTTTATGTGCATTTTTTTACCGCAAATGTAGCAGAGGAATATCTCGTGAGCGCGCCGTTTGTGAGCCAAATATTCCTTTTTGTTGTCGAATAACAGCGGGCATTGGCTGCATTTCTTCTTGTCGCTTTTAATGGTGTTTTCTTTGCTCTTTTTGGCGCGTTTTAAATTCTTCGAATCGCATTCGCCTAGTGTTCTGTGTATTGATTTAAAGTGGGCATTGTATTTTCTCTCAGTCTTGAATTTTAAGTTGCAACAAAGGCAGTTGTACTTGTGGTTAGTGTCGTGATTTCTCCGGATATGATTGCGAATATCTTCGGAATTAAAGTACGATTTATTGCAAATATCGCATGTCGTTTTCATGCTATCGGCTTCTTTTTGACAACGATCTTCGTGGAAGCAATTGTGATCGAAAAACGTCTCTTCTAGCATCGTTTTGCACATTAAACAAGAATACGTAATGTCCAAATGCAAGCCCGTTTCTTCCGTACTCAAAACATTATCGCACTTCCTACAGTATATTTTCAAAAAAGCTGTCAAATTCTCTGTATGTTTTTTAAATTGTACGAGATTTGTAAATGATTTTTCGCAATACGGGCATTCCTTTGACGAGCCGTTCAACGATCTGTAAAATACTGAATTTAGAACGTTTGTTTATCCGATTCGTAAACTGATTATCCGAATCTAATTTATTATAAGCAGGTTATCTTAGTCTGAATTATTTAAAGTTGGATAACCTATATTTGTTGTAATAAAACTTACGTAGTATCAGCTTATGTCTTTGGTGCAATTGTTTAGTAATTTCTTGTTTATCGCTTATGCACCTTTTTAGAACACTAAGGGTGGATTTATGCTCTGCTAAATGAATTAACTATTACGAATTAATTTAAAATTTCACTAGATATTGCAACAATATCATAGTATTATCTAATAAATTTATCTAAGCATAGCTAAACCCACCATAGCCTGAATAAAAAAAATCAAAACATAACAAAACACATATAATATAAAAATACATAATATAGGTACAAAATAAAATTCGATAACAAAATGTCCATTCAATTCTATCTATGAGTCTTCATGTGATTATCTCTCCATTGTTTAGTGGTAAAAGTTTTCGAGCAAACGGGGCATTCGAAAGGCTTGACTTCGTCGTGGGACCTCATGTGGACTCTCATAGAAAATGAGGTTTTGAATCCCTTTCCGCAGGTGGTGCACACGTGATTGTACGAGTCGCTGTGCACCAGCATGTGCCGCTGCAGGTGCTTCTTGCAGGAGAAGCTTTTGTCGCATTTGGAGCATTTGAAGCTGTCCGGATTGCCGTGGACGCCCTTCAAGTGCTGGCTCAAACTGACGATGCTCTTGCCGCACAACGTGCAGATTTTGTACTTCTCTTCGTTGTGCTCCTGATACCTGTGCTTGCGGTAGCTGTTTCTCGATTCGAATTTTATGTTGCAATCTCTGCATCGATTTTTCCGCCTGGTGTTAGTAGATTGGTTCTGCCTTGGAGGTTTTCTTTTGAGTTTTCCTTTGATTTCGGATCTCGCATCGTCCGATTCGATTTTGTTAAGGAGGTGTCTAAAGCACTGGTGCTTGACGATGTCTACGTTTTCTAACGATTTTTTGCAAAATGCACATTGTATGTTCGAACGAGAGCATTTGTGATCGATCGTGTATAAATCAGTGCATTTCGAACAGTACAGTACTTTGTGAAAAAGTACGTCCAGATTTCGTAAATTTTCGAATAAACTCTGAGGACAATTCGTCGATTTCCAGCATCTAAAAATGAAAGCCACATGAAGGATGATGTTCAGCTTCCTATTTTTATGCGATAGTTAACTAGTAAACTAGGTAACCGATGAATTTTGTCGAGTGATTCCGAAATAAATTATCAAATCCTTTTCCTCAAAGCATTCTTGTCTAAGCAAATAAAATATGGTAAAAATTGAGAAAAGGGCAAAATTTACGGGACAATACTTCAATACTCTTTCGACGAGGAAGATATTTAGTGCAATTATTTTTCGAGGTACTTTGTTTAGTAACATTCTGCAGATATGCGACTAATTAAGTGTTCGTTTATACAAATATTTAAACTTACTGGCCCGTATTCAGTGCCTCTGTTTAACTTTAGAGTGACTCTAAAAACGCGTCTTTAACTTGACAGATTTACATTGTTATGGAGTAACTAGGGACTAGAGGGCGACTTTAGAGTTACTCCTAACAGAGGCGCTGAATACGGGCCAATGTCTTTGCTCTTAGCTCCATCAATGTTTATATACTATTTTTTGAATACCTTATGTCCTCATATTTAAAATTTCTAGGACACTCATCACTCACAGGGTGATTATAATTAGTCATGCAATTTTAATCCTTTACGAGAATACAAAATTAACATTCTGATTCAATCATATTTTAAAAACAAGGTTATCAATCATTTTTTTCATCAGACATTTGCAATTGTGGTAGAATTTTAAGTCTAAAAAAGCCCGTTTAATTTACATAAATTTTTGTACACATTTTGTACACATAAAGTGTGTCCGAAAGTCTTTATCGAATTGTGTGATTATTAACATTCGATATCAAATATTTTTTGGAATTCAAGAAGTTTAATTTAACGAAATCCTTACAAAATTGCTCTTATTTATGGGGGAGGTCCAAATGTACAGGTCCTTCAAATTAAATATCAAAAATTATAAGGGCCATAAACGTGATACATATTCTTGTCCTCAATGTGAAAATTTTAACGTTGTTACAAGAAATATCCACTTACCTTTAAACGCCTCTCAGCTACTCCTCGTCTTCTATTACAAATTTCATTTTAGATTATTTTGGTCAATTTACACATCAATTTCTTCTACAATTTCAATAATACACGTCGATTTATAATGGTTAAAATTAAATGTAAAAATGTCTTCTAGAAAATACTTTAAAAATTAAGGGAGACCGTTAAGTTGATATATTCAACTTTTTCAATGTTTGTATGTACATATAAGATAAGTTAATCAATAATGCTGACTTAATTGCAATTAGAAATTGATGATAAAATTGTAATGCAAATGCGAATTTTGAAAAATTTAGTAAACTATTATTATTCAAATATTTTGATTAGATTCTATCCTATAATTTGAACTTATTCTTTTAAATTATTTCATCAATTATTAATAGGTACTTTTCAATTTAATTCAAAAATATTTACCTAGCATCTCAAATTTAAATGAAATAAACAGGAATTAAAATTTATTTCATATCAAATAGTTTTTTTAATGATGTATGGCCTAGGTAATTCTTGTTTATTTATTCTTACTATTTCAAATTTTGATCCAATGCAAAAGGGAAACAAAAATTAAAAAAAAAACGTGTAAAATATTTTATTTGACAGATCGTTTAATCGTTCTGAATTTTCTCTATCATTGTCTCTTCCCGATCACTGGAAGTGGCCTATGAAAAATCTGGATCTCCTATGGTGACGCCAATTCTTCAGTCTTCATCTTGATAAATACCTATGGGGTTTAGGGTACTTGTGGTTATATTTATTTAATTACAAATAAGCGAAGTATTACAATTTCAAATATATAAATTTACTTATAGTCATGACTTTCTACCAGCTGGCAATATCGCGATATAAACCAAGGATCCTTTTAATTTCCAACCCAGTTTACAACTTTGCAATTACAATCCATGTTATCCCCACTTGTTTGAACGTATATACTAATCATTCAATCATTTTCACACGACAATAAAATCTACAATTTGTATGCATACATAAACCACTCTAGTAAAATTGCGCTATCAAAATCTCGTAGCTACGTATTCTTTATAAACATACCAATGACCTCTGAGTTGCCGACATGGCAACACCATACCCGATCATTACCCAAACACGCTAGCGTAAAACCATTGAACATCAGACAGACCATTATTGTAAAAAATCCATCGGCGCAACGCAATCGATTTTATAACCCACGGTGAACGACAAAAAGCTTTAAAATCAAAGCAAAACTCTCAACAAAACTCACAGCACACAATCGATGACTAAAATTTAAAACTGGAAAATGAATAATTGATAACTGCAGAAATATATTTTCTCCAATTTAATTAAAATAACATCACTATATTTTTTGAGACACAAAAACATTTCACAATTTCAACAAGTCTCAAAACAATTGCTTTGAAACTAACTGTTTATGGATGAGACAAATATCAAATTTTGAAAATAAAATAAAACACATTAAAATGTGCATGCTTCAAATAAATTCTTGTATATCAAACTGTCGAAAAATTTAAAAAATTTTAAGTTTTGAATTTATTTAAAGCTAGCTTCGATATGAAAAAATAAGTAAGTACTGACAACAAATACTCGTTATTTGAATCAAATTCTAAAGTGTGACTATACTGAATGTTAAGAAACCTGTAAATATAAATCATAGTTAATAAATGTTAAGCCAGTAATTATAATTTTGCAGAAAGTAGCTGCATCACTATAATGATGTACTTAAAATTATTTATTAATGTATGAGATATTTTTAATTGGATCTAAAATTACTCACTAGATAAAACTAGATTACATAATTATTTGTTGTTAAATGTAAATACTAAAACGCAAAATGCTTTAAAGTGTAAAACATTTTTGATGGTACATATTTACTGCCACAACAAAAAATTACGTGAAATCGTAAACAATTCGTTTCAAAAACCATGAAACTTATTTTCTTAAAAAATATTAAGAAAATTTAGTAGTTTCAAAAACAAATTTCAGATACACGAGAAAAACAGCAAATTTTCGCACGTTCTTTTATTAAAAAAAATAAAAAGCAGCAAAACGCAACTTTTTTAAAACCAATAAAAGAACTTGACGCAAAAATTGCTAGAGCTCGGTATCCAAAAAAATGTAATTATGATTTATAAAACGAATAAATAGGGGTAGAGGGATATAAAAATAAGTGACCCAATCTTAACCATTCAGTAAATTCAAATCCACAGATGTTGTCAGTATTATTAAAGAAAATCGGAATGTATTCACCATAAGTAGATGTAGAAAAAAAATTTGCAATTATATAAACATTAATAAATAGTTCATAAAAAAAAACTGATACTCTTAATGTGAATGCATTCTGAATACAATAAGGTAGGAATTTGGTATGAAATAAAACAAGTACTCACGGTGCTTCAACTCCATCCTTATTAACTCCAGATGGTCCTGGTTGATCATCAGCACTCGTCGAAGGTACATCAGCAAACGATGGTTCCTGATCATCGTTATCACTATCTTCACTATCGTCTTCCATCTAACATAAATTACACGTTTAATCGCATGCATAAATATTTTGTAGGAAGGAAAAAAGAATTACTGTATAGAATCTTACTTTAGTCATTGGTTCCCCTGAGTCATCATCATCATCGCTATCCTGGTCCATGGCAATGGCAGCTTTAACGGCGGCTGTCCGTCGCGCCCTTTTCGGAGGAGGTTCGTCTGCATTATTTCTGGCATTCTGTAACCACAATAATTGACAATTTAATATAAAACATACGACTCGTTTCTTCCTGTTCATTACCTCCTCGTGTTTCTCGTTATATACAAAGTTTTTGTCATCGTGGTCGTCTTCGTGTCGGATATCGGGCGGGTCTATTGTTTCTTGTTTGACGAACGCGTCAGCGGGTTTGATTTGTTGTGCCACAGCCGAAATCGTCCCGTCAGTCATTTTCGACGTCATGCCAGCTTCGCCCAGCCATGTTAACAACTGTTTTTCCGCATTCGCGCTCGTATTCCAAAATTCGTACAACATATCTAACTTATAGGAACATCCATCACATATTTTTTTAGGCAGTCGGTCGTCACGGGATAGCTGCAATTAACAAAACAATTGTTTATTAGATTATTCGTAATTAAATATATTTCGTTTCGATCGTTTTTTTTTTTTGTTAAAATAAACATTGTACAGAGGGAATCGGGCTACAGAATAATCAAATATTGTGACATTATTCTGCGAAATACTCTGTTAATTTACTATAAGCCCATGAGAAAATAACAGAAATTACATTACAATTTCTGTTATCAAGCAAAATGGGCTACCGAAATAAAAATCAAATGCAAAATAAACGAATCCCGTACTAAAAATATACGCGCTTTGATAGCGTCGATTCTACGCCAATGGAAAACTCATGAAACGACTGTACAGGCTGTACCTACCATAAAAAGTTACACAAGCTTGTTCGATAAAGACGAGTCGAAACGGGTCAAGAATGATTGTACTAAAGCGAAATGGCGGCCGCGTTGCCAAATCTTCACATATTTCCCTAGCTATATAAATCGTATTAACAAAGATATTTATTGGGATTGAGCCATTTTCGGGTAAATATACTTGTACATTTCGTAAATATTACTCGAATGTTTAAATATTTACTTCTAATTATATTTTCTTAACCACCAAGATTTCCAAACAAGACATATCTGGCATCACTGTAGACAGACGCGAATGCGGCGTATAACAAAGAATGTTTATTTCAAAAAATTAAATTCACTATTATAATCAAATGAATTATCGTGAAAAGCATGATACAACGTAAACAACAACAAAAATATACAAAAGAAATAATCAACCATTAATTATATCGATCAATTTCTCATATCACGACTCCACCCTGTATGTTATTGATTTTTTTTTTGTGGTGTTAATACCGCATCAATAAAGTTAAACACATCAATAAACTTAGCAGTGTTTCAAGTAAGCTATATTTCTTTAAAATAACTAATAATCAAGACCCTTAAAGTTTATTTATCAAGCCAACGCCTCGACTTTAAATCTAAAAAAATCAACCCCCTCGTATAAAATCCTAATCGAATGCCAAAAAAATAAAAAAGATCTCGTCAATATAAGCAAACAGACCGTTAAAAAAGTTTAAAATCGTAAATATTTAAAGGGGATACGAAAACAGCAAAATGGCGGGTGACGCCGACTTACCTTCACCGGTAGACACGAACTAATTTTCAGAAATATTTGCCTAATATCACCTTGTTCCTCGAAAATTGGTATATTAACATCGTCCTTAACTAAACACAGTCTGCATAATTGTAACATACTACTATTATTATCCATTTTTGCTTCTTTTAATTAAAAAAGTCATTGGAGCTCACTCACAGCACTGGCACAAGCTCGACGCTTGATGACGAAATGGACTGGAAGGCCGGGGCGGAAGTCGGAAGTTGCGCACTAAACATAGCGACCGGTTGTTAGGTGGGGTGTTTCCTGTTGACAATTTGAAATTTCCCGCGCAAAAATCATCAATAAAAGAATTTTTTCGAACAAATCATCAAATCAATAGACTAATATGTTAATTTTTTAAGGAGTAATATAAAGAGTATTATGCGTGTTGCAATTATCAGAAATTTTCTCTTTTGAGAAATTTTGAATTAACACAACTACCTAGTAGTTATGCAACACTTTTAACATCTAATTACATTCAGTTGAATAACTAAGATAAATTGTGGTAACTATATTTTTATACATTGATATATATTTATGGACGAATTTTAAGCACTTATTAATTACATATTACATTGTTTGTACAAATATTCCGTTTAAAAATATGCATAAAGTAGTTATGCAACACTTTTAACAAAGTACCCGAATAATCCCAGTAGTCGAGACCACACACCTCAGAAAAATCATTTACAAACATAACCTCTCTTTATTCTTGCAACATAACCTATGTTTTTGAATAAACTGAAACCTCTAAAATTACGGCAAACATTCAGTAAAATGAGCGTATTCGTTCAAAAGAAGAATCCGATAACAGGCACCAGCGATTGGGTGGTGCAAAATGAAGATTACGACTACCACCAGGAAGTGGCGAGGTCCGCGTTCGCGGATATGCTGCACGATACAGAAAGGAATCAACTATACGAACAGGCTTTGAAAGCGGCTATAAGTAAGAAGCATTCGCTGGGAGAGAAGGCCAATGTTTTAGATATCGGTACTGGCACTGGATTGCTGTCTATGATGGCTGTGAGAAATGGGGCGGACTCAGTTATAGCCTGCGAAGCCTTCAAACCGATGAGCGAGTGCGCTTTGAATATTATCAAACTGAACGGATTCGAAGGGAAAATCAAGATAATACCAAAGAGATCCACCGATGTAATAGTAGGAGATACTGGCGATATGCCTGAACGTTGCAATATATTAGTAACGGAAGTATTCGATACTGAATTAATCGGCGAAGGGGCTTTGTCTACATTCCAACACGCTCACGATTATCTTCTAGAAAAAAACTCGATTGTAGTTCCCGATAATGCGACGATATTCGCACAAGTCGTCGAATGCTCTTTGGTACAAAATTGGAATAAACTCGATAATATACACAGCAGCAATGGAAAACTGTTATTAACTGTTCCTGAATCAGTTCGAAAATGTCCAGGATCTGCGGCTGTACATGATATTCAATTGAGCGAACTGCCGAACGATTCGTTTAAAACGATTATTTCTCCTGTTCCAGTACTAAAGTTCGATTGGTCAGGAAAAACACGTTTAAACTTCGAACGAACCGTTTCAAACACTTCGATAGCCGAGCGAGATGGAAAAGCCCAAGCCGTCTTCATGTGGTGGGAGCTACAAATGGATACGGAGAGTAAAATAATATTAAGTTGCGCCCCAATTTGGGCGCACCCCTGGCGAAAGTGCAAAGGGGACGTGGAGATACCGTGGAGGGATCACTGGATGCAGGCTGTATATTATTTACCCAACGAAATGGACGTAAAAAAGGGCCAGGAAGTGCATTTAATAAGCTCCCACGATGAATATTCTTTGTGGTTTAATTTATCCCCTGCTAAAAGTATTGGGGATGCGGATCGCACGAGTCCTGTGTGCGATTGCGGATTGCACGTGAACTTTTCTCGTACCAGAATCGGACAGATGAATGACCTTAGGAGGATTGAAAAATATTTGAGCCTCTTTGAGGAAACGTTGAACAAAGATAGCTGTGTTTTGGTTCTAGGGGATGGATTTTACGTGGCGGCTGCAGCTGCTAAACTAGGAGTTAAAAAAATGTATTTCCTGGAAACAAACACTTTATCGAGATTCATTTTGTTGGAGTATATCAAACACAATAACATTACGAACATTGAAATTGTACCGGATTTGAGCAAGTTGAAAGAAATAGATTGGAAAGATATAAATTGTGTAATAGGTGAACCCTACTTCACGAGCAGTATTATCCCATGGGATAATTTATTATATTTCTACCTATTAAAAGGGATTAAAAAATTCGTTTCGAATGACATACAAATCTTTCCTCGAAAAGTCGTCGTCAGAGCTGTTGCAATGCATTTTAAGGATCTGTACAAAATTCGCTCGCCCTTGGGCAATTGCGAAGGATTTTTAATGAAGAACTTTGACAAATTAATCGAGGTTCGTATGGATTTATTGTTATATATTTCTTGATTAAATTATTATATTTTAGAATTCGAGAACCTTCTGCGACGACAGCGTGGAAGCTCAACCTTTATGGGAATATCCTGGATTCGCCCTAAGCGAAATACACGATCTTTCAGAAATCGATTTCGTTAATTCCACAGGAAATTCCATCGAAAAGAAAGGCACTTTTACAATACAAAGGTTCGCCTGAATGTCTCCCAATATTACAATGTTGTTTAATTCTCGATTTGTTTGTACAGCAATTTAAACTGCAACGGTGTAGCTCTATGGACCGATTGGTATTTAACGGATTCCAATCGATTGACGATAACCACCGGGCCGGTTTCCCCGATAAAAATCGGCCAGAAAATCGACTGGGACATGTACACTAGACAAGGAGTTTACCTGTTTGCAGAAAAATCCAGCTCCAACGAAATAAATTATTCGTTTAATTTAGATCTCGATAAAGGAAATGTAATGTTTAAGTGTTATTAAAATGTAACAGTAAATATTCGTTTTATGTAATTAACCAATAACCAATTAAAATTAAGAGAGTAGTTGCTCGATCGATACAAACACATCCCATAGGCAACGTCGAGTTTTGTCAATATTCTGTCACGCAACGCGCCCGAACCGAACGCGAATTCGCCCCGAATTTCGGAAACGCTTCGACCATTAAATCGTCCATTTCCTTCCCAACAGAACCATGTCGGTGGCCGTCTTCGAGAAGCCCCTCACGCGCATCAGCCTGCCCGATTGGTACGCCAACAACTGGAACAACCAGCAAACGAACGAGCGGCGGCGATGCGACGCCTTCGACTTGCGGCACGAGAGCCGCCAAATGCGAAACGAGACCGCCGTCCGGTCCGATTGGGACACCTACCACAACAACGTCAGATTGGCCGATAGAATCACCGAGCTCGATAGATGGAGAGACGTGAGTACCAGCTCGCTTTCTCGGAACATCTTTCCCCGATTACACCGAAGTAAAACGCCACATTCTAGTTCCGATTCCTCACATTTTCTTTCCCCACATAGAGCAGAGGTAAACAACCTTATCCTCAACTCTTTATCGTCACATTCTAGTTCAAATTTCTCAGAGTTTCTTTCCCCAAATAGAGCAAAGTTAAACAACCTCATCCTCAACTCTTTAACATCACATTCTTGTTCCAATTGCTCAGATTTTCTTTCCCCAAATAGAGCAAAGTTAAACAACCTCATCCTCAACTCTTTAACATCACATTCTAGTTCCAATTCCTCTGAACTTCTTTCCCCAAATACAGCAAAGTAAAACAACATCAGAGTGCAACCACATCCTCAACATTTTATCATCACACTCCAGTTCCAATCAGATTTTCATTCCCCAAATAGAGCAAAGTTAAACAACCTCATCCTCAACTCTTTAACATAACATTCTAGTTCTAATTTCCTCGCCCAATTTGCACCTGTCCCTTCCGGTGAACGAACACCATTCAACATAACACCTAATATAAACGCGCGATTATTTCCGAAGACGCTCAAGAGTTGCCTGGACTACGTGAAGAACGAAATAAAGTTCCTGCGGCACGAGAAATTCGAAACCGAGAGGGAAATCGACGCCTTGCACATACCCATTATAGCCGAATGCATTTCCTTGAGGGACGGCCGGCACGGCAAAGAGCTCACCTACGACGAGGGCGACGCCGAATTGAAACGGGTAAGGAAATTCATTAAAAAAACGTTTAAAAAACCCCAGATATTCGCTAATAAAATTCTCGCTCGAAGGCATAATTTTTTTTGTGTGTTTGGAGGAATTGTGCTTGGCCGAGCACGTGAAGTGCATACTGAAGGAGAGGTGCCAGAACACGTGGGAGAAGCTGAACCGATTGGAAGAGGTCAAGTTCCGTTTGACCTTCGATTTGGACGATAAAACCGAGGCCTACGATATCGACAAGTGCCAATTGAAGAAGGACAAAACTTACGCCAGCATCACCTTCAAAATCGACCCTCTGCGCATACCGAAAGGGTAGGAAAACCGACCGAAACTTTTCGGAGTTTTATATCTAAGTAAAACGAGTCCCATGACTCATTTTAAAGGAAGCGAAAGCGCGATGACGTTATCATTGCAATATTTTCAAATCTATGCAATTTTGTGTTTTCCAAAACGGGAACACATAACATTGAACACTCACAATCTTTAATTTCCGTTAGGTTAAAATGAGTAGTTATGTATTCTATTCCACCTACACTCTTATCGATGATAACAGCAAATATTTCTAAACCGAATGAATCACTCGATAATAAAAATTTCGAGATGTAGAAAGAACAACGATGGCAATTTGGTGGTTTTCTAGCGTCCAAATTTTTTATTGTACAGGTCCTTGCCGTACGAAGGATGGCTGGCCCACAGCCGGAACACCAAGCAAATGGCCGACAACGAGCTGAGCGACACGCTGAAGTTCAGGGAGGCGCTCTTCGTGAGCCGCACGAGGGCCCAAAACGACATGCTGGCCCAACGGGAGTACGTGGACTTCATCGTCAGGAAGCGCGTCTACGAGACGCAGAAGGCGCGCAACGAGATGGAGTGGCAGTCGAAGAAGATCAAGGAGGAGATGGAGAAGCTGCAGATGGAGCTGAAGACGCTGCGGGAGTTTTTGAAAACCAACGCGGACGCCCTGAAATTGGCCGAATCCAGGCTGGAGTGTCGCTCTTATAGGTATACGAATTACATTCTATATAGGCGATGTAAAGATAAATAAAAGATGTAAAAAGATGTAAAGATAAATCCCTTATCGTGTCGTGAACTTTTTATGTATCTAAATACTAACATTCGAAACGAAAAACCAGCGACAATTAAACAAATTTACAGTTTACACGATTCCAATGTTATTTTTAAAAATACAATTAACCTTCGTCGTTAAAACTTAACACATCCGTCGACGACTTTGGCCTCGTTTAATGTCAAGTACGCGATTTTTTTAAGACTGTTTTTTTTTTTCGAATAGACCGGGGGCCGAGCTGTGCAGGGACGACGCCGACAAGGGCCTGAAGGAGGAGGTGCTGGAGCTGCGGAAGACGCGCAAGCTGGCCCAGGACAAGGTGAACTGCTGCAAAACCACCTACAACGCCTTGGAGGACCAGCAAGTGATCATCGATAGAGACGTGGCCGATAAAGATCACGCTCTAATGACCGATCTTCGAGTGCTGGACCTTAGAGCCAGGATGAGAGGCGGAGAGCCAGCCACTCAAACCGATAGGAACATCGAATTGACGAACATGGAAAAGGAGATAGCGAGAACTTGATGAATGTTCGATTGGTTCCGTAAATTATTGTGTGTATGTGTATGTAATATATGTAATTTTTTAACATGAATAATTGTGGTTGATTTATTGCTTTGGGTGTGCCGTGTCGCATTTTTTTAATCGTCACCTAAAAAAATGTGTAAAATACTGCAAATTTGCAATTCATTTGTTAGTTATTTTAGTAAATAGTCAATCATTAATTTATTATCGTCGATATATCGATGGAAGGTACTGTTTAAAAATAGCTGTTATTAGTCACGCGTATATTTATCAAAAGATTTTTATGTCTGGCGGATGATAATGATCAATTTGCGGACAGAAGAGCGGTTAGGAAATGATTCAGGTGGAAAATATTCCTCTTAGGTAAATCCCTCTTAAGAATGTGAGTTTTTTTTTTAAAGTGTGCACACTGTTAGGTTCGAAAATAGGTTCGAATTGAAACCAGTTCGATATTCAAAGGTCATCGCCAAGTTGCGAGTGGAAATACCAAATAATAATATTGTTATATTTAGGCAACTTTGTTGCACCTAAATTAAGTCATTACATACTTACATTATTATTTTAGTTTCCTAAATTACTTAAATTCAACAGGAAAATATTTTCCTCTAGAGTTTTATCTTTAAGAACTTACCCGCTATATTAATCACTATAGAATTTACTCAATGAATCAATGCAATTAGAGGAATTTACCTGTTATTTTTTAGCATGACTTTTATTGTTACAGTTATTACTTTCAACCAAACAATAAACAATATAATAGCTGGATTAATAGCAGGATTTGTCATTGTCGAAATTTCTTAACTGATTCATCCGATTTATCAACGCTTTAGTAGGTACTTTAGTTCAAACGTATAATACACGGAAATTAGCGCAATTTTATACTATTTTTCTTGCCGCAGGAATAATTTTTCCATTAGCACTCGCGGTTGATATTAATAGAGTCGATCATCTTTTTTTTCTATTGCGTCACAAATCTAATTTAAATTACCGCGAGTAATTTTTATCACTTATTTTACAGGTCTAGACCCCCTTTGAACGGATGGATTTCGCAATAAAATAAATTATTCATTACATACCAACGTCAATGCGGGTTGTCACCAATGGGGAAATGTCAAAAATAATTTTGCAAGAGGAAGAAATGTTGGGAAACAGTGCAGGAAAATCGTATATTTTTTTACTCTGTTATACATACAGGGTGATTCCTTGGCTTATTTTATGACTAAAAGTTCATATAATCATAGGTCCGCAAACGCTTCGTTACCGATCTACAGGGTGTTGAAATTTCAAGATTTTTTTGTTTCTTTTTTAGAGCTCCTGCAGTTTTTGAGATATTTAGCTCAAATTAGGTATAGGATATAGGGTATAGAGTGTAATTTGAATAGGATTCAACATTTATTATAATGTAATTTGATAGTTATTATTTAGGGTTTTTGGTTTTGTAAAATAAATCATTTGTACAGAAAATCATTTTTAATTTTTTTCTCGATAACGGCCACAGAAACGAAAAAAGTTTCTAAACAAAACAGACAATTAATTTTGTATTTTAGAATCTACCAGCGGCGAACAGCAAAAAAGTTCGGAGGGAGAAAGGGTACATGACCCCTGAAAAAATATCACCCTGCAGAATTCAACAACCATCTGATATACCCAATAATGTGTACCCTATAAAGCAATCTAGATTAAAATTTGAACCTAATATCTCATAAAGTGCAGGAAGTACAAAGAAAAAACCAAAAAAAATTTGAAATTTCAACACTCTGTAGATCGGTATCGAAGCGTTTGCGGACCTATGTCTATATGAACTTTTAGTCATAAAATAAGCCAAGGAATCACCCCCTTTCGGATGTACACGATATTTAGAAACACCCTTTATATCATGTTTAATAATTACGTAATAATGTAATTAAAAAATAATAGATTATCTATGTATTATTGTAACCTATCTGTTCCGCCCCACATGGGGAATGCAACCTACGCAGGACGAATTTGCTGGAGCAGGGAGCTGCGACAGGATTTCCCCGTACGAAGTGGAACGTGTAACGAATAACCACTTGCGGTAGGAGCTCCTCCGTCATCAGTTGTCATTTAAAATAAACTTCAAGCGAGGATCACGTCGTTATCGAAGTGTCCGCACATACACACATACTTATACGCTACACACACACACACACACACAAACACTAATAATAGATTAATAAACAATCATGATTGTCACCAAAGTAGTGAATGGTTTGTTGATCGTAGTGCTGGTTGCAGTGGTGACGACGCGTCTGATCGAGTGCTCTATCCAGCAGTATGACAGGTACATGGAGGAAATTTCGATTAGAGCACAATACAAGTGCGGCGAGCCGAAGCCTAGGATCATTTACCTGCACGAGATCGTTGACAACGAGACGATTTGGATGGAAAAATACGACAGTAATGCCAAAAACGTAAGTATATACCTTGTATATTTAATCAATTAGATGGGAGCGAATTCATTTATTTTATTAATGCAGAAGTACTCTCGGAGTATTAAATTTACGTGAAATTGCTTTCAGTTATTTTTTGGTATTGTAAAATTTGTAATTTATTAAAGGGTAATAAATATTTTGTAAAGTCGGGAACGAAAATCACAGATTTCAGAATATTCGAGGTTTTGGATGGTTTTAAAAGGTTTTTTTAAAACACATTTTTCAACAGATTTATTAGGTGAATTTTTATGGTTTTTTGAGAAAAAAATAAAATTTTTCCAAATAAGTTTAAAAATCTAGAAAATTAATCAAAAAATTGCTTGGAAATATATATTTATTTATGAATATTTCTAATTTTTTTAAGGATTTCTTAAGCATCATAAGTCTTCTTTAAAGGGATTTTAACGCTTTTTAATATAATTATTAATAATATATATTATAATTATTAATTAATTATATATATTTATTTTTTTAATTTTTATAAGCGTTAAAATCCCTTTAAAGAAGACTTATGATGCTTAAGAAATCCTTAAAAAATTAGAAATATTCATAAATATTTTTTTAATCTTTTAACAAACAATAAAATAATTTTTGTGCAGCATTCAAATATACACACACTCAAAAATGTTTTGCATAGAAGAATAAATATTTACCATAAGGAAATATTTGTAAAGTTACTTATCAAAATTAGTTTTTTTATCATTTACCAAAATGCATAAAAATCATTTACAATAAAAACAATTTATCAAAAGAAAATTTATATGATAAATACATAGCTAGTTACATTTCAACTAATATCTTTATAATACTTCGCAATTACTGTACATTATTATACAATTATTATACAATTAAAAACCTATAAATATCAAATTTTAATATGTAGTATTAATGCGTGCAATAATTTTGCTATAAAACTGATTAACTCGATCAATTCAATCGAGAATCGGTAAAATTGTTTATTATTTATAATTAAAATGCAGATTATTCTGTACTTTCCAGTTGTTAAAATAAAATATAAAACGTGTTGTTAAAACGTTTCAGTTATTGTTTTAGACTAATTAGTAATGTAATTAAATTATGGTTTCATCGATTCGACATGACATTTTGCCCTGTAATAAAAATAATTTGATAATGTACTGTACATAATATAAAAATCTGTTTCTATCTTCCTATAAATACACATACTCAAAAATGTTTTGCTAATTACATATGAAGTTGAAATTGGTTTTAAATTGTTTTTATCATATTATGATTTCTCATGCATTGAAACACCTGACTTCAAATTTTCACTTCTGTACATCCAAAATCTTTCAAACTGCTGCGAAAAATATTTTTTTTTGATTTCAACTTTGACACTCTGTATCTTTTTTATTTTCAATATTTTACTAAAGCAAGTTGGGTCAGATCGTAATATTTTGAGGCCAAGAATCTTCCCCTGCACTTTGGACCATTACTTACGGACCACCCTGTATACAACACACCCAAAATATTTTGTATTTAATATAAGGAATTATTCGTAAAATTACTCATCAAAATTAGTTTCCAAAAGGCATAAAAATCCTTAGAAATTAACAATTTATCAAAAGACATTTTAAACAAGAAATGTGCAGTGGCATTTTTACTATACCGAGCGTCCATGTTCGAGCGCTACAGTCAGTAGAAAGAGAGGATCTTGGCCGATCGGTATAATATGCAAAACATTTTTTAAGTATGTGTAGGTAAATATAATTAACGGTTTATTTTAAAATTGCAGGAGAAAATTAACAATAAAACCTCTCAATAGTTTTTTTCGAATAACTTATAAATGTATGGTCTTGATCGTTTGGAATTTTATAATTACATATTAATTTGTTTGTTTTCTTTCAATTTACTTTTTTTATTTTCGTATTTACCTGTTGAAAGATTCTCTTGGAAACCGTTATGTACACACTCGAAATTATCGACAGAACCCATTAACACCTATGCAATTATGCGAGTACAGTGGCTATCAAATTCATTGGTGTACGATGTAAATTATTCACCAGAATTTAATTTCCTAATAGCTTTAAAGCTTTAAAGCTCATCTCGAAAACGAACGGTACTCGCTTATAAAAACAATCTCTAAAGCTCATCTCGAAAACGTTCGACAGGGCGATTATAATCAATTGATAAATCAACTAATCATCGTCGTTGTTTTAGGTGAGACCTTTCGGGGTGGTGTTGCACAGGTGCAACAACTCCGGTTGTTGCGAGGCGTACAACAAGCGCTGCGAACCGCTCCACGTGGAAACGGTGACTCTGAGCTTCATGCTGGTCGTCCCGAGCGCGGACGGGACGACCTCCAAGAGCGTGTTCGAGGACCACGAGGTGAAGAACCACACGAAATGCAGTTGTCAAAAGATCGACGACAGTTTGATAAAGAAATAACAATGTTGCAAGGGGCTCGAAACCAACGGATGTACCATCTAAAGCAACCCAAACGACCAGCTAATGATTCCATCTGGGAGAGCGGTGGTGGATGAAATGCGTTATGATAGGTAGATTGACTGAATAGGTACATAGTTTTATTGGGTGATTTATTTTTAAGTTATTATTATTTGACAATTGAAAATAATCCGAGTGTTTTTGATCGATTTGCTATTTTGTCAAGTAAAGTGATAGTATTAAATCTGTGATATTTAATACCTCTAAACCAGTTTTAGTTTTGTGTCTACCGAGCGGCCAAGTTCGAGCGCTGCATTCGACTGATTCTCTCTTTCTACTGATTGCAGGGCTCGAATTTGGACGCTCGGTAGATTGTGCGTTGTTTGATTTTGTTTCGTTTGTGGTCAGGGGTATTACTAGAAAAGAGCAATCTAATAGGTGTAGTGAATTCGGTAGATTATTTTCTTGTACATAGTTTTAATTCAAAATAAATATGTATATTTAGTAGGCGTTAATAAATAAAAGGAAAACAAGCGATTTTTCGAAAATGATTAATTTTTCGTTAAACAACTGTATCTCGGTGGAACATTTTAAATTTTTAAGTTTTTTGGAAATTTGCCCAGTGTTTTTTTTTCGATATTTTCACGCATCAGTATAAGTACACATAATAATCGTATTTGTTAGGACTTGTGATATTACTATTAATAATTTATTTATTGTAACGAATTAATATAATACATAATTTTATAATAATGGCATTTGTATTTTATTTCCTTCTATATGTTTTGTGAAAGAAATAAATTTCCTTTAAATTTCCGCATTTATTTTTAGGAGGAGTGATGGGTACAAAACTACAAATAAATACAATTAAACTACAAATTTAAAAATACATTGTTTATTAATTACAATTATATCATCTTCCAGAATACCTACTTTTATTACAATATTAATCACCCAGTTACGATAAACTCGCTGATAAACTATAATCCTTGACGAATCGAGAATTGAAAAAAATATATTAAATTATGGAGAAATTGGTGCAGTATTTTTTGTATTATAAAACTCAACGACTTTAGATATTTAAATTTAAAAAAAATAAAAATTCTGGAATTAGATAATAAAATATCTTATTATCAGAATTATTTTATAAACTATATGATTGCAAAAAAGAGGTCAAGGGACGGAGTCCCTACTGAGCGAAATCGAAAAAAGATATTTATTGAAAAAAATTAAATTAATAGATAATAAAAAACGCAATTTCGCTCGGATAATTATTTTTTAATTATTATTTTTGGGCAACATTAAACTCGAATTACTCACATTACGAAGGTGAAAATTTTCAACCAGAAAAATCCATCTGAAACGCCCAATTGCAGCACGAGAATGCGACGTGCACAACACTTTCAATGGAAATAATTCAAACCCGAATTTGAGATGAGATGACATATTATATCAAAGTATTTTTAAACAATATTTACAGTTATCTCGAAATTTCGGTTAGGTGCTCGCGCGCTACAAAAAATATTTCACTCCAAGTGTTGTTGTCATGGCTTTTAAAACAATATCCGGCAAGTGCAATTATTAGACTTGTAGAGGAGTGTTATCGATTGTTAGGTAAATATTTGATAAACTAAGCAGTCCCTTTTATTAGAATAATCTAGATTCAACTTTGACCCGGAATAATAATAAGGATTATTTCGAATGTTTTAACCAGCACATCAGGCTAGGATATAGTTAAATAATTGTATGAATTATTGGATTTTTTGTTAGAGGAAACTTTCAGTTTTTTATACCTATATGGAAGGGGTTATTTATCTCGTGACCCCTGATGTGATTATATCTTTAAAACATATAGGTTATTTTGGGTCAATGTTGCCAGTTCTCAAATTTGAAATTATTATTTTTTATTTATTTTATTTGAGAGCAAAAAAAATAAGGTTATTTTAGTAGTTGTGGCAACGTTGTATTTGTGTAATCATTTCTAAATTCAAATTCGTACGATTTTTACAAAAAAAAACCAATAAATTAATTAGAAAATATCATCGATTAAATAGGTAAATTTAATATTTTGAAATACATAAATTTGCTTAAAATAGCTTATTATTCCGATTGATTTTTTTTTCTGTTCCAGATTAAAGAAGTGTCGCTTGTAGCGCGCCTATTGAATAAATTAGCGCAGAAAGGTCAAGAATGTACTATTATTGAATAATGCATAGAATTAGCGTGGAGTATTTATGAATTTGGACAGTAATACAACGGAGTAGAATCAATCAAAAGATGAGGCGCGCTTTAGTGAAAATCGGCTTAATAGTAAAACTTCCAATCGGCAGGAAAATGCGTATAAAATCGCACGTAGAGCCGGCGCCAATGCAGTAGGTTTTTGAAAACTGAAACTTTTCTGTACAACTATAGCCGTCTCTTTCCTCCGATAAACCACGGATAAATATACCTAGAGAATCCGATGGAATCTCGATATTAATCGTCTGCTATCAGTCTAGCCCGGTGAGCGTTCACACAATTCTAATTTTACCGCGGAAAATAAAATCTACAAGTGGCACTAAAAATAGTAAAAATCGAACAAAAATAAAAAATAAAAACTGGACGCGATCGGGCCGACGTCGCGGACACCACGCAGTGCCGAGCAAAGATGCGCCTCCTCCAATCGCTCAGGTCCTGCCAGAAGCTACTGTGCCGGATACAAGTTCTCGTCGTCCTGGTGGTGATAGTGATAGAGATCTTCAGCGTGGAGAGCTTCAGGCAGGCGAAAAACATATGCACCGATCCCGGCGAATTGGTGGTGGGCGAATCGTACGATTTGACATTCAGGTGTGCCGAAAATTCGGAGCTCGGCTGCGGAACTCCGCAAAGAAGAGCTATTTTGCTCCGGACGCTTTTGGACTTGAACATCACCACTCCCACCGTGCCCAACATGATCCTTATCTACAGGTAATTTTAACTGGTTTTTATTTTTACATTTTGCGCTTTTAAAGTCAATCGAACGCTGATCAATGCTAATAGCCTTTCCATGCTGCTATTAAGGCGCGGATACATTTGTCAAGTAGCTAAAGCAAGTTACTAAATCAATATACTTTTTGTTAGTTACTAAGGGAATTAGTAAGAAATCTCTTAAGTTGGCTTCCTTGTTTTTATTACGAATGAATAAAGGACTGAATAAATCAATCAGTCAATGACCTCTTCAGCTTTATTAATTAATTATAAATACTTCTATTTAACCACCCAAGTAATTGTTTGTTACATCTTCAATTCACTTGTAGTTACTTATATTTTTTTTTATTATATTCTCACAAGATTTAAAAACACCTGCTACGTTTCATCTATTATAAAATTTCTCGAATCTTATTTAAAATAATAAAAATCCCAGCATATATTTTTTTCAACAATTACACGGAAAACCTAATTATTTACTTACAACTAAACTTACTCTTGTAAATGCAAATAGATGCAACATTGATACGATGATGTAATGAAAAAAACATTACATAACAAACAAAATAAATATTACAAACACACACGAGAAGTAAAAAGATGTTTCGAAGAATTGGAGAAAAAGTTAGGAAATTACACTGAAATTTTTACTGGTCCTTGTAAACAAAGTCGCTATCTAACGGAATAAATTAGATTAGTTTTCTCGAAACTTTTAATCCGCATTTTCGGTTTACATTGGGTGTTATCAGAAGCGACGAAATGAAAGTTCAAAAGTACTTGAAACGTTAAAAATAAAAATATTAAATTCACATATTAATCATATTAAATTCCCGGCAATTAATTTGATAAAAAAATTGTCACTCAAAAAAATATTTAAGGGAATTATACGAAAATTCAAAAATCGGAGAGGAATGTTTACTCTTATAAAACATACGCACTAACGTTGTCCGAATTTAATTCAATTTTTCACTTAAAATTTCGCTGTTAATGCACCGCGAAGATTGATTTAAGATTCCATTGATTTATCGACGAATTAAGTGAAGTTTATTTAGATTATAATGGCAAATTGCCACGGCAAAAAATAAAAAAATGATAAATAGAACGAGTTTTATCACACTTTTTTTTAATCGATAAATTAACGTAAGACCTGACCGTTATCCTTCGAGCCTTTTTCTATATTATTAATCCGATATTTATTATTTTGACCTACATTTCAATTGCGAGCTAGAAATCGCGAGTATTTTTCGCTCTGTCTTAGTTATCGAGGCAATTATACCTGGGGAATCCCACGACCGTAGCCCATTTTATAGGTACAGTGCGATAGAAATAACTAGATACGCCATCTGCGCGACTGTATGACTGTGAAAACAAAAAAATAATTTCTGTTGCAGGTGCGAGAACAGCGGTTGTTGCGTAAAAGCGCACGAAGAATGCACCAACACCAGTTCCACAAAACACAAAATAAATTACACATCGAATGGATTTAGAGGAGTAACGACGATCTACAACCATACGGCCTGTTCCTGTCAGTACATCAGAGCAACGCAGGATTGCTTTCTATAAATACATGAAATTAATGTGTATTTTACCTACACCAAACAGTATTAGAAAATTTGAATTGGCGATATTCAAATTGCGCTTCACGGATTCCTTCGAATTATTTTCGATTAGATTTTCACGGGATTTGAGCGGTTAATGGAAATGTACGGAGTATAAATTCACGAAGATGAATGTATTGCTTAACAAACGACTGATGATGGTTAATTTATTTGGACCGGTTGCGATGAGAATGCGTGATTTATCTATACATTATTAATTATAGTTAGGGTAAAAATCGTCAGGGCTATATTTAATTTGACCCGGTTTAGCTGTGTAAATTTTATAGGAAATTAATTAGAAGCCTGCATTGATCTATTGGATTGGCTACCAGAAGAAAAATTCCCATAATGTGGTATTTGAAGCTATCAAAAAAACGCTTATTAGACAATCCGCATTTTGAAATTCGATTAAAAAAATATACATATTCCGACCGGTTCTTCAATTTGATTTATTTCAGTGAAAACGCCGGGCATTGTTTGTAAAATTAGTGATATCATTTCGAATCAAGGGGTCACCCAACCCCATTTGCATGTAATTATTATGTAACGTGGTTACTATTTTCAATGTCAAATAGAGTAGGTGTGGATAAATTACTATTTTTTTTATGAAAACACAAGTAATATTTTTTGCCACACATTCTAGACCACTAGAAAAGGTAGCTGTATAACTGTATCTGTGATTCGATGTTGTTCTAAATGAGTTTGACGAAAACTGGAATTTCAGTATCCCTGCTTAGCAAAACGAGTATATGTCGTGACTTCTATTAAACGTGCTAATGTTATTTAAACGTGGATTTAAGACAAAAGACAAAAGGTTTAATATCTTTTGGCTTTATTTTTTCTGTAAATAATAGTAGTTGTTATTTAATTTTTTATACTAGTTTTTGTATTATGTATATAGATGTAATAAACTATTTATTTTCATAAAAGTCTTACCGACTTTCAGTTACCTAATGTTAAAAGGATTTTACGAAAATCTACCAATACGGTATAAATCTTTCCTGGATTATTAACCAACTACAAATAAATGTACTTAATAGAAAAAAATCAGTCCGCGAATTTAATTTTTTTGTTCACTGGTTGGCCATCTGTAGTGCTTTGTATACCGTGCTTGATAAACCTTCCGGCTACCGCTTTGTCCACCTTAGGACGAATCGTCTGCCTCTCGTGAGCCTAAAATTAACAATATTAATTAAAACTCTATCTCTCTGTTTCAAAACGTACCTGTTTCGCCTTCAGCATATATTCTTTTATCCTGTTCAACTGATTCTTCACGTCGTTGTTATTCGGGTCTTCATTTTTTACTCGTAAATACAACCAGAACAGCGTGTTTAACGTATACGATACGAACAGATCGTAATCCACTTTTTCTTTTAACGTTAATTGCTCGTAAATATCGGCACGCTGTAATTTTTGGATCATTTCTTCTATCTTGTTGACGCTATTGTGGAATTTAACCAGCTTTTCTTGAACGGGTTTGTCTCCTTTTAATTCCGTGAAATCCATGTTTATTATAAAATACACTAATCACTAATAATGAATTGATTGTTATTATATGGTTTATGGTTTATAAAATACTTTATAATAAAAACTTAATTGGTGTGTATTTGTTAGGTTAGGTTGACTTATTCTTCGTTTTTATTATATTATAAAATAGGGTAATGTGGCTATTAAACTTATTGATCGAAGGCAATGGAATCAGATAAATTTGTCAACATGCTTGCCAGACGTTGTAAATATTCATTAATCTAGTACGATTTTTAATTAAAGTTTACTTTGGTTTGCGTAGTTTAGTTTGCTATAAGTAGTTACAGTAATTAATAATATGTTACCTGTAAATTAAATCGCTATAAATGAACGTTTATTGCGTTTTAGCAGAAAAAAATTAAATCTAGTACTCATCAAACATTAGTTACGGCAACGTCGATTATGTCACTTATGTCAATTGTCACAATTGTTATTGTCACCAAAATATTGTGGATTCGGGAAACAATTTTAATAATTGCAATAAATAACAAGTACAATGGCCGATAAAGAAAAGAGTAAAGTAACGCAATCGAAGCATTTTCCGAAAGACGGCCAAGTAATAATGGCCATAATGAAAGAAATGGGCATAACGGACTACGAGCCGAAAACGATAGTTCAACTGACCGAATTCGTTTACAGATACGCCACATCGATATTAGAAGAGGCCAGAATGTACGCGACGAATTCCAAGCAGAAATTCCTCAGCGTCGACGACGTGAAATTGGCCCTGCAATTGACCTGCGAATCGACGTTCACGACGCCACCGCCCAGGGAGGTGCTGATGGAGCTGGCGAACGTTAAAAACTACTCGGTCTTGCCGCCCGTGAAGCCCCACTGCGGGCTAAGGCTGCCGCCCGACAGATACTGCCTGGCGTCCAGCAACTACACGCTAAGGAGCAACAAGAAGAACGCCAAGGCGACGTTCGCGCCCGTGGGGCCCGGCATGAAGTTGACACCCAAAGCGAACATCAACTTCATCAAGAGGCCCGCGGGCGGCATGGCTAAGCAGACGGTCACGATACCCAAACCGGTGACCAAAGTCATATCGACTCCCCAAAAGACAGTATTAAAACCCAAAATCGAGATTATGCAAAACATGCAAATTTCCAATGAAATGGACTTCGAGATGGGTTCGTTGAAGCGAAAACGCGAAGACGATTCCGACCAAATGTTACTTTAAGATAGTTTGTAATAATTAATTTGAATGTCGCCATTTAAATGGTTTTTTCTTTATAATTCAAATGTTTAATGTATATTCTTTCGCAATCGAAATATAATAAGAAGAATGTCATGTTGACAATAATTGTAGATTTATTTCGAGACATGTATTTTAATGATTAATGCATTAATGAACAGATCTTTGCACGTAAGTGTTTTAAATTTCATTACGAAATAGGTACAAATTGTTTAGATTTTTTTTGTTACCATTATATAGATGTCTGTAAAATTTTGTGGATTTTTTATTGTCGAAAAAGAACCTATAGGGTATTTCCTCTGAGGTATTTCCCACTACAAGGAAATATTAAAAAAGATTTGTGGTGTTTGGGTTTCACACATAATTAGATGACATCAGATAAGTTTGGGTAAAATAACAGAATTTATAAAAGGGATTTTTGATGATTTAAGGACGGGTTTTTCAAGGTTTTAATTTAAAAATATCCACTGGTTTTTGGGTATGTCGAATTTTAACGTTGCAAAAAATCGGAGCAATTAATGTAAAAAATATAATAAAAATTCTAATTTGCAAATTATAAAAAAAGTAATAAAACAACGTTGATAATAAATTGTAAGTTAATGTAGTAATATAACGACAAATTCGAAATGTAATTATTTCAATATAACCCTCCCCATCATTCCTTTGAAAAAAAAAAACTACAAAAATCTACCGGACGTGTTTTATTCTCCTTCGAATTAATTAAAGCACCATCTCCAACGCAACAATTAAGAGCAACATAAAACCAACGAAAGTTTAGCACAAATCATAAATCGCACAGACCAATTTTCACGAGTAATTCCCCGAAAATCGTTGGCACGAAAAAGACGGCGAGCGTCGCGACGCCCGCGTGTAGGTGGCGGTTCCGTAGACCCGCCGCCGCCGCGCCGCCGCCCCTCATTCGGTCATTGGGCCGAGTCGCATAATCGATAGGAGTTGTGTTAGTGGCGGTGTGGGACAAGTTGCGGGTGATCGCGCTGTGAATGGTTCCCAGGCATTGCAAACGGAGAAGATGCAGCCTCCGCCGAGAAAGGTACGCTCAATTAGTCGCTATAGGTGTAGGGCTTCGATGCGGCCCTGCGAGGAGCCCTACGGGGTTTCCGCGATGCGGAAGAATATGGTGGAAGTTTGTGTGCATTTGTACACCCTTTATACCTATAACCTAGTGACATTTAACGCTATACTAGTATGCAGATTTGTGTTACAAATTACGAAATATATGCCAAAAAATTCTGAATTTCGATATGCCAAATTTCTAGATGAATATATGAGTAGATTTTAGGTCTTAAGTTGAGGTTTATTAGTTAGCAATTTGTACACTGCAAGTAGGTTTTTGAGTACATTTTCATTTGTAAAATGAGTCACTAGTTTTATAATAATTGTGTAATATTTACTAAACTTTGATAGATACCTACTATATTTGAAGATTATAATATAGGTATCAGGTGTACGCAATAAAATATGTAAAAGTGTTGTTTTCCGGGTGATAATAAATTCCTAATAATTTGATAACACTAAGATAAATAAAATTTTATAGAAACAATAAAAATCGAACGCCTGAATATCGAAAACCTGTGCGTTTAATATACAAGTACAAAATGAAAGAATTGAGAGTAAGTAATTATTTAAATAATCTGTTGTTTATTAATATATAAAATGTATTCAATATTAAACATAAGTAGAAAATAACAAACCCGTTATAGGTAAATCAAATTAAGTATCTAAGTGTATATATATTTTTTTTTAAATTAAATTATCTTTCCTAAACATTGACAGTTTTGACAGTAATAAAAATGACGTAAAGCATATAGATATAGATTGTTGATTTCCAAATTGGTACATTTCAAACATTCGAAATTTACAGGGCAATTATGCGAAATTTTTGAAAAATCTTCACTCGGAACAAATCAACAAGCTGATATTGAAAAATCAACACGAGTGCGATCTGCTCGAAGACATTAGAACGTTCACGATCAAACGATCCGCCATCGAAAAATCCTATTCAGAAGTACGTATGACCCCCCAAACTAAAAAAAACCAATAATCCCTAATCAACCGAAATATTTCAGGCTTTATTGAAAATATCTTCCGCCTATTTAAATAAGAAAATCCCTAACATACCCGACATAAAATTAGACGGAGGCGATGAAAAATGGTGAGTACATTACCTTCGAGCTAATCCGGTAATGACGTCGCATTACAACGTTGCCGGATTGTAAACTATTTCCTCCGCTTCCGGGATTTCCAGAGCGGGATAATTAATGAAAAAGCTGAGAACGTGCCGTGTTTTAGGAATATGTGGAACGTTTGGAGGACGGTGCTGGAGGAGAACGAGAAATTGGCGAGAGCGCGTTTGGCGGCAGTCGAAGTATTTCAGCAGCAAATCGCCGACGATGCCAAAATACTGCGGGCGCATAAATTACAAACGGCCAAAAAGGTGAGCGATTATATTGATCACAATTTTGCATTGCACTGTAAAAATTGTTCGAAGAATATAAAGAGGCGATAAAAGTGGAGAGAACATTCTCCGTTAAAAAATAAAAAAAAATATTATTTATTCTAACGTAAGCGAAACTTACAAACTTACAAACGTGTTTAGTGTACATTCAATCTGTTTTTTTCATGGAATTTTAAGTGCTTCATATAAACTCGAGAAGATTTATTAAACTCCAATGTTAATAGGGGTGGAAACGTGTCACGTAAACACATTGTTCGATATAAATAGGTAAACATCGGTTCGATTTTCGTTTGTATTACCGCAATAATAACCGTTATTAAGCACTCGAGTCGAGAGGTAGTTAATTAAAGGATCAAAAATCTTTATACCTATTCAGTTCGAAATCGGATTTCCAATTTGGCGAATTTTCTGGCGTCGAATTGATTGCGAAATAAACTTTCCGTTTCGGAAAGCTACACGAATCAGATTTCAATTAATCGGTTTCCCTATACGCACAAATAAATAAAAGGAGGGATCGATTAAGCGGAAAATCGCGCTTCGAAAATCCCGCAAGGAAAATCCCGAAAACGATTTGATTGTACAACGAACGTTCGATTGCCTATCAAAAAAAAAAACACCTCAGGATGCGAATTTCGGGTTTGTTACAGTGCGTGGACCAACTAGCGCTCGTCCAAAAGGAATTGCAGCTGTGCGTACAGGACGTTGATAAAACGAAAAAATTGTATTTCGACGAAGAACACGGCGCCCACGAAGTTAGAGATAAGGCTAGAGATATCGAAGAAAAGTAAGTCAATTTTCTCTACCACACCAAATGTAGCTTGGCACTTGAAAATCGCAGAAGAGTAATGAACGATGTTAAAAAAAGCTACCTATAAGACGATACAAATTTCCAATGGAAATCTTCCAACTGCCAAGCTACATCGGTTGTGGTATTAGTATGTCAACGTTGAGCCTAATTACCGGTAATATTTAATTGTCGGTTCGCTCCGCTTGTAGGCTCAAAAAGAAGAAAGGTTCGTTCTTCCAATCGATCACGTCGTTGCAAAAGAACAGCGCCAAAGTGTCGACGAAACGAGACCAATTGGAGGAGAAATCGACCGGAGCCAGGAACGATTACCTACTGTGCCTCGCCGCAGCAAACGCACACCAAACCAGGTAAAAAACGAATCCGAATTCCTCTGCACCGATAATTTACACGTTAACGATACTTCCCTAGGTACTTTGTGGTGGACCTGCAGCTCTGCATGACGACGATGGAGAGCGGCGTCTACGACAAAGTGGCCGAATACCTGTCGCTGATGGGCCGCACCGAGCTGCTCACCTGCTCGGCCATGCAGAACTCCTTCGGCACCATTCGCGACCAGGCCAAGCAGCTGACCAGGGACTACAACTTGCAGTGCTGCTACCTGTACTATCCGGTGCTGAAGCAGCACATCCACTACGAGTTCGACGCCTGCGACAGCGATCCCGTCGATCGCGTCACCGCCGAACACGATTCGTCGACGGCCACGCTCAGCAAGGAGGCCAGACGATGGGCCACGAAGATCGCCAGGGAGAACAACAACGTCAGGGAGAGCGTCAGGAAGTTGCAGATCTACCATTCCATGAAGGAAGCCGGACAAAAGGTCTGTGGTAAAATTTCGATGATTTTTTTCATCTAATAATGGGAGAATAAATGAGATTTAGAGAGATTGGTAGAGAGAATTAGATTGAGAGAGAGATTGGTTTCCAGGTGGATCCGAGCGATCCGAACGGGCCCGACTTGGAGACCAAAATCGAAGAAATGAAGCAGAACGTGCGAAGAGCGGAAACGGCCAAGGCGAAGGCCGAAGCGAGAATAGAATGCCTGCGCGCCGGCGGCGTCAACGTCGACGAATGGCTCCAGGAGGCCGAGACGCTCACGGTGCAAGACATCCAAAGGTCCACCAGCTCCCTATCGGTGAGTCCCCCCCTTCCTATTCCTCCTAGAGGCGATCGACTAGAGGTTACAATAACGATTATTAAAGGATCATCCCAGCTCGGATTCGTTCTACGACAGCGACTTCGCGGACGGCGAGCCGGCCCCGCCGGCGGCGGACGTCGTCAAAGAGGAGGCGGAGCGCCGGGAGAGCCACCATTCGGACCACTACGAGAGCGCCGAGGTCGACGGTGAGTAGGCGAAGTCTATCGTCGACTTAACCAACATTTCCCATCGCCCCCGACAAAAATACTCTGCTCGATTTCATTTAGTTCGACGGCGTATTTGCCGAGCTCCGAGCGGCTCTCGTTTCTCTTTGAGAATGCCAATCGTCATGATAAATCGACCTAGTTCGACGGATATTCCGTCCGACGCCCGGGCTTTATTAAAATTGAAGGGCTGTTTGCGCGGTGGTGCTTCAATTTCCACCCTCCGTAAATGTAATAAAACTTTTTTATACATACGAGTAAATACCAGACACTTCACGATGGCTTTTTGAAAGCCGTGCTGGTGCATTTTAGTGAGTTATTTCACGAATTTTCCTTCGGTATTTCCCCCCAATTTAGCTCCTTTTAGAGCGTTTTATTAAGGCTAAATTATCAATCATTAAGGAGATGATACGTTGTACTGTAATATCGCAACCAATTAAATAAATTTGAATTAAACTGCTCCACAAAAGTTAAGGAAGTTCGCAAATATCGCGATTATTTAAAAAAATTTATAATACAAACTTTTTGATCACCGAATTTTCAAATATTCGAAATTAAAATGTTTTCTCACATATCTGAGTGGATTTTTTGCCTCTACCTTTTCAATTCATACTAAATTTGGCGATCAAAAAACCTGCAACTTTTAAATTAATCCCAATATTTGTGAACTTCCTTAACTTTTGTGGAGCAGTATATTTGTAGCGCTTAAAAATTTCTTAAACATTCTCCTTCTCGTCGAATTAACGTTACTAAACAGCGCTTGTTTGCGCAGCGATGCTGGAACAGGAACGCCAGCGAATCGAGCAGCTGACGGCCGGCTGGGACGACCCCACCCAGGTGGATTGGGGCGCCGAAGCGGCGGCCGCCGACGACGCCGACGGCGTCGAACGACGCCAGTCCGTCCGATCGGTGCCGTTGCTCAAATGCACGGCGCTCTATTCGTACGCCGCGCAAAACCCCGACGAGCTGACGATCGTCGAGAACGAGCAACTGGAGGTGGTGGGCGAAGGGGACGGCGACGGCTGGTTGCGGGCGCGCAACTACCGCGGCGAGGAGGGCTACGTGCCGCAGAACTACATCGACGTCGAGCGCGAACAATCGTCGACGACGCCCGGCCTGCAGGCGCAGATCTCCTTCTCGTCGGTGGATTACACGGTGGACAACGAGGAGGAGAACGCCCAACAACGGACGGAGACCACCCAAAGCCCAGAGCAGATATCCGTTATATCAATACCGCAGAAGACGCCCGACGATATCGCCACTCCTTCTTATTGCATAGCGCTGTACGACTACGAAGGCGAAGGCAAGTATCATCACAAGGCGTCTCGACGTTTTAACTCTTCATTTCTTTACAGGCGGAGAGGAGTTGACGTTCGAAGAGGGTCAGATAATAAAGATTCTGAGCAGGTGCGCGCACAGCATAGACGACGGCTGGTGGCAGGGCGAGTTCGACGGTCACATCGGTAATTTCCCATCGCTTGTTGTAGAAGAATGCGACGAATTCGGCGAACCGTTGGTCAACGAATGGGACGAAACGCCGCCCCGATCGGCGCCGCCGATTTTCACGCCGCCCGACATCATGCCCGAGTATACGGCCGATGCCGAAGACGGTAAGAGCAATCGATAGATTCTTATTCGAATTAGTTGAGATTGAACTAGGCGAAGACGACGCGCCGATGTCGTCGCCGCCGGCCCAACCGCCGCCGCCGGCGCCGCCGCTCGGACCCGACGATCTCGACGAGGAGGCGATCGACGAGGACGCCGCCATCGCTGAGGAACCGGCGGAGATGGTGGAGGAGGCGGCGCGGAATGACGAAGGATTCGAGATTTCGCTGTCTCGGGACCAACACACCCACTACGGAAGTCAATTCAACAAATCGTCCGATACGTGCGTTCCGAGTGAGTTACATTGCTATACAGGGTGTCGTAGAAAACGTTGAGAAACGGTTTAATTTATCTACTAAATCTACTTGGTTAAAGTCTATACCGATGAATTTAATAATGGTTGATTTCGTTTTAATGCCGCCTTAGCGATAGACGTGCCCAGCGTTGAAATTATCGATGAGGTATTATTTAATTCGCAACTTACTATAAACTAACGTATTCGCGTGAATTTTGCGGAATGCTTTAATTGCGGTTTTGTAGGATTCCCGAAACGTCGAAGAGCCGGAGCGAGGCGAAAGTAGCGATTTCGGTTTGTGCGCTCAAATCGTGATAACGGCCGCCACGCCGATGGTCGAGGAGGCCGGCCCGTTTCCCGGCGGTGCCGCCGAAGAAACCGCCGACGATCACAAGGAAGGAAATCCGCCGGCGGACGATCAGCCGGCTGTAACCGAATCCGATAACAAACCGGACGCTGCAGACGATGCCGAAGAGACCTTTGACGATCACCACGTCGATACGCCCTTTGTGGTGAGTACGTATCGGGTTTCTCGAACGATCGATTGATTTAATTACATTGTGGTGTTTTTTTTTTATTTTTCTAACATTTCCGAATGATTCTGGAGTGTTCCAAATGATTATGGACAGTCTTAAATCATTGTAGACACGTCTAAATCATTCTAGACAGGCCTAAATGGTTATCGGCAATTCAGATTCGTTCTATAGCAATCCACATGATTTTGAAGAGTTCCTAATGATTGTGGAGAGTTCCAAATTATTATGGACAGTGCTAAATCATTCTAGACAGGCCTAAATGGTTCTCGGCAATTCAGATTCGTTCTATAGCAATCCACATGATTTTGGAGAGTTCCAAATTATTATGGACAGTCCTAAATCATTCTAGACGGACCTAAATGGTTCTCATCAATTCAGATTCGTTCTATAGCAATCCACATGATTTTGAAGAGTTCCTAATGATTGTGGAGAGTTCCAAATTATTATGGACAGTGCTAAATCATTCTAGACAGGCCTAAATGGTTCTCGGCAATTCAGATTCGTTCTATAGCAATCCACATGATTTTGAAAAGTTCCTAATGATTGTGGAGAGTTTTAAGTCATTCTAGACAGTAAGAATTGTTTATAATAGTATAACCAATTCAAGATAAATATATAATATGATTGTAATAACACACTGGTGTTATTGATGAATAAGAATCGTTGAAGCTGCTTGATTCTTGCCAATTTTTGAGTGAATTTTATAATATCGAAATTGCGTTGGTGCAGGTGAGTAGCAGCACGGGAAGCGACGGTGACGAGACGGGGCCGAGTACGGCGGAGAATTCGGTGAGTCAGGCGCCGCCGGCGTCGGCGTCGGCGTCGGCGCCCGTCGATGCGGAACCGAAGCAAGTGGTCGGAGGTAGGGCGAGCATTCCGGACGAATTAGAGCCGCACCAATTGGCCCGTTTGCAAGAACTCAAAGAATCCAACGCCTAGATGATGAGTAATATTGTATATTTTTGTTTTGGGAAAAATGATAGATTTACATGTGCTTCACACCATTAAAAAACGCAAATCGTTAAGATGATCGAATGTAATGAAACGGTCGGGGAGAGATCGATGTGCAAGGCTCGCGAATGCGTTATGGAATTAATTCTGGACCATTTGTGGTGCAGTATTTGAATTAATTCGAAAGATTTTGGCGCATTCGTTGGCCTGTTTTGTTATCTAGCTCGCCTTTACTGTGGATTTTGAATCGCGCGTATATTTGTACCTAATTTGTTACTGATTTTTCTAGTATACATATGATTTCCAGTTAGGAAATGTTTCACTAGATTAAATTGAGTTCCTTTGTTCATGTAACAAAAATTTACACAACTATTCGGATCTTACGAATGTTTCGGAAGTGTTCTGTAAGTTTTGTTGAAACAAACGTTATGAATTGATTCAATGTTTCGACTCGAAATGTCTAAATTGCTGTTGTAAACTTTCAGTAAATACGAGTAGTTTCATAGTTGAATAAGACGCTAAATAAAGCATAAGTGTGCTTTATTTTTTGTGATAACTAAGTTCTAATTCTAAAATGCACGAATATAACGTATTTCTAAACGATACATCGAACACCGATTATTTCTTGGTAAAATATCTCAAAATTGAGTAGTTTCAATTAAATGTCGATTCCATTCATAAAAAATATTTCATGCACGAATCGATTATTTAATTGTTTTTCTAGTGAATAGGCATTTTTGATAGGAAAGTTTGCTCGGTGCAATTTAGGCAATTTTTGTCGCTAGATTCTATATATACATAAATTAAGAAAAATCGTGATAATTATCAGAATTGATGGTTCAGATAAATACGAGGCAAGTTAAATTCGTGAAGGATGCTGAAATAATATCAATAACCGTATGTAGTCGAGTCTACACAGACGTAGAATACGAATAATAGACTGATGGCAGTGCAATAATGGGTACCGATAATTGTTGTTTTGTGAATTTGTTTAGAAAGTACTCGATTAAACAAATACCTTTTTCGGTTGTCCTAAACGGGATGTTCCTATAAGAGAACGTTTTTATTGATACACCCTTTGTTTTGAACGTTTGGCAATAAATTCTTTTTGTTTTAGTTCATTTGTAAATATGTTAATATTGTACCTATATTTTATTTAATGTTAATAAGCGCGTGTAAGAGATAACAGCAAACGGTCTTTTTTATATTAAATGTATGTGTTGTAGCGGAAAATCTCACCACATACTTTTTTTTTTTTAAATTCATTAACGATATTTTGTTATCAAGTTAATTGTTGTTCAGTGGTCGGGATTTTCTCGTATTGTACAAATATGCCAGTTGTTAGAAAAAATAGTTCATAGTAAATCAAAAACTTGATGTCTCAATGACTCGCGAAAAATACTCAATGTCAATAACGAAAACTACTTATAATAATTTTGTAATACAACTAACAACTGGCCGATGAATTACTAGAAGACTACAAGCTGTTTTATGCGATTGTATTCAATTCCCCGTCTTCTTTCAGCGGTGCCTTCTTATTATAATCTTCAATCTTTCACCTGTAGATATTATGTATAATTATCGTTTAACCCGTACAAAAAAAAAAATTGGATTCGAATATGAATAATAACAAATCATCCATTCTGTGTAATAAATATATTAAATAAACTTCCGCCGTTTGATTTTATTCGTTTCTCCAATCACAAAAATATCTATACAATCCTTTGCAAAATAACAACTAAATACAAATTTAATCTTACCATTATCTACAATAACAAAAACGTCTAGAACCAAAGATCGCCGGCGTCGTCGTCCTCCTGCATGTTCTCCTGCACGTCCCTGCCCACATTAGCCCCCTCGTCGTCGCTCTCGCTCACCGCCAAGTCATCGTGTATCTTCATCTCCGTCAAAGTCGTCGCCTCCTGGCTGTTCATCCCCGTATCATCCTCAACTTTACGCAACGGCAAACCGGCCATCAGGAAATCCGACGGATCGTAATTCGGATCCACGTCCATACTCTCATCTAAAAATAACAATCATGTTATTGTGGAGGAACATCTTTAGATCCCGAAGATCTAGCCACAACAAAAGCATTGTAACTCCCAAGGTTCACACCTTCAAGAAGGCACTGGCGTTTAGCGAACTAACCTTTGAACATCAACGCTTCGGTACAATCGGCATCCTGCCCATCGTTAGGGGGGTAGTACCCCATGGTACCCAGCTGCACCATGGCCTCGGCGGCCTGCTGGCTGTCGTCGTCGGCGTGCTCGCCTCCCATGGGCAATTCGGCGGATATCAAGATGCCTTTGTTGTCGTCCTCGAACTCGTGCAAGGGCACCTCGTCGAGCTCCTCCTCGCTGGAGAACTGCAGGTCCTCTTCGAGCGTGTGGGCCTCTTCGGATTTGGGGTTCTTCTTCGGTTGTTTGGGCGGGCGGGGCGTGATGGATTCGTCCATGTGGGGGCCCTCGCCTTCGACGTCGATCAGATCGAATTCGTCCATGTGGGATTTGACGGAGGACATCCGGTCCGGCGAGCTGCTCTGGCTCTGCGAAAGTTTATGGTTTGAATAATGGGGATTTAAGAGAGATACTGTATCGCTTACGATGTGATCGGGTTCGGTGATTGTGTAGTTTTCGTCGTCCCCTCCTATCCAGGATTGGTCGTCGTCTTGGAAGGCTCTCTCTTGGGCCAGCAGAAGCCTTTTTTCGAGTTGCGAAAGGTGCTCGTCGTACTGGAAATATAGCTTATATATCGATATTTAATTTGTTAATTTCGTACACTAACCTCGTATAGAGTTTCCTTGCAAGCTTTCACCAAGCCTTCGGCTTTTTCGGTGAAGGTGGAGTCTTTGCCGTTGTATAAAATGCAATTTTCGAGTATTTGCTCGATGTCTACCAAAAATTCGTGTCTGCTGTGATATTTGTGGGCTGAAATATTCGAAATAATACACGATTGTATTTTAACATACTAATAACACTAACCTGCTACTTTCTTGGAGATAGTTTCCAAATCCATCGGTCTCTTGACGATGTTGTAATAATCCTTGACTAACTTTTTGTTGACGGGTTTGAGGAAAGGCCAGGATTCGGACATTGTTTTCAATTTCACGTTAACCACGTTGTCTAATATGTAAGTTAAGGCTACTTGATCGTTATCGTCCAAAAGCGGATTGATCGCCTTCTCCAATCTCATCAGCCTATCCTCTTTTTCTCCCAATCTTTCCACGCATTTGTTCAGCATCCTTTGAGCGGCCACCGTGAGACTGCTTTTGGGACCTGAAATAAAACAAACAGTAACACCGAGCGTTTAATTGTTTAATGATATAACTCACCGTTGTAGAGCGTGGAATTTTCGACAATTTGATTAACATCCGCCAAAAACTCCTCCCTGCTTTGGTACTTCTTCTGCCTCAAGTTCTCTCTGATAGTTTGCAGATCCATCGGTCTTTGAACGATCCGGTAATAATCCATAACCAACTAAAATAAATTTAAAACGCATTAAAATTGCGATGTTATTCTTTATAAAATTCATTACTTTGGGATTAACCGGGAACAAAAACGGCTGTACGTCGGCCATGTCCCGCATTTCGTTGAGAATATTCTCCAAAATCGTCGATAGCACGACTACCGGATCGGTGCGTCGCCTATTAGCCGGTTTATTGTGCTTTTTCAAGTAGTCGCAATGCAAATCTTGGACGCCGCGACGCCTCTTCTTATTCCCTAAAGCGTCCTTCGGTACTTTCAACAGCAGGCTTCTTCGCTTCATTTCTTCGGCGTGCTACGAGAATTATTTATAGAGTACACTCACAAATACGATTAGTTAAATTTGTTATTACCTTAATTAGTTTTCCCGATAACTTAACTTTCGTACCGTCTACGTTTACGAGATCTTCGTCGTCGGTGTTTAGTTGTTTTTCGATGTTTTCTTCCTGTTCTTCGGTCATCGCTACGTTAATAGGAGGATTCTGGCCGGTGGTGTTTTGATACAAAGGACAGGCTTTGTTTGTTCTATTAAAAATATATAAATTTTTAATTATATTCGTTTAAGTAACGCAAACGTTTACCTCATGTGTCCGACGTTACCACAAGCGCCGCATTTTAACTTCAAATCGGGTTTGAGTTTAGTCTTTCTCCTCGATTTCGGCGGAGAGGTCGACAGGCTCTTGCTAGAATTCGGCGTCAGCGAATTCCCTAACGCTAAAAGTTAGCAATTACCACAAATTGCACGGTTTTTTTACAATTACTCACATTCGTTAGGATTGGGTAATTTCTCGACGGTACCGGGCGGTGGAATGTTCGACGATTCGCCGGAATGCGAGTGATGGTGATGGTGCGAACTCATCTTCTCCTTCTCCTGATTCCTTTTGATCCGTCTCAGTTGCTCTTGTATCCGGCGCTTTTCCCGTTTCATTTCCTCCTTTTGCGCCTCGTCCAACGTCGCGAATTGCCTTATGAACTCCTCGTCTTTGGTGGTGCGAATTTTCACGTAGGCATCTATGACTACCGGCTTTCGGACCAATTCTACGCGAGTGAATTCTTTACCGTCCGGCTTCCGGAACGTCCTGAATATCTTCAATAATCTACCTACAAAAGTATTATTCGTTAGCTTGCCGAAAGAAATGCTAGTGTAAATGCTAAGTACTTTGCGTTTCGTGTTGCTCGTCGTTGTCCTCTTCGTTTTTCTTCTTCTCCTTTTCTTTCTTTTCGCCTTCTAAAATCATCTTTCGCAACTCTTGTCTCTCCTGCTCCTCGCGCTCCATAGACAACTACAACATGTAAATTCGATATATTAAATAACGGCGTTTTCATCGAGTTGTTTTTAGAGTACCTGTGTACTGGTTTTCTTATTCGCCAACATGTTTTCGATGTTTTTACCGAGCGCTTCCATGTCTTCGTCGCTTTCGTCCTCGGAACTCTCGCCTTCGTCCGTACTCAACACTTCGGCGCTCGATAGAACGCGATTTTGCAGGTCGAAGATCCTTTGGCATTCCTCTTTGTATCTCTCTTGGTGTTCGGCTATCGAGAATCGATTGCCTCGCGAAAATTTATCCATACCCTCCTCGCCGGCTTTCGCTTTTTCCGTCGATAGCGTTCGCACGACGTCGATCACCTCCCATCTGGATAGTTTTTTTATCTGAAATAAACCGAAAATGAAGCGCTTCCTAAACGACGAATTCGCGAACTAACTACCTCTTCTTCGGGCACGCCGAATTTCCTTAACAAAGCCTTGGCGTTGTTCAGCGACAATCGCCTTAGATCGGCGTCGGTGCCGGTGACGGTCCTTTTAGGTTGGGATTCCTGTTCCTCCTTGCTTTGGGTGGGCTTGTTGGGCACTCGCACGTAGCTGAAACCTTCTCCGCATCCCGTGGGATCGGCGGGACCGGTCAATTGCAAAAGGCACTTGCCTTTCATCGCTTGAATGTACGCCCTCGTCGTGTTCCAAGGCGCTACTTTCACCTCGTCGTCCATTTTCAATTGCATTTCCTCGTCATCGTCCTCTGCGGGAGTGAAGATGAACTTTTCGCCGTAACCCGCGTCCTATAAGAAGTTTTTTAAGTGTAAATTACTCGTGGATAATTAGTGTTTTGTATTACCTTAAGGCGCTGTTCGGCGGCTACCATACTGAAGTAAGCGCAGCATTGTTCAGGTGAAACCATCGCACGAATTTCTTCCTCAGTAGGTAAACGAAACTCCGGTTTTATAACCCACCAGTTAGAATCCATACCTAGTAAATAAGCGAATTTAGTTGTTGGGAATTAATTCGGAATGTGTGTGTGTTGTATTCACCGGTTCTCTTAAAATCCGCGCAAAGTTTCAATCGTTTCCTTATACTGCTTTCCGAATGAGAAGGAAACGCTTTCTTTATATCGTCCATTTTTATCCTCCTCGGATTATCCCTGCTCTTCCAAAACAACCGGTAGATAAACACCTGCAGGAAATCCCTGACGAAGTTATTGGCTCTCTTGGAATTCGGCCCGAACACCTCGTACAACGGGCACTCTTGTCCTGCCACGTACAAGCCATCCACTTCTCTTATGTAGTATTGCTGGCGAGTTCTGATCACCAGAAAGTCCGTTTGCGGCATTGTGTGCTCGTAAATAGGCGCCCTACGAAATATCAAATGAGTTATTATGCGCCGACAACTGTTGAATCGAGTTAATTTACCTGTACATGTTGTTTTCGATTGCTTGTATGGATTGGCCGGGGTGTAAAATGCCCAAGAACGGGGAGGTATGCGCATAAGCGGTCTCACCGTATCTATACGTTGGAGGTCCCGAGTCTTTGGCCGCTTTTCTCTTGTAATAATTCTTGATTTTCGAGCACATTCCGACCTGGTTCATCAGCGGCGGATGCTCTTCGCAAAATTCTACCAGAATCAAATCGCCATCTCGGCCGGTCAAATCTTCGGGGGTTCTCATGAAGAACACATCACCGCCGCCCGATGCCATTCTCTCACCCTCCCTTTGCTAACGTAACGACAATTAATGTATTTATTAGGCGGCGTATTGCATAATAAATACCTTAGCTTTCTTTTTGATGTGTTTTATTAGGGGCATGACGCCGTGAGGGCCGGGCAATGCGAGTGTACCGTGCGAAAATTTCTTCATAGGAGGCCTGTGGAAGTTTCTCAATCTCATGTGACCCATGTGGGTTTGAATGAACGGCGCTCTTAATTCCACGACGGGCGTCGAGTGTTGAATCAAATTCGCGCCGCCTACTTTGAGCCTCATCGTAGTTTCGGACGTTCTAGGCTGATAATAACTAACAAAAAACAATACATTTTAATCTGCGATAAATAGTGGAGTGTATGTAGCTTACATATCATTGGAAATGTTGAATGGATCTCTGTCGGGCGATTTCGGCGGAGGCGGAGGAGTATCTTCTTGTAAAACGTTAATTACGCCGGCCTTTCCCAGTAAAATTTTCGATTTCTTCACGTGAGGGTGCGGAATTTTCACTTTTACTGGCGTAGCTTGCCCTAAAATGGATTACAATTAATGTTAAACGTTTCTGAGTACACTACGAGTCGACCGTTACCTGCTACTTGTTTCGAAGGATCGATATCATCGGGAATACCGAGTATGATATTTTCATCGTTCGGATCCAAAGTTAATATGGACGGTTTGGGGATAGTTTTCATATTTTCCGCGTCCCAAATGACGTCGTCCTCCCATCGGCCGTAGACCAAATCCTCGTTTTCCACCGGAAATATCGAATACCAAGTGTCGTCCTGTTCTTGCTCCTGTCTCGGCTTCATTCTGAACGACAAACTTTGGTTTTTTAATCAATAATATTCAACGTATTTTAGCGCACTTACAACTGCTGTTTGGATTTTATGCCGGGCAATGGGGGATTCGGTACGGGCGGCATTCGAACGGAAGTACCCACTTTTCCCGGCTGGCTGAATGCTTGAGCTGTTCTGTTACCGCTGCTCGGCACCCATCCCGCTGCGTTCGTTTTAGAACTCAGTTTTTGCTGTACCTAAAAGTTGTAATTATTCGCATCCTCCGCTTGGTTTTTTTTAATAGAACCAATGGTGTATATTACCTTGTGTTTGATATCGTTTCCGTCCCAAACGACGTCGTCTTCCCAATGCAATTGAGTTACCATTAAAAAAGCATCGTCTGGATAAGATTCATCTTGGTTTTCTTTGTTGTCTTCGATTTCTGGTTTCTAAATATTAACAATATATCAAATTAAACAGAATGTGGATGTATAAATTGAATTTACCTCGACGAGTTTAAATCCGTAGTTAAAATCATCGCCAGTTTCAGGCACATCGAGCATATCGTACCAGATTTGAGCCGGTCCGAAACGCCAATCGGCGGCTTTCGGTCCGGAATCATCTTTTTTCTCGTTCTCCTGTTTACTATCTTCATTTTGAACCTCGGCAGGTTTCAGGAACTTCTCTTCGTCGTCTTCCATAAGAATCTCCGCTTTGGGTTCGGCGTAGTCGAAAAACCAGCCCCTGTTTTTGGGCCTGTCATCGTCCGAATTCGAATCGGAGTCGTGCTGATTGGCGCTCTCTTTGTGCTTGCGCTTCTTCCTCTTCTTCCTCACGTTCTTCCAAATGTTGGGCAAACTGCTCGGTTTGCCCGGTCCGAATAATCTCGAAAATCTCAACACCTGCAATCGTGGATCATTTGAAATCTTAGATATTTCTATTGGTAAAAATGTACCTTTCCGTGTCTGAAATCCGGAAATAACTCGGTAACATCTATTTTCGCGTATTTCGATGGAAGCATAGCGGCTAAGGGGGTTTCCAACTTCTTTTTATCATCGTCAATTTCTTCTTTTATTTCTCGATTGTGGGGTAAAGGTGGCGGCGGAGGCATGAGTTGCTCGTCTTTTTTATAACACCTCTCATCATCGGCATCGTAAGAATCATTGGTAGGCTAAAATAAACATACCGTTAACCAACAATCATCGAGAAATAATTATAAATATCTACTGTATCATCTTCAGCTAACTCGTTTATATCGAAATAGTCTTCTGCAGAAGGAGACTTGTTGTTTATATTAAAATCCCCTGAACTAACACTGCCTTGTGAATAGCAAGCGCTGTCTTGTGAGGATTTCGGGGAATCGGATTGGCTGCTTTTTCCTTGTGAATATGAATCGGCATCGCCGTCAATCTCATCTTTAATGATATCCTTTACGAAAGAAACAAACCCTAATCTACAAAAAGACGTGTTTTAATTTAAATTTTCGCTAATTACAAGCAGGTATTTACTTTCCAAGCGAAGAGAGGTGTTTTTGCTCGGATGAATCGAACACGTCGCTTTCTAAGTTACCATCTTCATCGATGTTACCGAAGAGGAAGCCCGTGAGAATTCCTTCGTCCTCGCTATCGCCCATTATGTATTATTTTAACTAAAATAGAGTGCATTCACAAGTTTCAAATCTATTTATCAACACTACAATCACCATCTTCGTATAACTGTCAACTGAATTGTCATTTGTCATTTTGATTACTTTTTTTGAAGCACTTAGACCGAAGAAACTGAGGCCTAAATAAAAAAGAAGATTACCTTTTAGGTCGTAATTGGCAACGTAGCATTTTATTTCTCTAAATAGAATGACAGCTTTGATTTTTATGTCAATCACGTATACAAACAATGAACTGTCATTAGTGTCAATCTAACCTTGAAGTAGGAAGTAATGAACTCATGAACATTTACAACACATTTGTTACATAGCGTGATAGGTTTAACATTTAGATTATGAATATGAATGAATTTCTCATCAATTAATTAAATAAATTGTTTCGAAATCCTTGTACTCTGTCCGAAAATTAAAAGTGCATTAAAAGAAAAACGACTGAGAATTTATTTGTGTTAATATTTAGAATTTCCGAACAGTTTCATTGATTTTGTTACAATACGAATAAGATAGTGATTTAGTGCTCGATCGGTATTCGAGCTAATTGGACGTATTTCCCTTATCGAGGTAAGTTCAGGGCATTGTACTTTTCCCGATAAGATTGCGACACTTTTATGTAAAGTTAAAGTACCTTACCGATTGATAAGGTTCGCTTTAAACGGTTTAAACTATTTACACAATATTCGTTTAATTTTCAGTTAGTACAAGAGGAACCGATAAATTCTGATGTACTGGGCTAAATCGTGATGAGTGATTTCAAGCCGAGGTTTCTAAAACCGTCTGATACTTCAAGTTTTCTAGATAAAAATGACTCTCATTCAGTAGAAAGCACCGATTTCATCTACAACAGACACCTGTCGCAAACCATACACACCCAAAGACAGAGATTGCCCATTTTCAATAACCGAAACCACATCCTGTACCTGTTGGAGAAGTACCAAACGTTGGTTTTGGTGGGCGAAACGGGCTGCGGAAAGAGCACTCAAATACCTCAGGTGAGTCCGCATGAGTAAACCCTTTGTTTTCGAAGAGTTCGAAATATTCAGGGAAGTTTCTATCGGATGTTGGTACAGAAATAAATAATACAATATTTTGCTAGCATAGCATTGTAGATAAGATTGATATTTCGCAACTATATCTACCAATTTTGATTGTCAGCTAAAATGGTATCGTTTTAATACTTTTAATTGAGTTGAATGTCGCCCGGTGAACTCTCTGATTGCTTAATTCATTTATAGTTTATTGTAGTTATTTTATGAGCCCTTGTTTTAATTAAAAACGGTTCATATCCTTTAAAATGTATCTTCTTAAAACAGCAAATTAATCGCCTTTTGTTAATATAGTTGTGATTTTCTTTTGTTTTTATATTTTTATGTTATTTTCATATTTCGAAGGTTCTTGTTTGCATTATTTAAATTACGAATAGTTAATTGCTCTGATTATAAGCTATATAAAAAGTGTTTGTTAAAATTAACCAAGTAAACTAGCGCCTCTAAATTAATATTTGTAAAAATTTTTAGGCAAATTGACGCGTTGAAAACGCATTCGAGTTTGAGAGCTATTCAAAAATAAGTGGTATATTTTCAGTTGTGTAGGAAGTGCGTGTTTGTAAACATTAATTTATACGAAAACGCCAAGATATGTTGTAATAACAATCGATTCGAGTAGACAGGTATTACATTTCGATAATATTCATTAGAAATAAATGAGTTTTTTTTTTCTAGTTGTATGTACATGTAAAATTCATTTGTAACTTGTATTAATGAGATTATCTTGTCGAAAATTCGCTCCGATACGGTTTCATGTTTTATATTTTCATTATCAGAACCGATTGATTTATCTGGTTTATCGAAGTATGCTTGATAATATTATTTAATCCACTCGTAAAACAGCTTGTTCTTTGTAACAACGTTATATTTAACGTGCGTTTTGTAAGTTGCTATTTTTAATTATTGCTATTTTTCATTTAATTGCACTTTAACGAAATGCCCGTTGAGCGAAATCTGGTTCAAGGTTAATTTTCTGTTCTAAAAATACGGCATTGTAGGTACATATTAAAGGCGCGTCGGTTTGTTAATCCCACCTACAAACGCGTGCATCCAGCAATATTTAATAACGTATTTGAATAGGATTGAAACATAAAGTAGATTTTCATTAGCAGCTCAGTTTAAATTGCGCTCGAAACATTCCTAATATCTGACTCACTTTTATTATGTACCTATTTAAATTGTACTAAATAAACGCGCGAGTCACGGTGTAAAAATTTAACGAAAAGAATCATGGTTTACCAAATCGAACTTAACACGGAGCTTGTTTATTTTCAGGTAAACCAACGCTACATTTACTCAACTACTAGCCGTTAATTTTCAAATAAAAAAAAATACAATACAAAACAATGCATTACCCTTGGAAATTTCGTAGTTTTTAAAACCGATCGTCCGCGCATTTACCAAAAATATATCCTAAAAACAACATCGAAAATTCGAAGAACCATGGTGGGCCCGTCGTCGCAAGTCAGCAAGCTCCTGCTCACCTTGCTCGTCCTGCTGGTGTGCTTCTACGCGTACATGGACTACAATTTGTACGTGCGAATCCACGACTATCCGATCGACAACGACAACACCACCAGCAGCTACGAGGACGTCGCTTGGATCGGTTGCCATATCAATCCCCTCTGCGAGATCACCGTCAAAGCCGTCCTACTCGACCACACGAATCTCTACCTCTTCGCCCCGTTGGTCCAAATCGTCGACGACATGTTGAAGATCAGCCGCACCGAATGGATCACGCCGAATTCGATCAGTTTCTTCCACATCCTGGTTGCCATTCTGGCCGCCAAATGCGTGTCGAGCAACAGCCTGGCTTACAGGCGAGTCGGAGTTGTGTTATTCGAATTCAGGACGTGGCTGGACGATTTGGACGGGCACGTGGCGAGGGCCAGGAAGCACATCAAGGGCGAGCGCTCGGAAATCGGCACGGCCGGCTACTACATCGACGGCGTCTGCGACGCCATCGGTTGCACCGCCTTCATGATCGGCGTGTTCGTCTACCTCAAAAACAACCCGCCGCGCAGGGGCTACATCCAGCTGCCCACCACCGTCGACAGCAAAGATAAGGACACCAACGCGGCGCAATGTTACAAGGTGACCACGAAGAAGGTGGTGAGAAAAGTGTGCTGGTTCAGCTTGCAATTGATCATCAGCTCGACGGCTTGGAATCGCTACATAGCGCTCTACCAGGAGATGTTGGAGGACGGTAACGCGGCGTCGCAGGAGGCGTTCAAGCAGGAGCTGGTGTTCCGCAGCGGGTTCTTCTTTCTCGTCGCCTGGTTGTGGCGCGTGGTCAGCGTGCACAATCTGATGCATTTGCTGTTGCTGGCTATATTCTGCGACAAGCTGTGGGAGTTTGTCAGGAATGTGCAGTATTTGGGCTACGGTATATTGTTGTCTGTTATATGCGTTACCGAGATCAATATCGTCGACGTTAGGAATTTTATATTTCGCGGCAACGGTGGGGGTTCGAGTGCGGCGTGAGGCGATTGTATCTTTTTTTTTATTAGTGTGATATTATTATTAATGAGTAGTTTTTGGGCGTCGATTTATTTAGATGTAGGGAGAAAGTGTGATGTTATCGTGGTTGAACTATATTTAATGTTTCTTTGGTAGACGGGTTTTATTTTCTATTTCGGATAGCACAAATTACACGTATTTTAACCAGTGGGTACAGTGGACACTTTAGGTTGAGAAAATTATCGAAAATGAACTTATTGCGTTTGAATTTTTTCTAATTGAGGGTGGAATAAAGAAATAAATCGACGTCCTTCGATTAGTTATTCCAATTTTTTGTTTAAATAAATTGCTTTCCTGCAGCTGTTATAGTATTATCGATAGTTTATAAATTGTTTTGTTTTAAAAAATCGGGGAAATTCCGCCGGGTGTTCATTAAATTTTATTTTTTTTTTGTTGATGTTTTGATGTCTCGGGTAAATACCGATTGTCCTGTTACGTTTTCCACCATTAATTAACGAAAAGAATACGGTGGGACATGCTGTAGTAAAATAAACTCGATTAAACATCGACACGGGTGAAATTTAATGGTTTAATAGACATTATTTTGCAGAATACATTTATTTTTATTATTTATTTATTTATTTTGAACAGTATCTAGTGATTAGGTTTGATCTATAAAAATATGATGTTATGATTCAAATTAATTTCGTCGTATTTCAATTGATAATTCCATTACGAAATCCGTTAGTAAATCAAAAAGAAAATGCATTCTTTTTTCTTCAAATATAATCTTCCAAGTTCCCGAAAAATTTCTGGTTTTTAATCCGGATTATTTTTTTTTTCAATCGGTGCTGATGGAATTTCAATGAAAATGCGAAGAATGCAATATCTAAACAATTTATCGGAATTTTTCATTGTATTTTGTAGATTCTAACTAACTTATTCCCCAATGTTGAATATAATGTAATAACCAAAAATCCATTGTTGCCAATGTATCCTACTTTTCACTGGAATACCCGATAAATACCTCAAATATAGTGCCTAAATCTTGAGCGTGATGTATGTAAGCGTTTGGGTAAATTAAAAAGCATTATAACATTGAAATAAGAGCTTAGATGTACAAAACATACGTTCATACGACCGCTTTTAACTTTTAAAAAATATCGAAATCCAATTGAACGCGGTCGTGTGGGAAAAATTATGCAACTTTGCGGAAAAACGAATTCGTTGCATAATCGGTTTAATTTAATAGATTCTTTATATCATTGTTGAACGATGTTTGAGTTAATCTGGGCGATGAATGTATTCGCGGATTCCTCCAGTGAGATGAAAGTCCGGAAATCTTGAAACTGGAAGATGAAAATTGCTAATTTGCAGTGCCCAGATTGGCGCGAACGTTTTATAATCTGTTAATGCAATCAACGTGTACTTATTAAAAATAGTTTGTATACTTCGTTTTTTGTGAGTTTGTCCGTGGAAATGTCCTCACTTTCGAGTTAATTTCTGATAATTCAACGCTAAACGTAGACTTGGACGTTTCCACAAATTATTATAACGAGCACTCTTTCGACTGAATATTTGAAACGACAATGTTTTCTTTGAGCTTCGATTTTGTAATTAAAATAGATTTTTTTTTGTGTCAACTAATCGGTGTATTTCGTGCGGTTTTATTTTCGTAGATAGCGTAAATTTAGAAAAAGTGTATTTTTATATTTTTGTAATACTGCTAGTCTTCAAATCTTGTCTCTATTTCTCTAGCGAGATTGCGGGTGATATATTTAAGTTTATAGTTCGCGCAGAAACGTACAAACATCCACTTACCTTTTACAAATTTGATCCGAAACGACTTAAATCGGTACTTAATTTTACTTAAAACCAAAAAGATCTTGTTCTATTTTGAGCAATACTTAACTTTTATACCATAGATGATATATTTTAATTTTGAGATTATTTTCTTATACCATTCTTTTGCCATTTTCCTCTTGATAAAAGAATCGATTGTAATTCGTCCTTTCACTAGTTCAAAGTGCTTTTGCATAGAATTTTGGTATCGATTTTAAAATTCTTTTGTGTTCAAAGAGGTCTTCTATTGCTGTAGATTTTTGTGAAACAGATCAACGAATCAATCAATTTAAATTTAGGTTTGGGATATATTTTAATAAATGCGAACTGGGTCGATCTTTCTTGCCTAAAAATCATTTAGAGTGCATCTAAAAATCTTTCTTTCAATACGAAGACGATTAATTACCGCTATATTTTTATTGTGTATTTATAAATTGAACGGTCTTCCTAAAATCTGAAAGAAACTTGTGATGTACCCTCCACGTTTTTCTTCTAACAACCTTTTATTCTTCCAACTTTTCATTAAATTCCATTTTAGTTATTAAAACTATCAATTAAGATTTACTTAAAACTCAAACTTGTAGTCGTTTGGCCTAAGGTTAGATATTCCTAATTTTTACTTATAAATTTTCGACTTTCTAACGTACGAGGTGCGTCCCGAAAGTTTCGCGAAACTTTTCAATCATTCTAGTGGGATCTTTAGGACGCACCTCGTACAACGTACTTATCGATTGTAAAATTGTTAAATGGTGTCTTTCAAGGCTTAATAAATTCGCTTTTGTATAATCGCCGAGTTTTATTTCAACCCCTTTTTTTTTTCTTTTTCCAACAGTACATGATCGAAGCCGAATGGCCCTTGAGCGTCGGAGTGTGCGAACCGAGGAGAGTCGCAGCGATTTCCTTAGCTAATAGAGTTGCAGACGAAACGGGCACTATAGTGCAACAGGAGACCGTAGGATATGCAGTTAGATTCGATGCTTGCACGAACAAACCCAGAATTAAGGTAAGACTTGAGCCCTACCGGAGCCCTTTACAACTAACGATTTTTTTTTCGTGGAATATAGTTTTTGTCATAATCTATATTTGGACTATCGCGTGATATGCTCGACTGTAATACACTCGGTATTCCCTTTATCTGTTACATGTCGAGCGTATTTGTTTTCATGCATTATGTATACGGTTAGTCAGGCAAGCTGATAGAATATCTACGAAACGACTAACAATCGTTGATAAAAGGGAAACGAAACGCCACATTTTTATATTTATCAGTTAATTCTGTATACATTGTATTTGATAATAATTTTTTCGCATACGCATCCTTGGAATATTCTCTCACGTTTCCTTTTCGCATGCAATTTAGCAATCCTCGACACAAATGGGTACTCGTGAGATAATTTAGCGTTTGCAATTGCACTTTTCTAGTACATGACCGAAGGGATATTGCTGAGGGAAATGATGTCAGATCCCCTTCTCAAGGACTATTCGGCCATCATGCTGGACGAGGCCCACGAGAGGACCCTCTACACCGACATCCTCATGGGACTGATGAAGAAAATTCTCAAAGTACTAGATTCCACACGCCACATTTATCGATGTCTGTAGCAAATTTCCTTTTCGCAGAAACGCAAAGACCTCAGACTGATCGTGGCGTCCGCCACTTTAGACGCCAAAGCGCTCCAAGAATTCTTCAACATCAACCCTACCGGCAACAAAAGAGACGACACGGCCGTGATAATGACCGTGGAAGGCCGGCAATATCCCGTCGACATATTCTACGTTGCAGGTATCCAACCCCAGCGCCTCTAATCGCATAATGTTTTTACCCTAAAGCATCCTGTTTAGAGCCGGTGCCTTGTTACATCCAAGCGTCGGTGGACGCCGTGCTCAAAATCAACGAATCCAAAGAACGCGGGGACGTTTTGGTGTTCCTCACCGGCCAGGAGGAGGTCGAACGGACCGTAAGATTGCTGAACGAGCACGCCAATTTGCTGGAGGAGTCGCGCAACAAGCAGAAAATCTCGGTGTTGCCGATGTACGGGGCCCTGCCGCACCACGACCAGCTCAAAGTCTTCAGGCAGGCGCCGGAGGGCCACAGGAAAATCGTGGTGGCCACCAACATAGCGGAGACATCGGTTACGATACCGGGAATCGTCCACGGTAATCGATTTGAAAATCTCCTTCAATCGATTTGGTTTTAATTCGTTTGGTTTGTCGGCAGTTATCGATTGCGGTTTCGTGAAATTGAGGTGGTACAATAACGAGACTCACACGGATAGTTTGGTTACGTTTCCCATTAGCAAATCGTCGGCTGATCAACGAGCGGGTCGAGCCGGAAGGCTGAGAGCTGGAAAAGTGTATAGGTAGCATAAATCTTTAGCTCTTTCTGCCCCAAAATGTAGTACTAATAGATCCGATTTCTTGTAGATTGTACACGGAAGAGTTCGCTTCGAAGTTGGCCGAAAACACCCCGCCAGAAATGGTGAGGAGTAATCTAACTTATGCCGTGTTACAAATCAAAGCTCTGGGTATCGCGAATATCCTCAAGTTCGATTTCCCCAGTCCGCCTCCGTTGGAGAACTTAAGAAGCGCTTTGGAGATTCTCTACGCTTTGGACGCGATCGATATCGATTGCGAATTAACCAGACCGTTGGGCTTCAACATGGCCGAGTTCGCTTTGGATCCCTTGTATTCCAAAGTTTTATTTAGTTCTGGTAAATTTGCGAGATATATCTAGAAACCAAGTAGTTAAAGTTTTCGTTTTTTAGGGGAGTTTGGTTGTTCTGAAGAAATTCTCACCATCATATCCATGCTTCAAGTCGAAACGGTGTTTACGAAACCCTCTACAGGTACTTCGATAATTAAATCGAGGATACAGAAGAGGCTGTTCGAAGTGGAAGAGGGCGATCTGATAACGTATTTGAACGTGTACAACGGGTTCATCCAAAGCGACATGTCGCAGGGATTTTGCCACAAGAACTTCCTCAGCTACAAGGGCTTGAAGAGGGTGGTGGAGATACGGAAAAGGCTGGAGAAGATGCTGAGGAATTACGGGATTCGTATAGAGTCTTGCATTAGTACGTAGTTTTGGGCTTTGTTGGAGAGCTTGCTGTATTTAACTGGAGTTTCGTTGTGTTTCAGGATCAACCGAAAGTATAAGGAAGTGCCTGGTGAAAGGACTGTTTCCTAATGCTGCTTACCTGCATCACAGCGGCGTTTACAAAACTATTAGGGGAGATATTGAATTGTTCGTGCATCCTGATAGTGTATTGTACACTATTCCTCAACCGCAATGGTAAGTTGTTAGTTGGTTTTATGAATATTTGTTTACTAGGAAATTTTTTTAGGGTATTATTTTGCCAAGTTGTTCATACTACAAAGCTGTTTATGAGGGATTTGACTGTTATCGAAAGTGACTGGTTGATTGAATTGGCGCCTCATTTTTATTATAAAACTACGTTTTTGGAATAAAACATCTTTGAATACTAATTTAAAACTTTATTTGCCTCTTAACTTTTTTCTCTTTAAGTATTCCTGAACATTGTCGTATTTTCTTTTGTATAATACAGTAAAACCGCTATTATCTATCGGTGTGAACAAGGTATTGTATTTTTCACAAATTTTATCCAAACTCGAGTTGATTCGAATTAAATCGGGTAGTTTAAAACTCGTTAAGTTATTATCGTACACATACAAATCCTCTTTTAAACAGAAACTAAACGAACAACCGATTTGTAATTTACGAATTAAATTCGGTTTAAAATTAGAAACATCTACGCTATACAAGTTAATACAATCGTAATTAAATACAGATATGGCTACGTATAACGAAGAATGACTCGCACACACTTGCATATCGAGTACCGGAAGAGCGGATATTTCCACTTTTTCCTTAACCATTTGTTCGGAAAATTCTTGCAATGATTGTTTTCTTTCGATATCCGCATTACTGTCGATGATTCCTAACTGCTTGCCTTCGAGGAAATCCCAAAACCTGATTGTCCCGTCTCCGGAACCAGACACTAATACATTTTCTACGACATTTATTTTATGAACGAAGTTGGTGTGTCCCAAGCAGTAACTGGCTATGTTATAGCAATTGGGAAAATGGGACACTCTGATTTTCTCGTCCCGGTCGCTCGTAATGATGTATTTACCGCATTCGCTGAAAGTAATGTCTAAAATCACGCTTAGGTGCCCGAGGAGTAGTTCAGGTTTGTTTTCGTCGTCTTGTAGTTTGTACAGGTAAACATCTCCGGTTTTATCGGCTACTATAAGGTCATCGGATGGTGTGAAACAAGCCTTGCAAGGAGCTCGGTTCGCTACGAATCTTTTGATTAATTTGAAATCTGGGTCGTAAATTAAAATGTGCTTGTTTTCCGTTGATACGACTATGTATTTTTTCGAAGGTGAGAGTTCTAATGAATTAATGCTTCCGTTATCTTTGCTGACAGCATCGGTTTGCTTCGGATTATCTGGTGGTGGGTTTTCTATTTTTTTGTAACTATCACTCGATTTTTCAATGTCGTAGCGAATTATATTGTCTGCAGTAATTATGTATAAATCGTTATCGTTTTTCTTTAGTAAAACCATGTTTTCGTTTACAATAATTCAAAACACATTTAATTTAACCTAAAAATGTCTACTAAATGTCATTTATGGCCTTGTTTGAGTATGACATTCAGTCTATATTGTGTGTTAAAAATGGCAACACTGTAAAATTTTATGAAAGGTAGCTGTACAGCTCAAATGGAAGAGGGCAAAACACTGAAAAAAAGTAGAAAGCTAGAAGTCAAAGGTGACAAACATGAGAAAACATACATTAGAAAATTATTTTATAAATATTAATATTTATTAAGACTATGGCATTATCCAGTGCGATTAATTACACTCAGTTAAGAGAATGGGCTCCATTAACAGAATTGTTGACGAAGCTACCGTCGAAAATTCAAAATGGTTTATTTTACCAGGATGTTAAAATTACTTGTATTGATGTTATACATGAATTTATTGCCTTAGGCACAAATATAGGTACTGTTTATTGGTTCGATCGACATAAAAGAGAATTACAAAGGCTCAGATCTGAAGTGAGTTTGTACTTATATATTTTCTATTTTAAAACTTAAATTTATAACTATTCGATTTCTAGGAAAACATTCCAATCACGTCAATAAAAGTGATATCTACAGTGGATTATATGGTAGCTTGTGGAAACACTGTAGGAAACGTAAATATATTTCAAATACCAAAGTCCCATCCGGATAATATACCAGAAAACTTACGCCCGAAAAACAAACAAATAGAAAGGTACACAGTAACAGATTTACACAAATCGCTCGTAACTGCATTGGAATGGTCCAAGAATGGCATGAAATTATTTTCGGGGGATAAGAACGGATGTGTAGTCATGACGGAAATAGACTTTTACATGGTAAGTTACTGGGAAAATGTATTGTACAAAGGGATGATTTGAGGATGTAATAGTTTCTTGTTTCAACAAATATGTAGGGTTTTTGAATTTTAATGAAAATAACTAGATTTATTCCAGCACATTTGTAAATCCGTTGAAATATTAAATGAAGCCTACGAAGTGGTACAATTAAGTTACAATTTGAAACGATTGCTGGTATCCACAACTTACAGGAGTATTATTTGCCAAAACTTGGAGAAATGGAAAGTGTCCCAAGTAGGAACAAAAGATCGAAAAATGTAAGTCCAACCGTTTGTTTTAAAAATATTTACAACGCTAAATTATTTTTGTTTACTGTAAAATTTCGCAATGTTTATTATGATAATGGTAACAGTACCGAAATTTGTTTATTGTTTGGTACAATTTTAATTTATTTTGTAGACTGGGAATATTTGGTGGGGTAATTTATCAACACAGCGAAAAACCTTCTGATACTGTGCTCTACTGCACTCGACCGGGCTTAAGGATATGGATATCCGATATCGATGGAAATGTTCAAAAAACTCTTTTATTTAAGGTACTATTTATGTCTACTATATCGCCCATATTATGTATGTAATAATCTGTTTTTTTAAAGGATCTTTTAACCAAAGAATGCTCTGAAGTGCCATTAATCAACCCCATTTCCGCCAATCTAAAGAGAATAAAACCCCAAAAAGAATCCGCTTTCGGCATTCTCTTGCCATTCAATTCACACCTATTAGTAACTTACAGCAATGATGTAGTCTACATTCTAGATCCTAAGGAAATGAGTATTATTTCTAAAGTTAGTCACCTTAGAGGGTAAATATAATTTACTTATGTTTGTACGCTAATTAATTATTTAAAAATTTTAGAGTTTTGCATGTATCTACGTATAAGGACGAGATATTTATCTTAGAGGAAGACCGTAGCATTATCAGGTTATCTTACAAGCCGGAGGAAGTGGTTTGTGGTACGATCATTTAAATTCTTTATAAAAAATCCGTTGCATTAATTTTTTTTTTGTCGTCAGGTAACACATTCTCGACTGTAAACAACGTTTTCGCTCCGTTATCATCATTCAAAGACCTGACTGTGAAGCTGCAATCGTCGAATATCTTGCCTGCGATACCGTCGTTGTTGGAAACGAATCATAACGGCGATATGGAGGTTCACACCGACGAGAATTTGATAATGAACGCCGAAGAAGCGCAGGAATCGCCCACCAGGGGCGGCCAAGACGTTCAAAGGAAGTTCGAGGAGATAGGAAAGAAGCAATTCGAAGACGATATACTGTACAAAAAGAGCAGGCGGCGCAAAAAACGAACGTCCCCAGACGCGAACGCCGGCACCGAAAGCATAAGTTCGGCGAGTTCCGATGAAAGAGAAGTGAATTGCATTAAACCTACCATAATGAATTTGAGCACGGTGGGAGTGTTACCGGACTTGAGAAGTCCCGAATCGATTAAATACGACATAGAGTACAAGGAGAAAATCTTAGCGGACGTTTTGAATTTAGATAAAGTCAAACTGAGCGAGAGCGATAGCGAAGTTCGACGTATCGAAAGCAACTGTGATTCATCGCATATCGATAAACTGGAGATGTGTAGTAAAATGAGTAAAATCCTGTCTTCGACGAAACACCTGGGGAACCTAAATGGAAAATCCGATTTCCCGATGCCGGAAATACCGCAGCAATTGAGCATTTTGAGCAAGAGCACTGACGATACTCACAAGTCGAATCCTCCTAAATTACCGCCAAACAATCAGAATGGTGTCAGTAAGAGCAACGTTTCGAATAAATTACGAGACGACACTCCAGGTATGTCAGTTTTGCGGAAAATGTATCTCTAAAATCAGTCGATCATTCGTCATGCTTATTCTGAAATTACTCGCATTTTTTTGCACTAGTCATTAGATTCGCATGCTACTGTAATAAAAATGGACGAGTTCGGTAACGAGAAGAAACATTCGTACATATAACAGTATATTTCAATAGTATGCGATAATGTGCATGTTGTCCATTTTACTTGACGAGTCCTTCGATTAAATTGATTGTTACGTGAACGTGTCTACACAAATCTCTTTTTTTTTTTGGATAAACCGGCCCTGCGAATAGTTAGTTGTATATCCGTGCATGCCATTCCAATATTACCGAACTTTTCTATTTGAATTCTTTCAGCTTGTATGAGCATTCCGAATACGTGGGGATTGACCAACATTCGTATTAGAGAGAGGACCATCAGTGTGAAATCAGATGAGTCCCTCGACGATTGGGAAATCGTTTAATTATTATTATTATTACTCATTTTTGTTGGAATATTTTTTATTACTGCGCTTTAAACATTATTTTAATTTTTAGATAAAAGTATGGTTGGGATTTACTAGAAATTTCGAATATAAATTTATCTTGAATTGTTGACATTTTTTTTAGTTTATTTTATAGAAGATAACGTAAATCTCTACCGCAAACTGTTATTTTGTATTTATTTTAATATCCCACATTTTCTTATTATACTGTATTTTATATGTATCGAAGAGACTATAAATTAAAGAAAGTTATTGCTTCGTTACTTTAAATTACCTTGTAATTTTTTATCCTAAATTTAAATATACAATGTGGCAAATAATTTTGTGTAAGTATTTTTTATATTAATGAATCTGTCACACTTAATGCCTCACCTCTATACACAAAAGCAAAAATTCATCTTGTTTTTTTTCTTTTACTTATCAGAAGATTAAAGGTAATTCCGTACATATTTATACATATATCAATATAAAATTTTTACAATAATCAAAACCAATCAGAATGTAGTTAATCAATTCTGCAATACAAAATAAAGATTCAACGCAATTTACCAATTATCATTTACCACCGAAACCGCCCATTAAGTTACCTAAACCGCCCAAACCGCCGGCGGCGCCCGCCTGAAGTTGCCTCATCATATTCTGCAAACCGGCCATTCCGCCCATCTGCTGCAACACCCTCGGGTCCATCATCTTGGCCATTTGCTGGTTGAGCTTCGCCATTTGATTGTGATTGACGTTCTTGGCCATATCGCCGCCTTTGAACAAGCCTTTGATGCCGCCCATTTTCTTCACCACGGCGGCGAATTTCGTGTATTGCTGGATGAGATCTTTCACTTCTCGTTCCGTAACGCCCGATCCTTGGGCCACTCTAATTACCCTGCCGTTTTGCTTCGTAAACAGCTTCGCCCCGTCTCTGTTGTCTAATTCGTAGTCGTTCATGCTGTCCATCATTGTCATTAGTCTTTTTAGTCTCGCCATGGACTCTTGTTCGCTGCCCTTCGACATGAAATCTTGACTGAAACCGGGAATCATGCCCTAAAAATAAATATACACTCTTAATTTCCAAAGATCCTGCGAGTACTGGAAAAGTTGTTAAAATGATATTACCATAATTTGCGAGAAAGGACCCATTTTCATAATATTTTGGAACTGTTCGTACATATCTCTCAGAGTAAATTGCCCGTGCTTGATTTTCTCCAAAAGTTCTTCGTTATCTTCCAACTTTAATTCGTTTACTTTATCTATCAAGCCCTCGATATCTCCCATGCCTAGTAATTTACTGATGAAGGGTTTCGTTTTGAACGGTTCCAAATCGTCTATATGCTCTCCAGTACCGATGAAAATAATCGGACTATTCGTGGCCGCAACACTAAAAGAAAATGTACAAAATGATAACATTAAAAGTTTTATACGAAAGATGTATTATACTTACGCACTAAGTGCACCACCTCCTTTAGCATGACCGTCCAATTTGGTGATAATTACCGAACCAACGTCGACTTTCCCTTTAAATGCCTTTGCTTGGGATTCACAAGCTTGACCGATAGTGGCGTCCATAACAAAAATGATATTGTCCGGTTTCTACAACAAATTATAATAATTTAGAAATGATGCAGTGTTTAATTTATATCTCATCGTATACATACCACTGCATTTGAGACAGCCAACATTTCTTCAAACAAAGACTCCTCTTGTTTGTGCCTACCACTAGTATCAACAATAATGACTTCGAATCCTTCTTTTTTGAACATATCGACACCATCTTGTGCTATAACGACTGGATCTACTTCGGTGTAACTACGAAAAATGTATATTAATCAAAGCTGCAATTCGAATTAATAAAGATGTACCTTCCATAAAAGGGTATCCTAGCTTTCGTACAGTTCTGTTTGACTTGATCGTAAGCACCGGCTCTGAATGTATCGGCACATACTAGGCAAGACTTCCAATTTTTCTTTTGATAATAATACGCTAATTTAGTGCACGTGGTCGTTTTACCGGAACCTTGAAGTCCGACAAACATTATAACATTCGGTTTGCCTTTTATCGGTTGGTATGGTTTCACATTGGGGTCTACTAACTAGTAATAAAAATATGTATGTTAATTTCAAGTGGGATATTAGGAAAGTGGTATATTACTTTTACGAGTTCCCTGAATACTGCGCTTTGGATCATCCTGCGCTTATTGAGCCCTCCGGCCATTTCATCGAAATCGATAACGGACTTAACATTTTCTCTAAGCGACTTGACCAACTTGATATTAACATCAGCTTCGATTAGAGCGCGACAAATGTCGTTTAGCATTCCATTTAAAACCTAAAATTAGGAAAATGATGTGTTTAGTTTACAACGCATTGTCCATCTGGGGCGCTTTACCTCTTCATTGATAATAGTAGCCTTGCTGAGGGACTGCAAGGCAGTCGTAATTTTACGACCTAAATCTGCTAAAACCATTTTTATTCAATATTTTAACGTTTCGAAATTTTTAAATAAATAATTTCATTTCTTAAAAAGTTGATTTGATATGACAACTTCTTGACATTGGAAAACAATCTTAAAATTAGGTTAGAAACGTGACATTTTAGTGACGTTTGTGACACGTGGATTACGTTCTGTTGTTCTGTGCCGAACCAACTCATTTTTCCATCCTTCTTTATCTAAATAAATTTACATTCTTCTTCTTTGTTGCCTTTCTCTCTTCTTTTTCTTTACTTTAATCGTACTAGTACCAGTTACACATTGAGCAAAAGTCCTCATAAATTAAGGTTAGGATAGCTCTCATCTATTTTTAATTTTTATGCTACCTAAATAATGAGTTGCCCACATATTATAAAAGATATTCATCAATTTGTAACGGATAAATCAGAATTGGAAAACCTGCCAGGCGATTCGTTAAATTACAGCGTCAAACAATTATTAAAGAATTGTCTGGATTATTCTCTGAACACAGACTCACTAATAGATCCTTCCAAGCTTTTAGAAATAGAAAGTATCCTAGATTTCCTCAATGATGAATTAAACACAGGCCATTGGAGTGAAGTACCGATACACATAAGACAGTATTATACTCTAAGTAGTTTTATAAAATGCGTAATTATTGTAAAGAACAATCGTAATTACAGCGAAGATGTGATTAGAAAATGCTTGAAATGCCTAGATTTAGGCTTACTTTTGGGCGCTCCTTTACAATATAATACCGAACTATTAACGGATTCCGCTAAATACATAAGAAAATTACTAAACAAGTGTCGTTTGAAAAATGAAGAATATTGTACAAATAACGAGTCTAACGATAAAGTAACAAAAATTGAAGACTTCCAGAGCCTTCCTGGAAAATATATAGATCAAATCGAATGCCCATCATTGGAGTATTTCAATAAACATTACTTTTTACCCCAAACACCTGTAAAACTTCAAGGTAGAGCAATACAAGCAAAGTAAGCAAGGATTTAATGAATTTATTTATTATAGGATGTTTACAACATTGGCCGGCTTTGAAAAAATGGCAGGACATCAATTATTTACTAGAAATAGCCGGGGATCGTACAGTTCCCATCGAAATAGGATCGCATTACGTGGACGAGAATTGGACACAAAAATTGATGACCCTGAAAGAATTCATCGAAAGGCACTACTTAAGCGACACAGGAGATATCGGTTACTTAGCACAACACAATTTATTCGAACAGGTACGTTTTATCACGAAAAATATTTCGATAAATTAATATGTCTTTGCAGATAACCGAACTCAAAGATGATATACGGATTCCCGATTACTGTTGTTTGAGTACAGATTACGAACATACAACAGAACCGGACATAAACGCTTGGTTGGGACCTAAAGGAACGGTTTCGCCTTTGCACCATGATCCTAAAAATAATTTACTAACACAGGTAATAGTACATTGAAGTAAATCTGTATATTTATTTATCTTTTAAAGGTGTACGGAACAAAACAAATTATACTATTTTCGCCTGAAGATACCCCAAATCTGTACCCTCACGATGATAAATTATTGAATAACACAGCCCAAGTAGATCCTGTTAACCCGGATCTGCAGAAGCATCCGAAATTTTCAAATGCACATATTTACAAATGCCTTTTAGAACCAGGCGAGATGGTATTTATACCTGTAAAGTGGTGGCATCATGTTACAGCCATCGAAAAGAGTTTTTCTGTAAGTTTCTGGTGGCAATAAATTTCTTCTATTTTACATATCTTTTATTTTTAATAAGTTAAAAAAAACAATAATCGAACAGTTTCAAAAAACAATGAGTGACTAACAAAAATTAGTGCATGATTTAAAACTAGAAATTTTAAAACATACTTCTTATTATTAACTTCTCTTAAATAATGATTAATAAGATCCCATTACCTTGCTATTACATCACAAACCATTTATAATTTAAAGCTAAAAAGTTTCCTTCATGAAAATACTCCTTAACCTGGCTATGATGTCACGTTATTTGAGAGGCAAATGTGTCAAAATATCTAAGAAAAGTGGAGAAATCTTTAATCTTACAGAGAAATAAGGCATTACTCAAAAGAAAAAATTGCAATATTTCAGCTAAAGACATCATCACCAGGGTAGCTTGAACATATTATATATAATATAAACCCTTTCTAAGAACATACCTGTACATGGGGAAAAACTGTCGTTTATAGAGTAGAATTATTCATCTTTTGCAGTCTCTGAAGATAGAGTCAATTTCTTCTGAAGTTTACTGTGCTCTTCAGCAAGACGATCATACTCTTTAGCAAGGTTGTCAGCTTGACTTTTGATCGCAGACTTATCTTTCTTCATGAGTACCAGCTCCTCTTCTAGAGTGTCGATTTTATGCTTCAAGTTGCTGACCTACATTATCATTAAATAGATAGAGAATCAAATATTCCATAGTCCAAACTCCATTTTCTAATACATCAATTACAAATAAAATTACCTCTTTATCTTGAGCTTCGTTGACTTCGTTCTGCGCGATTTCCCCCTTTTGAGCCAACAGGCTTTTCGCAGCAGTCGTGGCGCTCTGGGCCTGTCTCATAGAAGCTTCGGATTGGGCTTGTAGAGTGGCCTGTTCGCTGATTAAAATGACGAGTCTTCGAATAACGAGCGACAAGAACAAAGCGAAGCCGGAGATGTAGAAGTTACGTTGGGCTCTGAAGAGCCTCATCGAGCCTTGCATTTCGCGGTCCAAGTGAGCGTGACCGCCGTGTTCCTCGTTTTCTGTAAATTATATGGTAACTAGAAGTGTTACGGAGGAATATTCGAGAACTTACCGATGTAATACGAGTACTTCCTCATCTCCCTAATTGCGTCTAAAAGGAATAGTACCAGAATACCCAAGAGCATTAGGAAATAAAAGCCCGCTTGTCTTTGCAGCCCCTGCAGAAACTTCGATTTGAAGAACGAGTTCCATCTTTTCGGCGATGCCACTGGAAGTACCAAAAGAAGTACTACCCCGATTTCCAGGTAGAGGAAACCGGCTATAATCGTCCACTGGAGACTCATTCTAACTGCTCGAAATGAGGTTAACACTGACTAAAACGGTTGAGGATGGTCGATTGGTTCTATTTAAAGGTCTGCAACGAAAATATGATGTGGCTTTAATCTATTTTTGCAATCGAAATAAAAAAAATTACTCACCGTTCTAAAGATCAAAATGACGTATCAAAAGTGTAATGAAGTTTGAAGTTGACATTGTTGACAGATTGCACTTTACATTTCTTCCTCTTGTTAATACTTATTCTTTATTATTCGAACACAACAATTAGCACTACCGCTTTAAACACTCTTTAATTCAACAATTAGAACATTTTAGTTAATTATCGAATCAAAACCATGGCAATTCGTGATCTACAATAATAATGGCCTCTAGCAACATGCGCATCCAGCGAGAACCAGTCATAAATTTTGACAGTGACAGAAAAGTCATTAACGTCAGACGTCAGATCACACGTCAGATACACAAACATGTGAGTTGAATGGTGCACACACTTGGATATTTCAACTGATGCAAATTGATGGAAACGAAACAAAACAATAATTTTGGCGTTTAAATAATTTGTCTAAATCAGACGGTGTCATATACTCGAATTATCCGCGTTAATAAACTATCGAACAAACTTCAAATGTTCGAATAGGGCAGCGATGAACATCGACGATGATAATTTCTACGAAGATTCAGGTAACGAAACGAGCGGAGACGATGTAGATTTCGTAATAGACGTAGACACCTCGTCGCAAAGCAGAGAACTGCAAAGCTACGATGAGGAATACCAATACGAAGTGTTATCAACCGAAGATATCGTTCAACACATGATCGACTGCATCAAAGAAGTGAACACTGTAGTGCAAATACCTTCGACCACAACAAGGATACTTTTGAACTACTTTCATTGGGATAAGGAGAAACTCATGGAGAAATTCTTCGATGGCAATCAAGACGAATTATTTAAAGAAGCCCACGTTATTAACCCTTTCAGGAGAGTGAGCGTGTCGAAACCGAAAATAGCTAATAAAGCCTTGGGTACAGAAGAATGCGACATTTGTTTTATGATATTCTCTTCTTCCCAAATGACTGGATTAGAATGCGGTCACCGATTTTGCTATCAATGCTGGAACGAATATTTAACAACTAAAATAATGGAAGAAGGTGTCGGGCAAACGATAGCCTGTGCAGCCCACAATTGCCCTATTTTAGTAGACGATCAAACGGTTATGAGATTGTTAAAAGATCCACGAGTGAAACTCAAATACCAACATCTAATTACAAATAGTTTTGTGGAATGCAATCGCTTGTTGAGGTGGTGCCCCAGTCCCGATTGCAGTTACGCTATAAAGGTGCATAATTTTCTCATTATTTTATACCTATAATTCTAACAACATTATCTGTAGGTCGCTTATGTGGAAGCCAAGCCAGTCGCTTGCAAATGCGGAAACGTATTTTGCTTTGCATGCGGAGAAAGTTGGCACGATCCGGTCAAATGTGGTTTACTTAAAAAGTGGCAAAAGAAATGCGATGATGATTCCGAAACCTCCAATTGGATCGCAGCCAATACCAAGGAATGCCCTAAATGTAACGCTACTATTGAAAAAGACGGTGGCTGTAATCACATGGTTTGTAAAAATCAAAATTGCAAGGCGGACTTTTGTTGGGTGTGTCTCGGGCCTTGGGAACCGCACGGGAGCTCTTGGTACAACTGCAATAGGTAAGCAAAGATTAAAATCTTTTCAATGAGGTTTGTTTCAATGAATTTTTTGACGTACATAGGTACGATGAAGACGAGGCGAAAGCCGCCAGAGACGCCCAAGAAAAATCCAGAGCGGCCCTACAAAGATACCTTTTCTACTGCAACAGATACATGAACCACATGCAATCCTTGAAGTTTGAACACAAACTGTACGCGTCGGTTAAAGACAAAATGGAGGAGATGCAACAGCATAACATGAGCTGGATCGAAGTGCAGTTTCTAAAAAAGGCCGTCGACATTCTGTGCCAATGCAGGCAAACGTTGATGTACACTTACGTGTTTGCTTACTATTTGAAGAAAAACAATCAGTCTGTGATATTCGAAGATAACCAAAAGGACCTGGAGAGGGCCACAGAGCTCCTGAGCGAGTATCTCGAACGGGACATTACACAAGAGAATCTCATAGACATAAAGCAGAAGGTACAAGATAAATATAGATACTGCGAAGGAAGGAGAATGGCGTTGTTGGACCACGTACATGAAGGCTACGAAAAAGACTGGTGGGTCTACAGCGAATGAAATATAATATCGAATCATGATTAGTGTACCTAATTCGTTCCTGTAACGGTACTAATTATAACTTGCTTTATATAAAATTAAAATGACTATATTTCTTATACACACTTTTACTAATACTAACGTTACTCGTTACGTTATTACCCCGAAATATCTGCGAAAATTAAATAATTCGAATAACTAGTCTTTAAAGAGCAATAAAAATAAATTATGTATTTTATTAAAAGCAAAAAAAAACACAATTGGTACTTATTTATTTTTCACTTGCCTGCGTCTTCCTTTAAACCGACAGTTTGATTGATGACGAGCTAAAAATTGTATAATTAGAAATAACTTTAGTTAATACTAAATAACACTTACTTTCTCTTTATTAGTATCGGGGTCAATAGAAAAGAATCCAATTCTCTCAAACTGGTACGTCTCCCCAATATTTGCATTTAGCAGAGATTTATCGGCGAAACTTTTTAAAATTTTTAAAGAATCTTTGTTGCAATCGGACAGAAATCCACCGGGCACTTCAACGGGATCTTCGGGATTTTTATGTTTAAACCTGGCAACATAGAAAAATAACTCTGAAATTACGATACTGAGCCCGGAGTTTTTTTTACTTACAGCGAAGAGTACAATCTGATTTCGATTTCTCGCGGATCGCTAACCCAATGGATAAATGCCTTCGGTTTTGTCTCGCATTTATCCGCTACTATGCATTCGCATTTCACCTCTTTTATCGAATCTCCCGCTTTTTTAACATCTATTACTTTTAGAACGTAACCGGCGTGACGAATACCCACCGGTTGTGTTTTAGTTAGGCGACGATAACCCTTTTCGCCTACCTGCAAAACCAATTACAATAGAATAAACAAACTGTACACATCTAGAAACTCCTTACCTCCATAAAATCGCTAGTTTCGATGTAAATCGTTCTATCGAAGGTGATGTTGTGACTTCCCAATTCCGGTTTCGCAGGAAAGTTAGGAACTGATATGGTGACAGGTTTGTCGTGAGGGAAGTTTTCAATAGTAATCTTCAACGGTTCCAACACCACCATTCGCCTGAAATATGCAACATTGTACCACTCAATTTTACATACAAGTAAATTGTCTACCGTGGAGCGGTGTCGTTGAGATAATCTCTAACGAAGGCTTCCAACATCGATGGATCGACCGTGCTTTGTGAGCCGGTAACTCCCAGTTGAGCGCAGAAATTGTTAATGGCTTGCGCGGGAAAACCGCGTCTCCTCAAAGCCGTTAGAGTAAACAATCTAGGATCATCCCAATCTGAAACACGAATAAACTACAGGAGAGTTTCGAGTGGATTAAAAGTATACCTTTAACGATTCCTTCGTCGATAAGTTTAGCTATTTTTCTTTTCGATACCACTGTATAGTTTACATTCAATCGACCGTACTCCCATTGAACAGGACAGTAAATATTTAAAGCGTTGCACAACCAATAATAACTCGATCGCCTATAACGAGATATCGTTTAACATAAAAATTCTTGTTTATTTTAATACGAATACCTCGATTGGAACTCTTTGGTACACAATGAATGCGTGATATTCTCGATACTATCGCAAAGACAATGAGTGTAATCGTAGGTAGGATAGATACACCATTTATCACCTGTTCTATGATGGGGGATAAATCTCACTCTATAAGCGACCGGATCGAGTTTTCCCTCCTCTAGAGTGATTTTCATTCTCAACGTAGCTGCGCCCTCGTCTATTTTACCGTTTTTCATGTCCTACAAATGATTTATTTAAGCGTATTCCAATTTAATAGCGCATTATTCAATGCATTACTTCGAATAGCTGAATATTCTCGGCAACAGGACGGTCTCTCCATGGCGACGGTTGCGGATTAAAACCCTTCATTTCATCAGCCGATTGATGGCAAACGTAAGCTAGGCCCTTCTTTATCAGCACCACAGCCCATTCGTATAATTGCTCGAAGTAATCGGAAGAGTGCGTTATTTTATAAGGAGTGTACCCTACAAATAACTTCATGATAGTATTGTAAGTTTGCGTATACGAATGGTAAACTCACCCAACCAAGATACCATGTCTTTGATGCCGAGGAAGAATTTTTCCTCTTCCTTTTCGGGATTCGTATCGTCGTAACGAAGGAAACAAATACCGTTATTCGCTGCCGCATAACCGAAATTTATGTTGATTGCTTTGGCATGTCCGATGTGAAGGATGCCGTTGGGTTCCGGTGGAAATCTAGTTCTGACCTATCAAATTTAATACGATTATCATTACAAGAATCGTTATAGTTAGTTTAAATTCATACCTGCCCACCTGTAAGCTTCAGGTGCTCTTTCAATAATTTCTCTGTATGATCGGTTACAACGTAACCGTCTGTTTTGTAATTTTCTCCTGGCGAATGAAAGTTTATTTTCTTCATCACATCGGATATGGTAAGAGTTTGATCTACGATGGATACATGATAATACTATTGGAAATTAATATGTGTGTGTGATAAATTTTTACCTATAGTTTGCTCAGCTTTTTTAGCAACAGGCGCTGCTTTTGCGTCAGTCTTGGCATTCTTATTAGAAGCTTTCGGGATTGGCGCTAAATCGGCTTCGGTTTTCGGCCCGAGTAAATCAAATACCTTAAGTAACAATACAAAAATTAATAAGGTTACCTTGTAAATGAATTAAAGTTTGTACCTGCAGATCAACTTCATTTTTCACCGCTTTACCATCGGCCCACATTAATTCCGATCTGACTTTCTGCATAAGCGGCCCCGTATTGAATCTGTATCTCTTCTCGAGTAGCTCTTGTTTATTCGCTTTAATATACTTCTCTACGACTTTTTCGATTTGCTCGGGACTTACTACGATCCCTACACCGCAGTATTTCTCCAATTCGTTTGTGTTTAGGTCGCTTATATGAGATAGAGCGAATTCTATAGCTCTGTCTACCCTCAATGTGGTATCCAGTTTTTTAGAAGCTACATACTTGACTAATGTTGGTAAATGCTGAGCAATTTGGGGCTTGATTTTCGTACCGAGTTGGTATAATAATACACCAGTTCCTTCTGGTATATTTACGCCTCGCACCTGTTCGAAATATGTTTAATACTGCTTCAATATTGCGAAAGACACGCTTACCTCGTGAAGAATCCTTTGAAGAGTGTTCGTAACAACGGTGTTTTTTAGAGTTTCCTTTGCCTTTTGTTCACTCAATCCTAAGCTCATAAAAGCTTTTATAGTTTCTTCGTTATTTTGAGACATTTTGATGATTAATAAACCTCATCCACATCCACACAGACGAATTCAAACCCGGTGGCTGTGACCTTTTGACATTAGATGACAGTTGACGACTTGACGTTGTTGTCTTGTCATTACCACGTGTAATTTAAATATTTTTTAGTTGCCAAATAGCCTTACCGATGAGGCCTCAAAGCGAAAAGAAGATTTTTTTTTAAAGTGACCCTTCAAATGTCATGTCATATTATATTTTTTCAAATAAAATCGTTTTTATAACACTCAAAACTCAAATTCAAATATTTTTTCTTTATAGGAATTATAGGTAGTCTAATTAATATTTGTGTTACTGTTCGATGTATCCATTTATGCAACAAATCGGTAAATAAAACATGTTGCCATAGCAACTACATATGTATAATCATAACAGTTCATTGATAATTTTACCAGTGGATAATGAGTCAATTAAAATTGGAATCAAGATCCGACTTAAATCTTCAAGAAGGGCTTCAAGAAGAAGATGCTGAGGAAGCCAAAGAGACCGAATCGTCTATAACTGAAGGATCTTATCAAATAAAACCGTCGTTACAATCAAAGTAAAGCACAAAAACAGTTAACTAAAAATCTCCTAACATCATTGGGTTTAGATTTAAGGAACTACCTGTGAAAGAAATAATGAGGGGCGTACTTGAAGATTTATTGGCCGGGAAGGCATACGACCCAGAGATGGTTCAAAGCTGGACAATTACGATAGCAAACGAAGTCAGTGACCGAGTAAAAGGTATGTATTCGGAGTCTTAATAAATGCCGAAACATACAAAATATTATTTAAGATCTCGAGATGAAAAGGTACAAGCACGTAGTGCAAGTGCTCCTCGGTGAAATGAGAGGGGCAGGCGTGAAATGCGGAGCTCGGTGCGTTTGGGATTCCGAAGTGGACAATTACACGAGCGAGATATTCTTGAATGTAAGTAGATAAATGTTTTATCGAGTTATTTTGGGGATAATAAGTGGAATATTTTTTTTTTCTAGGATACTATATTCTGTGTTACGACGGTATTTGCGGTTTACTTATATTAAATAAAATTCGATTTGCATTCATGTGCGTTTATTAAATTAGTTCATCATGCATGATTCGTATGTGGGTATGAGGTATTTGATGTTAATGAAAGCGTCTTCGCCACCGTATCTTTCCAAAACTTCCAAAGTTTCGTTTATTATATCTGCTAAATTGTCTCCTCTCATTTGGCTGTAGTCGATTTCGTCACCACAATTTACTGTAATTAATATACAGATTAATATTTATATGATTTTAATGGGTGTTGTCTTACCGTTTCTTTCTTTGAACAAATTCAATGTGGGTAAAATTTGCCGATAATAGGGTACTAAAGCCTCCCCGATCAAATCTCCCGATTTAACAAGATGCTGTAGAACTTGCAAGGTGGCGATCATGATGTGCTTATTTTTAGTCCTTAAAGCGTCTGGAATTGTTGGTAAACTGTTTAGAATATACTGTTTAAAAATGTTTCGATACTACCTTTGATAGGTATTATTAATTGCGGAATGCACGGAAATATTTTCGTCCCTCCATGTGTTAGTAAATCGTGGATGCCTTGTTGAGCGAAGAATGTGTAAGGGTATTCGGTTTCTATGAGTCCTTCGAAGAATATTGGGAGGTAATAATGGTAATCTAATTTCGTAATATCTGCCTAAAACCAGTGTTGTTTTTACTTACTTTTTTTACTGTTTTGTATTTGAAATACATACTTTCCAAGAAATTTTCGAAGCCCTAGGATCGATTCCGACTGGTAACGTTCCTCTGTTGTAATTGTCTCGAAAGTGAGTGTTATTTATCGTCAACACTTTATATACATTGCATTTCGGAGGTGGAATCACGCACGTGTGCTTTTGCAGGGCTTGAATGGTGAACGGGGGTACCCAGATTTTGCAATCTTTCTGGGTCTTTTTGCCGTTAATTCTCGCCTCTTTTCCAGTAACCATCTTGTGAAATACAGATATTTACGCTATACTGAAAATTAAGTGCCAAATGAGGGATGTAACTGTGGCAACGCGACGTTTGATCAATTTTTTCTTTGGATATTAAATTACATTCCAGAGATTTCTTAAATCAATATAAATCGGGGCTAATTGTTTTCGTGACATAGATATAGTTTCTAGATGTATCGTGAACGTTTGAAAATTTATTTGGGCTCGAGAGTTAACTTAATTGAATGTTTATTGTTCAAAACCTACATACAGATGAAAATAATCTTTAAAAACTATGTAACATTTAATTCAGAAATTTACATTACAAATATCAACGTTTTAAAATTAATTTATACACAAACTGTCGAATGAAACAGCTAACATATTGTATCGTTTTTATTTCTTATAATCACAAATAAATAAAGTGAAATTTGCTAGTTTAACCGACTATTAAAAGGCCCTCCTCGGGGAAGGAGTACGGCGGTACTTCCAAATTCAAAGGAGCGGGTCCTTTGCGAATACGCCCCGAAGCATCGTAGTGGGAACCGTGGCAGGGGCAATAGTACCCGCCGAAGTCTCCCGAATTGGCGATCGGTACGCAACCCAAGTGGGTGCACACTCCGATTACTACTAAAAATGACGGGTTTTGAACTCTGTCGTTATCGTGTTGGGGATCCCGAAGAGATGATACAGCGACTGATTGTTCGGCTTGAATTTCAGCAGCCGACCTGTGACGAATAAACAATGGTTTACCTAAAAACAAGAATATAACAATCAATTTCCGCAGACAATAAAGTTGATTATATTAATACCTCTCCATTTAAAGGTAACCGATTTCCCCTCAGGTATATCGGCGAGTTTAATTTCGATTTTAGCTAAAGCCAACACATCGGCCGATGCGCTCATGGAGCTTACGAATTGGGTAACTACAGCTTTAGCACCGTAAGCGGCGCCGACGCTGAGCGCTCCTGCCATTAGGTAAGTGTAATTCTTTCGGCCTTCCTCAGTTTCGCTGGACTTTACTCTAGGGTTCTTCGTCGAATCTTTTCTGTAAGCGGTGAAGTCCGGTACGGTGATGTCGGTGTGGGCCCACCTGATTTGGGAACTGACCGCCGGTCCGGTGGAGATTGTAACGTTTCCATTGGGCAAGGCTTTCCTGAGGGCTGCTGGGGAGGAGCTCGACCAAGGGACGAACACAACCTTCTTTTTGGGAATAATGGCTACTTGTTTTCCGGTGTTTAATTGATTGCTTACTACTTGGCTGACGGCTTTAAAGTAGCCGGGGACGTTCGCAGGCTTCAGCATCTTCGAATTTGCTTGAAAAATAGGAATTATTATGCAACAAATCGTCCAATCTTCTTCACCAGACAGTGGGTGACATTCAGTGACAGTTGACAGTAGCAAATGACGTAAGGAGTTGTCTAAACTGAATAAGATAATAAGTTACCTGACTAATAGCTAGTTAAACAATTAGTAATAGATATTAAAATAAAAAGAAGATGATTCAATTTATTATTGTTGTTTTTATATCGATTGTTAGGTTATGGTAGAAACATTAACATAAAGATAAAATGGCAATAAATTTAGAAATCCATTTAAAAAGAGCGGATAAGATATATTACGAAGGCGTACGAAGAGAATGAATATTATATACAACGGTTTAACAATTTTTGTTGCAGGAAAATGTTTCCGGTATTATCGCTCTATCATCGAATTCAGATTTCAAACACGAAGGCATTACCTTAACTATGGAAGGTTCGGTTAATTTACAAATTAGCTCGAAAAATGTAGGTATTATCGAGGCGTTTTATAACTCCGTAAAGGTAATAATGCATTTTCGAAATGAGTATTATTATAACAAGGAATTTCTAGCCTATCCAGTTAGTTGGTCTAACTTGTGAAGTTTGTGGTCCCGGTAGGTTGCCCTCAGGTTTAACAGAAATACCATTCGAAATACCTTTGAAATCTAAGCCTAACCGAACACTTTACGAAACCTATCATGGAGTGTACGTAAACATTGGATACAGTCTAAGGTGCGATATAAAAAGATCGTTCCTGTCGAAGGATTTGCAGAAAACTCATCAATTTTTGGTACAGTACAGACCGGGATATAACGCTACTCCTGAATTACCTATAAAAGAAAAAAGAACGCCTATTAATTTTGAGTTAAGCCCTGCTACACTAACCAGCGGAAGATCCGGTAACTTATAAATATACTTGAAATTAGAGTATAATTTCCCTCTTATTATTTAACCAGGTGCACCAGATTTTTTACTGAGAGGTCATATAGAAACTGTATGTTGTAACATAACGAAACCTTTGAAAGGAAAAGTAATTTTAGCGAAATGTGCTTTGCCTGTTAGATCAATAGAATTACAGCTTGTTAGAGTAGAAACGTGCGGATGTGCCGAAGGTTATGCAAGAGAAGGTAAAGCAGAAATATTCCTATTTCAAGCAATTAATAAAAGTATAAATATGGCTTTGCAGCAACAGAGATTCAAAACATTCAAATCGGCGACGGGGATGTGCCTCACAATATTCCCATTCCTATTTACATGGTATTTCCAAGGCTGTTTACTTGTCCTACTTTGCTCACCACCAACTTTAAAATAGGTAAGTACAAATTTTTAAACGGTGAATAGTATTTTAATGATTACTTCTTATTGCTGCAAGCAAATAGTTCTATTTTTGATACAGCTTGTGATTCTTTTTAGAGTTTGAAGTAAACTTAGTAATTGTATTCCAAGATGACCATTTGATAACCAATAATTTTCCCATTGTTTTAGTAAGAGAATAAAAAGTCAAAATATTAGAAAATATATTTATCACCTAATCGAAATACATTTTATATAACTATACATCACACGATAATAATATCTAATAATAATTTGTGAAATATTTTTAATTAAACCTATTGGTAAATGAATCTTAACTTTTTATATCCGAATATTTCTAGTATAATCTACGTTTTGTAAATAGGAGAACAGTATCATACAGAACACATTAAATAACTAACAAAAATACATTTATCATCTTAACATTAAATTTAGGTCCGTTCTTTCAACATTGAATAGTTTCTTACAGTACAATGTAAACTATGAATCATACTAATAATAACAGATAAGGTATACCAATAATGTATACTAATTTTGACGACACAGACCTTAATTTAAGTTTACCTAACATTAGGATTCCGTCACAGCTAATGCTAAATCCGACACAATAATATCAATTTGTTTTTCTAAAGCTAGAATATGTCCAGTATTACACGAATCACTAGCAATAAACGAAACTATCAGCGGAAGCTTGTTCATCTGTATGACTTGGTATTGGGAATAGTTGCAAATTAACGTCGTCGTCTTTCCCAGGCCCAATTTGCTGCCCTGATTTATCGCCAGGCCGAATGTCGAAATAAAATTCGGCCTGGCCGCTTGTTCGGGTACCTTATCATTTCCAACTTTCAACATCGGAACACCTTCTCTGTCCGTTATCAGTATACAATGCAGGTCGCTAACTTTCGTTAAAATATCTTGTAAAAACTTTCTCGCTTCTTCGACCATGGTTTAATAAATATTGTTAGATATTTTAATAATAATAATTTTTAGAAAATGAAAATTATACTGTTTGGCATTTGACAATTATGACGTTGACATGTGACAGTTCTAATTATTAGACAGAATCCGCGATGTTGTCAAATTGTATTATCGTGGGTGTTGCACGGAACATAAATTTTGAAGCTCCATCTATCGGTTATTGATTGTAATGAATTGAGGGAAAATATAATTTTTTGGAGGTTTTATAATCGAGGAGAAAATCGTAAATGATTATAAGGTTTGACAACAAATCGACCCTTTTTTATCATCGTACGTTATGTATTTAACTTAAGTACAAGTATACAAAGTTTTATATTTTATAAATAGTAAAAAAGAAAAGCAAGAAATACGTAATTCTACTTACTTAAACAACAAATAACACAATATTTATACAATTTATATACAATATACATACAGACGTTGGTAGAAAAACCGAAAACAATTCATTTGTTACTATATACGCGGGACATCGAAAAAGACTACTGGACGCACCCGCCCTTACTGAAAGTACTTGTAAAACTTGGGTACCGTAACGCCGCGCTGCTGGGCGTCGCCGTTGGCCGAGATGGCGTCGCCCTTGCGCGTGAACGCCCTAAACACCTCGTCGACGTCGCTGTCATCGACGACGCTCAGATTGGCGAACGCCTCGTCCGGCCGCCTCTCGATACGCCCGTCGGCCGCCGTCGCGGCGACCACCACGCCGCCGCCGGCCGTCCTCTCCGTCATGTAAACCGACTTGTCGAAGTTTATTTGATTGGTGGGACTGTCGTACCAACAGAACGTCGGCGAGTCGCTGGGCGTCGATCGATCGAACAGCGCCCCGTCCGATGGTTTACTGCCCTTTTGATTCGTAGTGTGCAACAGGTATTTGAACTTCTCGGCGGCTTCTATGCCAGACGTCGCCTTCAAGTAATCGTACCTAATAACATAAAAAAAAATCAATCGTTTTAAAACAATTTACGATTTACAATTTTCCTACCATCTTTCCTGTAGGCTGGCGGGCTGCAGCAGCATATCGGCCAACGACATGCTTTGCGGCAACAAATTCACGCAATCGTTGAGCACGTGCGCCTCCGGGAAGTGAACGTTGTTCATGAATTGTATCAACTTGTTGCTGGACACTTGTTGCACGCCCGCCCGGCCGATGCTCAAGCCCAAATCGCCGGCGTTCTGCGCTCGAGCCGTCGACGGCACGGCCACGGATTTGTTGTTAGTCCTGAGCGGCTGGCGGAGCCTGGCCACCATGGCGGCGGGATCGACGATCGGCGGCGGTCGCGCGTAACCGTTGGTCAGCGGCGGCGGGATGAGATTGAACAGAAACGGACGGGGTTGTTGGGGATAGAGTAGCTGGGGAAAGAAGCGCAAATCTTGCAGGGGATAGGGTGAAATAACCGGCGGCGGTAGTTGAGAGACTAAAGTAGTGGGCGGCGGAGGTGGCGGCGGTGCGACCACCGGTTGTGGCGGTTCTTTCGACGATACATCGACCATAGGTGGTTCGGAAGGTGGTTGTACTACGCGCAATTCTTTGTATCTCCGAGGTATAAATTCCGGCGCCAATGGATTTAACGTGTAGATTTTCTTCAGCTCGATACCATCGAGTTGCAACTGAAAACAGTTAGAAAATATTATACAACAAAATAGTTCGTAAATCGAACTATTCATACCTTCAATTGGGTCCAGGTGATTCCGAACAAGCTGCCGTTATCGTTGCAAATCTGCACGAATCTCTCCCACACTTTGCTGCACCGGCCCAACGAGCACAGCGCTATGGGATCGCCCACCACGGCGACCAAACTCTGCGCCCTCGTGATCGCCGTATTCAGCAGCTTCGCGTTCGACAGGAAACCGTAATCGACCTCCGATTGGCTGGCGTCCGCGCGACACGTCTTCCTCGTTCGCACGGTCGACAAAACCACGCACCTAAACTGTTTACCTTGCACGTTCAGCACCCGCTCGACGCCCACGTTGTCGACGCGTCGCTTTCTCAACTCGGATCTGATCCGGAACACCTGCGAACACATCCGGTATATCTCTATTTGCGTAAGCATTCGCGAAAATCTCCCAACCTGATCGGCGTAAGGCGTCACGACGCCGATCGATTGATCGGTGTACGAGCCCCATTCGATCGGCCAGTTTCGCTTCAATTCGCTGACGCGCTCCACCACCTCGTACACCTCCGAATCGTTGTAGAAGGCCGTCGAATTTTTGTCCTGCACGTCCTCGCCTCGGGTGGTGAAGAACGTCAACGGATAGAAGTCGGCGTGGCGGGGTTGCTTGCCGCTGGCCACCATCTTCTGATCGTAGAACGATTCCGATGTGAAGCGGACGATGCTCTCGTGCGCTCTACAGATCATTTTAAAAATAAGATATTTACGGTGCTGGAAAGTAACGAGAGAAGTACATATTATAAGGGTCGTATTTAGCAATTCGGTTATTGTTAGTGTTTGTTGTCTTTATGTGGATATATAGCTTTATATACCAGTGTGTCCCATGACTAGATGGACATTGTTTATCTTGGTTAATATGTCCCCAAAGATAATAGTCCCTAGGTGTAATAAACTCGGTATTTAAATATTCTATGTATTTCTTAAGTATTGATTTTTGAACAACAGTGTATAAGGCATTTTTGAATTAAAATTGACCATCAAGTCATGGAACAACATTTACATAAGTGAAGTTATTTATGAATTGATTATTGCTTCGTTAAGAGAATAGAAGTTTCAAAAAACCCGTATAAATAGGACAACAACAACAACAACAAAAAATCGTCAAAATATCGAAAAAAAAAACTATATACATATTATCTCTACCTGTAATTCTCGCACAACAGTATCTTACAGGGAAACCTCGCCGGATACCGGTCGTAGAGCCGCTCCAACAGCGAGACGTGCAGCTCCCGTTCTCTGGCGAACGGCGAAAAGACGTCGGGCCCGAGCTGCATGTGATCGCCGGCGAGGACGACGCGCGTCTCGGCGCCGGCGACGGCGAGCGGCGTCGCCGTTTCGCACTCGATCGCCTGGGCGGCCTCGTCGACGAGGATGTGCGTGAAGAAGCCGCGCGGCACGCCGACGTGCGACAGATACGACGACGTCGACAGCGTCACGACGACGACGCGTCGCGGCGACAGATCGGCCAGCGTCGGCGGCAGGAAGTGGCGGTACGCGCCGTCGGTTTTGATCAGGCAGTACTGGAAATTTCGACAAACATCGCTCTGTAATTGTACTACACACACACGATAAACGAATATTTTGACGGGTTTTTCGATTTGTGAAACTTTCTTGTTTTCTCATACGGCTTTTTCGAATTTTAATGATCGCTTCTTTTTTGTTCCTCGAAATGTATCGCGAAATGTTGGATGTTTTTTTTTCACGATTTCAATGAGATAACGTTTGTTTTTCGAATTTTTTTTATGGTGAATAACAAATTGGTCTAGTATACACGACTGAATAAGGGTCGACTACATAACTAGCATAAGTGCAGTCGACTACAACAAAGCTGGGAACTAATGAACGCCATAAATTTACCAAAAAAAATTAATAAAATGTGTAACTAACCTTTTGAACAGACGGATGCACGGTGGACACCCAACGTTTGGTGTAGTAAATTCTCAACGGTCGAGCCTCCTCGACGCCTTCCTCTACCCATCGATCCAAATAATCTCTAATATAGAGATCAGCGGCGCTGTTCGAGTGAGTGCACAGTAAAATCCGATGCGATCGGTCCTTTATCAATTCTCTCATCGCCTGCGCCAACGTGAACGTTTTACCAGTACCGAATGGTCCTATTACGAGTATAGGAGGTAACTGTATATTTATGGGAGTCGTTATGGCGTTCACCGCCTCCTTTTGTTTGATGTTCAATCGGGAATCTAACGTTTTGGACCATTGTCGCGACGGCGACCACGGAATGTTCGGTTCCAAATAAGTTTCCGGGAATATCAATCCGAAATCGGAGATTTTGTCCAACGTGTAATGCCACTCGCAGTACGGTATTCTGTTCAATTGAAACTGTATGTCGACCTCCACGTCCGAGTCGGGCGTTAATTTCAATTCCTCGACCGTCGCGGCGCTCAATCGCAAATAAATGGCGTCCTTTCCCTTATCTTCGATTCTCGCTTCGTATACTCTGCGTTTCGTCTCTTTCGCTTCTCTGGAAGTCTTAAGAGATAGATACACGCTGTTGCAGTGCATCAAAATGAGACGCCCTTCCGAAGTATCCTCCGATAGCTCCCTGCATAAATTCACAGAGGCGAATAATTCCCCGTTATTCGAGTACTTAGCCGTACTGGCCGCAGCGCTATTCGGCGATAGAATATAGCTGTGCGCGATTTGCAGTTTCGCCGTTAAATTGTAGCGCGCTATCAAGTCGTATCTAAAAAATATATACAATGATATAGTTACTAAAGTGGTATTAGATAGGTACTAATATAAATAAATAGCCTACAGTATATGGGCAAACGAATTTGGTTTCTGTCGCGCGCCTCTCTCACCTAGCCATCTCTTCGACAAACAACAGCTCGTGCATCCTCTCCCTGTAGTTGTTCTTGGTGAAGCCGGGCTCGGAGACGGTGTCGCGCGACAACGCGAACGTCTCCGCCATCGGACACGGGTACATCGATCTCAGCCGCTTCTCCCACTCCTCGTTGGCGTCGTCGTTCTCGACCGTCGAATGGTACGGTACGACGTCGACGCCCGGCGACGTCCAACGCTCGGCCATCGAAACGGTGATCTCCTTGCGTATGTCGTGGATCATCTGCAGGTCCGTGTCGGGCGCCACGTCCACGCACATGTGCTTCACCAGCAGCGGGCCCGATGAGAAATCGAACGCTATCGATTGCCTGGAATACGTTATGTATAGTGTATGAAGTAATGGTTTTGTTGAGGAAAGTACCGGAACGTGCCGTAAATGCCGGTGGTAAAAACGACGTTGATTCTGTATCGAACGGAGAGCATCGATTCCTGGTTAGTGGACGACGGGGATATCCACTCCTGGTTGTTTTTCAAATCGATTTTGCAATTTTTCACGTAGATGCCGCCGATGAAGAAGTGATTTCGATGCGTGTCTTGGAGCAACGCGACCGCCTTCAGCGGACGCTTCGTTTTCATCGTGTAAGTCCATTCGTGCACGCTATTTTTCGACGAAACAGTAACCGATAGAGGGCGATCGCAACGATCGTCCACGTCGTCTATACGACAACGCATCAGCGATTCGGGGTGAAGAGATTGCGACCATTTCTCCAAGATATCTTCAGTATACGATTTGCCTAATCAACAAATAGTTCGGTTAATAAACTACGTAGTAGATTAGGTGCGGTAGACGAACCGAACAGTTCCTTTTCCTTGGCGCGCATCATCCTCATCTCGCGGTAGCGGAACCGTTCGCGCCATTCGGCCAGCTCGTCGTCGCCGTGCGCCCGGACGCACTGGACGCCGTAGCGACAGCAGCGGGCGTCGCGCCAATTGTCGCAGAGCAGGTAGGCGTCGCTGGTGAGGCCGCGCGGCGGCGGCCGCCACCGCCAGTCGCGCCCGTCGTCCGACATGACGGCCGTTTGGTGGGCGTCGGTGCGACAGTGGGCGCGCAGCTCGGCCTTGTCGGCGAACGCCAGGTCGCAGTAGACGCAGGCGACGGCGGGCGTCGTCGGTCGCATCGGTTTCGTCTTCGAAAAAAAGGCAATTAGATCTAGCGAAAGTTCGCAATAGATGTGTTGTTTACCTTGGCGGTAGCGTTGAAACCGTTGGTGAAATTGGCGTCTAATATTTTCAGTAAATTGAAATTCTTCTGTTTGGCGTTGGTGCAATTGATGAAACCGCCTAATAGGCTTTCTAAAGCGGCTTTAGTTTCTTTATTTACGTCCGATTCTTGGATTAATATCAGCCAATCTCGGGCGGCCATGTCGGCTTCTACGGATTGATTTAAAGCGAAATTGTGCGAAAATTTAAAATCGTGCGTACCTGCGAAACGTTGGAGCATATACAAGGAATGTATGAGTCTTTTTCTAGCCAGGCAAACGTTGTAATCGCTCTGGTCGGGACACAGTTTGATGATGTCCTTTGAATCGGCGATGACGGCTTGGTGCTTGTTCAATTCCAAGTAGCACTCGGCTCGGTCTGTTAGAAAGGAGACGGTTTTTTCGACGTCGTTTCGCAGTCGATCGTCGGCTAGTAAACCGTCGAGCAGCTCTATCGCCTGCGACCAGTTCTTTTGCTTCAGGTACATTTGGGCTTGTCGTTCCATTTCCACTGCGAAAGCGGTCATTAAATGCGGTTGGTATGCGTATAAATAGTAAGTCGAATTTTTTAATTTACGATTGCGGCCTGTTTGGTGCGTTTTGCATGTTGTTTTTCACTGTAATTTTTTCATTTCGGAAAATTAGTTTACAAAACACGAATGCTAGACGTCATTGTGACAGTTATGACAGCTGAAGGTTCAATCAATTGACATCACGGAACCTTGTATTCTGGTATTTCGTTGTTTTGTGCAGTTGGTGGCCTTTGACTTTGCAGAAATTTAATTAATTTTAATTATTTTCTTACCATCTTTTCGAAGTATGCAAAATTTTGTAACGAAGTTATTTTTTTATCTTCTATTTTTAATAGCGGGTGGATGAACTGGATAACCTGACTAATTACGAGCCACTACAGTACGAAAATATTTTTTTCTTTTTTGTATTCTTATGTGTGGCATCAGGAGGCGAAGAATTTATTTTATTTGTTCCAAATTGATATACTTTTATTAGAATTGTTATTAGGTAGTCGGTAGTTAGTAGGTAAAGAGAAAAGCAAATTCAACCAAGCAAGAAACCAAATATTATTGAACAACTTATATGTTATAAATTATAGTAATTCAAAATGACGGAATGAAGAAATTATTTATTTTATATACACTTATTTCATCCCGTTAATATAATAAAAAAAATCGACTAAAAACTACCTATAGTAGATTTACGATAATCTAGCGATGACGTCACGTGCTGAAATATTGTACTACCTTTGTAATTTTTTGTGAAGAATTTTTCGTCTGTTTCAAGCTCGAAAAACGTTAAATATGACGCCATCGATAGAGTACCGTGAACCTCATTTACATCGTTAAACCTTAATTAAGATCGCTACATACGGGAATCTTGATTTTCTCGTAAACGGCCGTCCTTAAAGGCATATGAGGCGATAACAAATTGGGATCGCCAAACACAGTGAGCGGTAAATTCAGTTCGGTAACACCACATTCTCTGTTAGTGTACTCTCTCAACACGTAATCGCTGTTGAAATCGTGGAACACCCGAGTATCATTGATGCGAACCATCACGTTATCTACGCGAAGGAAGAATCTCAAGAGAACGAAGAACGAACTGGGCATCACACGCTAAAAGAAGACCATTACTTCATTAGGTCACACTGTATAATACGTACGAGTTGTGAGTTGATGGAACTTACAATTTTAATGGTACAAGAGGAAATTCCGTTATCGTGGAGTTCGTCTTCGTACAGCATTAATTCTTGATAGAATAAAATTTTCTCCTTCTCTTTTAATCTTTCGATGTCGATGCGTTCGTCCGTTTCACTCATCGAGGAAGAGCCTGACACTCCACCTCTGTAATCTGAACTGAACGTCCAATCAAACGGCTTGATTTTCTCTTCCAGGTTTTCAGGAGCTCTAGAAATACACCAATTATTCAAATAAAATGAAATAAAATCTATGGTGGAATGTAGTCAAACCTGGAGTCTTTCCATGTGTCCGAATGGGCTACTTTGATGGATTGTTTTCCATTGCTGACTCTTCTCAAAGCGTCCAAAGCATTGAAATCCACCGAGAGACCGGACTTGTGGTTTAAAATTAGTTTGTTGTTGGCGAACACCATTTCGGGTAGATGAGGTAATTCTAATTCATTTAAGTACCTAAAAAAATAGTAAAAACCTGTGTGTCTCAAAATGTCATTTCTTAAACGTTTTCTAATGCAAATATAAGTGAGAAAAAATGGTAATTTCGTGTACCTATTTCGAACTTACACACATAAAAGGCAACGTTTTTCGGGCAGTGAGCTGCATACTTCGCTGGTGGTGCACATAGAATGCAAAATGTGCGATTTTGTATATTTAATAGTCCAATCGTTGATTAAATATTCTTCGGAATTCACCGGCAATCTTTGGATCTCAACGTCTCCTTTAATATTATTTATGGTACACATTTTTTTCTTTAAAAAATCACCTAACAAAGTTTTTCAATACACAAACACGAATATAATTGTTTTCTGTTTAGACTCTTAAGTGACAGGTGACAGTTAGTGACGTTGAACTTTGAAGACAGTTTTATTGCCACTTCAATAATGCATTTGTATTTCTGTTGTATATAATTCAATAATAACAATTACATGTTAATTAGCTACATTATCAATCAATAAATAATTATTTTATTATCAACTGTTTACTTATCGTTTGCTATTGGAATTATTTATTGGCGTCTTGCATCTGAAGTATAAAGAAGTAATACAAATTTAATATTGATAAAAAAAAAGAAGAAAAATTGGCCTAATCAGATGGGGCCATAGGGCATCCTAGTCTTCTTGAATATTTCAAGTTTTGCTTTTGTTTTTAATAGCCCTGATTACCACAGAAAGAGTTATTTGTAAAACTAGTTCATTTTATATTTTACAAGTTAAATTATCTAGCCTCACTAACTTTAAATAATTCATCAACTATTATAAGGATTATTTTTTGCTTTTCTTTTCCTCATATTCTTGCATACATTTTCTAAATTCGGCTACTTTATCCTGGCATTTTCTCCAATCCTTGGTTTCTGAAATGCAATCCTACAAAAAATTTAAATGTACATTCGATTTGCGTTATAACCACAGTTTTCTATTACTTGAACTACATAGTGTAAATTGATACAACCAGTTTTTTTAAGCATTTCTTCTACGGGATCTGTTATTTCTTGCTTACCATGACCGGACATACTTTGAAATCTTTTATAAACAACATTTATCTTAGAAATATATTTTCTAACCTAATTTTTTCTTTTTCTTCTTCTTATTTCTTAACACATCTGTAGATTTTTTTTTGTGTGTAGCTGAATACATCAATAAGCAGTGGCACTTAAATATAATTTTAATAAAAAAGAAGCAGATTATAACCTAATTAAAGAAGACTTGACATCTCTTGACAAGTGTTAATGCCCTTTATTTTTCTTCATATTTATTTTAGGCATGCTTTATCAATTATAAATTAAATTGTATGTAATAATGGATGGAAAAACAACTTCGAAAGCACCTCGAAATGCAGAAACACCTGTGATTTCTTCAGCTTGGTCTAGGGCATTGTCATCAAATGCATCTTGGCCAGATAAGGTTAGTCAAATACATTACCTAATTAATAACGTGAGTTGACAAATAGGAAGTCCAGTAAATAATTGAATACTTTAATAACCAACACGACTGGGTAAAAAGCGGTATAGACGTGTCAATTTATCTCAAATAACATTGGTATTGATTAATTCTAGTTATATTAGTTATAATTTTCGCAAATTACCTTCTAAGCAAAATTGTGTTTTAGGAAGAATTCTTGGACGTCATCTATTGGGCAAGGCAGGCCCTGGGAGTCTTGCTCGGAATAGTCTGGGGTTTGATACCTTTAAAAGGACTTTTGGGACTTTTACTGTAAGTCTATGGCACTCTTTCCATCCTCAAATATTACACAATTCTTAATTTTACACCGCAGGTTCGTGGTAATCAACGCAGGGATTATATACTTTTACTGCAGCAGTTTTCAAAATGTTGACGAAGAGGAATACGGAGGAGCCTGGGAGTTGACCAAAGAAGGCTTTATGACATCCTTTGCTGGTTTCCTAGTCACCTGGATTATCATTTACTCCGGGTTATATTATGATGTGGAGAAATACGCGTGAATAGGATACAATCATTCCTTAGTTTTAAGTTTTTTTTTTGTTATATTATTAGTTAAGTGAAGAATGTTTGTACAAATCGCAATCGCCTTGAAAAATTTTCAAGCGATTCTTCTAAGGGTCTAGATTTGTTAAATTGGGTAAAAAAATTAAGAAAGTGTTCGTTTCATATGAAATAAATAAACAATAATTGGATCATACGATATCGCTTGAAATACGAACATTTTTATTTAAAAATACAACAAACTCAAAGTTAACAAAGACCAACAAAAAAATAAAGATATTAACAACAACAATAAATACGTATAAGTACAATATGAACACAATTGTTTAAAGACATAAATGTGCTATGTCAAATAAAAATTTCAATTTTGACTATTTTCGCTGGTAAAATGGGATGGAGCGTACTTATCGCCTGACTTATGGTTAAATTAGAAATCGTTTGAACTAAATTAAGATATCACCTCGATCCTACGCCTTGAATATATTCAGAAATTGCGAGCATACCGAAACTGATGATTACGTACAAACATCCAGGCAAACTGGCTAACATACAGTACCGCTCCTCTGAAAAAAAAATTAAACAGAATTCAATTAAATTGATACAAATAAAAAGTAAAGAAATATCCACCTGTCATAACGGCCGATTTCTTGGGTACGGCCCAACCCAGCGATCTCTGTACAGCCATTTTCCATTTCTTATAACGAGCGTCCCGTTCTGCAAAAAAATAAACCAGTAGATTTCTAGTTAACAAGCAGTAAACACTGACCATTTGTTGTCGATGTAGGAAGGAAGGTATGAATGGGAATTAACTCCGATTCTTCCGAATGGATGTTCCAAATATCCACTCCCCTGGCCGCCCCCGCCGCCATAGCCGCTCCCAACGCGGTAATGTCTTCAGTTTCCGCCCTTATCACCGGTATCCCGCTGATATCCGCCTGAAAATTGTTCAAACCATTACTATCGACAATTAAATAGTAACGTAAATTGATACTCTTACGTACAAGGACGTTTAGTCAACTTAAGAAACTTACTTGCAGCTGCATTAATAGATCGTTTTGGGACATTTTACCGTCGACTCGCAGCTTCGTCAGCGGTATGCCGCAATCCTTGTTCATCGCTTCCAAGATGTCGCGCGTTTGGAAACAAACCGCCTCCAAAGCCGCTCGAATTATGTGCTGTTTCGTCGAGAACGCCGTCAAACCGCATATTATACTGTTACAAATCAATTACAAAGGCGATTACAGTTTAAAACGAGACCTACCCTCTTGCGTCCTTTCTCCAATAGGGCGCGTAGAGGCCTTTGAATGCCGGTACGAAGTACACGTCGCCCGTATTGAACACCTCCTTGGCCAATGATTCGGTATCTCGACTGACATCTTTCAAGAAACCCATGTTGTCTCTCAGCCATTTTATCGCTGTTCCAGCCACCGCCACGCTACCTATACAAATAATCAAAATACTCGATAAATCAATATCGAATCGAGAGTGATTTTTTTTTTTTTGGACCCGTTTTACTTACATTTAACTTACCTTCTAGAGCGTAAACGGGCGGTTGTTTGCCCAATTTATAAGCTACTGTCGTTACTAAACCGTGCGTTGATAATACTCGCTGAAATATTATAAAAAATTAGCATTTTCTACAGCTGAAATATAGGGTGAAGTATGATTAGCAAACAACTCACCTGATTACCGGTATTGTACAAAAGAAAACATCCGCTTCTGTAGGTATTCTTCGCCTGGCCCTCCTTCAAACACCGCTGGCCGAGCAACGAGGACTGTTGGTTGCCCAAAATCTTAACAAAAAGACGATCCAATTCACAATTCGTTCAATACAATTACTACTATTAATTCGGAAAGTATTATACTGACCCCTGAGATGCAAACACCTTCCAATGGCCAATCATTACTAACGTAACCGTAAATTTCCGAGCTGCTCTTGATTTCCGGCAGCATTTCCTCCGGTATTTTGAAGTAATTCAACAGATACGGATCCCAATTCAGCAGTTCGATGTTCATCAAGAATGTTCTCGAGGCATTGGTCACGTCGGTGTAGTGCTTGCCTCCGTTAATGCCTCCCGTAAGATTCTATAAACCAAACGCTTTACTAAACTAATCCACGTTGAGACTGTGTAGCCTCTGTAGAATGATTTCGTACCCACAATATCCAAGTATCCACGGTTCCGAATAGGCAGGTCTTACTTTTGCAGGCATTCTTCACGTGCGGGGAATAATGCATCAACCATTTGATTTTGAAGGCGCTGAAATAAGGGGATACTGGAAGACCGCAGTGATTTTTGAAGTAATTCGTGTCCTGATCGGGAACTTTGGCTAGTATTCGATCTACCGTTGAATCTGTTCTGATGTCGTTCCATACTGATAAATTAATTAATTAGTGCTTATTTAGCGAATTAATTAGTAGAGATAAAAAGTTGTGAAAAATTTATAAACTTAATGAAATATGAGCGTAAAAACTTCACGTTTATCAACATAACTAAACAACCATAAAACTTATCGGAATAAAAAAATATGACCTCTTACTGATGTAACAAAGAAACACTTACCGATAGCATTATGTAAAGGTTCACCAGTTGTTTTATCCCATAAAATAGTCGTTTCTCTTTGATTCGTAATACCCAATGTTACGATATTCTTTGATGCTATTAAAATACAATAGATAATTAAAATTTAAGAAATATTTGAAATTCTATAAAGATTACATAATGAAAATACATACCTTCCTCTCCTAATTCTTCGACTACTTTCGCCATGCATTTCCTGACAGCATCCAGGATTTCTTTGGGATCCTGTTCGGACCAGCCCTCTTGGGGAACGGCTGTTGCGATATCTATTGTATGTTTGGTAATTTCCTTATTGTGGGTTGTTCGAAAGACGCAAAATTGGACACTCCTTGTACCCGCGTCTATCACACCTATTAGCTTCTCGTTTTCGTTATTTGTACCCATATTTGTTCGTTATATAACAAAACAAACTTCCACGTTATTGGAATGTCTATATCACTATTTTCTTCAGGTTGCACTTATTGAATAATGTATATATCCTCAGGGTGTATTTCTCGTGATATATCCTACTTACTTCGTAGTTGATTACTTACTGATTACTCAACAATTGTACAGATTTTTTCACATGAATTTGGAATGTTATTATATTTTGAAGCAATATTGAATAGATGATTGTTTGAATTGAACTTGTACGACTTGTTTTTTGGAATATTTAATTACTTGCTAAGGTAAATAAAGATAACCGCATTGATAAATAAAATTTACGATATAAAAATCCAATTTCAAAGTTCAATAATAAATAAATCTGACGTTCTAACGCGACGGTATCGGTATCTGTCTAATTTTAAGGTTATCTAAAATGATCTGATGTGCTGAGTAACCAAAGTAGAAGAGGCCATTGCAAAAAGAAGCTTTGCTAAATGTCATTTGTCAATGTCAATTGTGTTTTGGTTTTCAGAGTGTCGTTTTCGTTTAGTGTCGTTAGTGAAACGTGTTTTCGTTGTAATTGCGTTGCTATTTAAACAACAAATTAAACAATATTCAAACAATATTCAAACACTCATTTTCAAATGCTTGAATAAAATAAAGCGTAAGTGTCCAAATCAACTAATAACCCGCATACCGAACACCGCTACTTTCAGGTTATGTCTTTACCGCCATACTTGTTGGGGCCCAATCCTTGGGCCACGATGATGGCCCAACAACACCTGGCGGCGGCTCACGCCCAAGCGCAGGTAGCCGCCGCCCAGGCACATGCCCATGCATTGCAACAGCAGATGCCGCCTCCTCATCCCAAGTCCGACGTCATTACCGAAGATAAATTGCAAGAAAAAGGTACGTTTTCCGTTTGCGAGGGATTAGTGCTTCATCGCGTTATGTTTTAGCCCAAAAGTGGCACCAGCTGCAGGCGAAACGGTTCGCCGATAAAAGAAAACTGGGATTCATCGAAGCGCAGAAAGAAGATATGCCGCCGGAGCATATTCGAAAGATTATACGAGACCACGGAGACATGAGCAGCAGGAAATACAGACATGATAAAAGAGTATACTTGGGGTAATTCGAAATGTATAAATTGTTTTGCTTATTTGTATAAACGATTAATTAATTGTAGGGCTCTTAAATATATGCCTCATGCAGTGATGAAGCTCTTGGAAAACATGCCGATGCCTTGGGAGCAAATTAGAGACGTTAAAGCTTTATACCACATTACCGGAGCCATTACTTTTGTTAACGAAATTCCATGGGTTATCGAACCGGTTTACATAGCTCAATGGGGGTAAGTAAACAATTTAAATTGCTCTTTACATTGTATCTAATTCTTATGATATTACAGCACGATGTGGATTATGATGAGGAGAGAAAAGAGAGATCGAAGGCATTTTAAAAGAATGCGTTTTCCTCCATTCGATGACGAAGAGCCGCCTCTAGATTATGCAGATAACGTTTTAGATGTAGAACCGTTGGAAGCGATTCAGATTGAATTAGACGCCGAAGAAGATTCCGCCATAGCCAAATGGTTTTACGATCATAAACCGTTAGTCGGTACGAAATACGTTAACGGTCCAACGTACAGAAAGTGGTGTCTATCCTTACCTATGATGGCGACTTTGTATCGATTAGCTAACCAGTTGTTAACGGATCTCGTTGACGATAATTACTTTTACTTATTCGATACAAAGAGTTTTTTCACGGCGAAAGCTTTGAATATGGCAATACCGGGTGGTCCTAAATTCGAACCTCTTATAAAGGATATGAATCCGGCGTAAGTTAATTACAATTTCGTGTTATTTTTACGTTATTAATTTGATTATCTTTATTGTAGAGATGAAGATTGGAATGAATTTAACGATATAAACAAAATTATAATCAGGCAACCCATTAGGACTGAATATAGGATTGCCTTTCCGTACCTTTATAATAACATGCCGCATTTTGTGCATTTATCATGGTAAGTTTGTGTAAAATATTACAATAGTGATCACAACCACATCAGTTTTGTATTTATTTGAAATAAAATAAATATACTAATATGTGGAACATAACAACTTGTATTACGATATGATTTCTATTCAAGAGCTTGCAATAGAAAAGCTGATATAGTACAAACATTTAAATATTAATCTCCATATTACTAGTATAAATTAATTTATCTTAATTTTAGGTATCACGCTCCTAACGTTGTTTACATTAAAACAGAGGATCCCGATTTACCGGCCTTTTATTTCGATCCGTTGATCAATCCAATATCTCATAGACACGCGGTAAAAAGTCTAGAACCTTTGCCCGATGATGACGAAGAATACATTTTACCAGAAACTGTTCAACCGTTTCTACAAGAGACGCCTCTTTACACCGATAACACGGCAAACGGTATAGCTTTACTGTGGGCCCCGAGACCTTTCAATATGAGATCAGGTAATTATTATATTTTTATTATTATTTTTTGAGGATGTCTATTATTAATATTTAATGGTTAGGTCGATGCAGAAGGGCCATAGACGTGCCTTTGGTGAAGCCTTGGTACATGGAGCATTGCCCGCCCGGTCAGCCCGTCAAAGTCCGAGTCAGTTATCAAAAATTGCTGAAGTATTACGTGTTAAACGCGCTTAAACAGAGACGGCCTAAAGCGCAGAAGAAGAGGTACCTTTTCAGATCGTTCAAATCGACGAAATTCTTCCAAACGACAACGTTGGATTGGGTCGAAGCCGGCCTGCAAGTGTGCCGACAAGGATACAACATGCTGAATTTGCTTATCCACAGAAAGAATTTGAACTACCTGCATTTAGATTACAATTTCAACTTGAAACCCGTGAAGACGTTGACTACGAAAGAGAGGAAAAAGTCTCGTTTCGGAAACGGTAAATTTCGTAGAAAAAAAAATCTAGTCATTAATCATTAATTTTTGTGCATCTTTCAGCTTTCCATCTGTGCAGAGAAATATTGAGATTGACCAAATTAATAATCGATTCTCACGTACAATATCGTTTGAACAACGTCGATGCCTTCCAATTATCGGACGGTTTACAATACATTTTCGCTCACGTCGGTCAATTAACCGGAATGTACCGGTACAAGTACAAGCTCATGAGGCAAATTAGAATGTGCAAAGATTTAAAGCATCTAATTTACTACCGTTTCAATACGGTAAGCGTCTAACCCACTTAAACGAAGGATCTCTTTAATAACCGTTCGTTTTAGGGACCTGTCGGTAAAGGACCCGGTTGCGGTATCTGGGCGCCCGGTTGGAGAGTTTGGCTGTTCTTCATGCGCGGAATAACACCTCTGCTCGAACGATGGTTGGGCAACCTGCTGTCGCGTCAATTCGAAGGGCGGCATTCGAAAGGCGTCGCCAAGACCGTCACGAAGCAGCGGGTCGAATCGCATTTCGATTTGGAATTGAGAGCGTCCGTAATGCACGATATCGTCGACATGATGCCGGAAGGTATTTGCGAATTACCAGTTCGTCGAGCTCGTTTTTGATTTCGTACAATTCTCAGGCATAAAGCAGAACAAAGCCCGGACGATACTTCAACATTTGTCCGAAGCCTGGAGGTGCTGGAAGGCCAACATCCCGTGGAAGGTGCCCGGCCTGCCGATACCCATCGAAAATATGATTTTGAGATACGTGAAAATGAAGGCGGATTGGTGGACGAACACCGCTCATTACAACAGAGAGAGGATCCGCAGAGGCGCCACCGTCGATAAAACCGTTTGCAAGAAAAACCTCGGCCGTCTCACCAGGTTGTATCTCAAAGCGGAGCAGGAACGACAGCATAACTATCTCAAAGACGGTCCTTACATCTCGCCCGAAGAAGCCGTCGCTATATACACGACTACAGTGCATTGGTTAGAATCGAGGAGATTCGCCCCCATACCGTTTCCGCCGTTATCCTACAAGCACGATACTAAGTTGTTGATTTTGGCGTTGGAACGGTTGAAAGAAGCTTACAGCGTGAAGTCTCGCTTGAACCAAAGCCAAAGAGAGGAACTGGGTTTGATTGAACAGGCGTATGATAATCCTCACGAGGCTTTATCCAGGATAAAACGTCACCTGTTGACGCAAAGGGCGTTCAAGGAAGTTGGAATAGAATTCATGGATTTATACAGCCATTTAATTCCCGTGTACGATGTAGAACCTCTGGAAAAAATCACCGACGCCTATCTGGATCAATATTTGTGGTACGAAGCCGATAAAAGGAGATTGTTCCCGCCTTGGATTAAACCGGCCGATACGGAACCGCCGCCATTGCTGGTATACAAGTGGTGTCAAGGCATAAACAACCTACAAGAAGTGTGGGAGGTCAACGAAGGGGAATGCAACGTTCTGTTGGAATCCAAATTCGAGAAGCTCTACGAAAAAATCGATTTGACCCTGCTGAACAGGCTGCTCAGATTGATCGTCGATCACAACATAGCCGATTACATGACGGCCAAAAATAACGTGGTCATCAACTACAAAGACATGAACCACACGAACAGTTACGGCATCATCAGAGGTCTGCAATTCGCCTCGTTCATAACGCAATACTACGGGCTCGTGTTGGACCTGTTGGTGTTGGGTTTGCAAAGGGCCAGCGAAATGGCCGGGCCGCCGCAGATGCCCAACGATTTTCTCACCTTCCAGGACGCGCAAACGGAAACGTGCCATCCCATAAGGTTGTACTGCAGATACGTGGATAGGATCCACATGTTTTTCAGGTTCGTCGTCGGTGTTCGTTAAGAAGTTTCTTTTAGTCTTTAATCCGTTTTATATTTCGTAGGTTTTCCGCTGACGAGGCTAAAGATTTGATCCAGCGTTATTTGACGGAACATCCGGATCCGAACAACGAGAATATCGTCGGGTACAACAACAAGAAATGTTGGCCCAGAGACGCGAGAATGCGTTTAATGAAACACGACGTGAATTTGTGAGTAATATGATAATTTACTATGATGATCGATTCTATTAAACGTTTCTTTAGGGGACGAGCCGTGTTCTGGGACATCAAAAACAGACTGCCGAGATCGGTGACTACCATCCAGTGGGACAACAGTTTCGTTAGCGTTTATTCCAAAGACAATCCTAATCTACTCTTCAACATGTCCGGTTTCGAATGCCGCATTTTACCCAAGGTAAAAAAAATCGTCTATTTCTAATTTTAGTTGTTTGTTAATTTTTACATTATAGTGTCGCACTCAACACGAAGAATTCACGCACAGAGACGGAGTCTGGAATCTCCAGCACGAAGGGAGCAAGGAACGAACAGCCCAATGTTTCCTTAGAGTAGACGATGAATCGATGAGCAGATTCCATAATAGAGTGAGGCAAATTCTCATGGCCTCTGGTTCGACGACCTTCACAAAAGTAAACATTTACAATTTCAAACGATTACGAATCAAACATCGAACGCTTTCCAGATCGTCAACAAATGGAACACGGCCCTGATCGGTCTAATGACGTACTTCCGCGAAGCGGTCGTCAACACCCAGGAGCTGCTCGATTTGCTGGTGAAGTGCGAGAATAAAATCCAGACGCGCATCAAGATCGGCCTGAACTCGAAGATGCCCAGTCGATTCCCTCCCGTCGTCTTCTACACGCCCAAGGAATTGGGCGGGCTCGGCATGTTGTCGATGGGCCACGTGCTGATACCCCAATCGGATCTCAGGTGGTCGAAGCAAACCGACGTCGGCATCACCCATTTCCGATCCGGTATTTCGCACGACGAGGACCAGTTGATACCGAACTTGTACCGGTACATACAACCGTGGGAATCGGAGTTCATCGATTCGCAACGAGTGTGGGCCGAGTACGCGCTCAAGCGACAGGAGGCCAACGCCCAGAACAGGAGGCTCACGCTGGAGGATTTGGAGGACTCTTGGGACAGGGGCATACCGAGGATCAATACGCTTTTCCAAAAGGATCGCCACACTTTGGCGTACGACAAGGGCTGGAGAATCAGGACTGAGTTTAAACAGTATCAGGTGAGTTTGAAGTGGTTTTTTTATGATGGTTTTTAATTGTTCGATTGTGTAGGTGTTGAAGCAGAATCCGTTTTGGTGGACGCACCAGAGGCACGATGGTAAATTGTGGAATTTAAATAATTACAGAACGGATATGATACAAGCGCTCGGAGGAGTCGAAGGTATACTCGAACACACGCTTTTCAAAGGAACGTATTTCCCCACTTGGGAAGGTCTCTTTTGGTAAGTTATTTCTAGCTTATTAATTTATTCGTTACATCATATTCTATTGGAATGATTCTAGGGAGAAGGCGTCAGGTTTCGAAGAATCGATGAAGTACAAGAAATTAACGAACGCCCAGCGATCGGGTTTGAATCAAATACCCAATCGTCGATTTACCTTGTGGTGGTCGCCCACCATCAATCGAGCCAACGTTTACGTCGGTTTCCAAGTGCAGCTCGACCTGACGGGCATTTTCATGCACGGCAAGATTCCCACGCTGAAAATCTCCCTCATTCAAATATTCAGGGCGCACTTGTGGCAAAAAGTGCACGAGTCGATCGTGATGGATTTGTGCCAGGTGTTCGATCAAGAATTGGACGCCTTGGAAATCGAGACGGTGCAAAAGGAGACCATCCATCCGCGTAAATCGTACAAAATGAATTCTTCCTGCGCCGACATACTGCTGTTTTCGGCTTACAAATGGAACGTGTCTCGACCGTCGCTGCTTGCGGACACAAAGTGAGTAGCAATTTAAAATAACTACACATTTAATTACATGTATGTTTCGTTTGATTTTTAGAGACACGATGGATAACACTACGACCCAAAAGTATTGGATCGACGTGCAACTTCGATGGGGAGATTACGATTCGCACGATGTCGAAAGATACGCCAGAGCGAAATTCTTGGATTACACGACTGATAACATGTCGATTTATCCGTCGCCTACCGGCGTATTGATAGCCATCGATTTGGCATACAACCTCCACAGGTAAATCGAAAAACACCACCGATGCATCGAAATAAAAAACTAATACAATCCTCCAACAGCGCCTACGGCAATTGGTTCCCCGGTTGCAAGCCGTTAATTCAGCAAGCGATGGCGAAGATAATGAAAGCGAATCCCGCTCTGTACGTGCTGCGCGAGCGCATCCGCAAGGCCCTGCAATTGTACTCGAGCGAGCCCACCGAGCCCTATTTGTCGTCGCAAAATTACGGCGAACTCTTCTCGAATCAAATCATTTGGTTCGTGGACGATACCAACGTGTACAGGGTCACGATTCACAAGACGTTCGAAGGTAACTTGACCACCAAGCCCATCAACGGGGCCATATTCATTTTCAATCCGCGAACGGGACAGCTGTTTTTGAAGATCATTCATACGTCGGTGTGGGCCGGTCAGAAACGTTTGGGACAGGTGCGTCGAAAAAAAATGATATTAAAAAGAGTTTCTATTTAATCGTTGCGTTATTGCAGTTGGCTAAATGGAAAACGGCCGAAGAAGTAGCGGCTCTTATTCGATCTCTACCGGTCGAGGAACAACCCAAGCAGATTATTGTCACTCGTAAGGGCATGTTGGATCCGTTGGAAGTCCACTTGCTCGATTTCCCCAATATCGTCATCAAAGGATCGGAGTTGCAATTGCCCTTCCAAGCTTGCTTGAAGATCGAGAAATTCGGCGATCTCATTTTGAAAGCCACCGAACCCCAAATGGTCTTGTTCAACCTCTACGACGATTGGTTGAAAACCATTTCTTCGTACACGGTAAGTACCCCGCCGGCATTATTCGATTAAAGTGTTAATTATTGGAGCGCTTTTAGGCCTTCTCGAGGTTGATTCTAATACTGAGAGCTTTGCACGTTAACACCGAAAGAACCAAAGTTATCCTGAAACCCGATAAAACTACCATCACCGAGCCTCACCACATTTGGCCGACGCTCTCCGACGACGAATGGATCAAAGTCGAAGTCCAATTGAAAGATTTAATCCTCGCCGATTACGGAAAGAAAAACAAGTAAGCCACGTCCGTCTAAACACCATCGATTTTACTAACCCCCGTCGTGATTTCACAGCGTCAACGTGGCGTCCCTGACCCAATCGGAGATCCGCGACATCATCTTGGGCATGGAGATCAGCGCGCCGTCGGCGCAACGCCAGCAAATCGCCGAGATCGAGAAGCAGACCAAGGAGCAGTCCCAGCTGACGGCCACCACCACCCGAACGGTGAACAAGCACGGCGACGAGATCATCACCAGCACCACCAGCAACTACGAAACGCAAACGTTCAGCTCGAAGACCGAGTGGCGCGTGCGCGCCATCTCCGCCACCAATTTGCACCTCAGGACGAACCACATTTACGTCAGTTCGGACGATATCAAAGAGACCGGTTACACGTACATCTTACCCAAGAACGTGCTCAAGAAGTTCGTCACTATATCCGATTTGAGAGCGCAGGTATGAACAACTACGTTTCCTACTACTGGCTGTTGTACCAACCAAGTAATCGTACATATATTTATTAATGTGTTGTTGGTTTTTTTGTTGTAGATTTGCGCGTTTTTGTACGGAGTGAGCCCGCCCGATAACCCGCAAGTGAAGGAATTGCGTTGTTTGGTGTTGCCGCCGCAATGGGGTACCCATCAAACCGTGCACATTCCCAATTTGCCGCCGAACCATCCGTTCCTGAAGGACATGGAACCGTTGGGATGGATCCACACGCAGCCCAACGAGTTGCCGCAATTGTCCCCGCAAGATATCACCAATCACGCCAAATTGATGTCCGATAATCCGGCGTGGGACGGGGAGAAGACCATTATAATAACCTGTTCTTTCACGCCTGGTTCCTGCTCGCTGACCGCTTACAAACTGACGCCTTCCGGATTCGAATGGGGAAGACAGAACACGGATAAAGGAAACAACCCGAAGGGCTACTTGCCCAGCCATTACGAGAAAGTGCAGATGTTGCTTTCGGATAGGTTTTTGGGATTCTTTATGGTGCCTTCGCAGGGATCTTGGAATTACAATTTCATGGGTACGTTTTGTATGACGAGTTTAAATCGAGTTGATTTAATAAATTGATGTTGTTTTAGGTGTTCGTCACGACCCGAGCATGAAATATGAATTGCAGTTGGCTAATCCGAAAGAGTTTTACCACGAGGTGCACAGACCGGCGCATTTCCTTAATTTCTCTTCTTTGGAAGACGGTGATGGAGCAGGGGCCGATAGGGAAGACGCTTTCGCTTGATTTTTCCCGTAGATTAGTGTATTTTGTTTCATATTTAATTTAGTAATACAATATAATTAATTTTAGTTTGGAATAAATAATTAATTATCTTTGTTTGAGCGGTACCCATTCCGGTTGTCTGAACACAGAAGGGCTGGACGAAGTGTAATCGGTCGTGCTTAACATTGTATCTGAATATTGGGTTCGGGAGCTCTTCGCCGACGTGCGCGGAGTGAGTTGAGGCCTGCCGAATAATTTGTTCAATCTGAAACGGAGGAATTACTTACTAAGTGCACAATTCAACTGTTGCTCGTTACCTCTTTTGTAAACTGCGTATGATTTTCTTCTTGAACACGAATATGAAGAATATAATGATTCCGTACAAGGTGTTTATAAGGTCCGTTGCGTAAAATAATTCATCGGGAGCGGCTGGACATTCCCACTTTACGAACCACGATATTATTTCCATGCTCCAGTTCAATCCCATCGCGAATACTAGTTTCAAGTACAATTTGAACCTGTTGATTAGTAAATAATCGAATACCATGAGGTGTTGTTAGCTCGTATCTTACTTCTGGTTGTCGTCATTGTGACTGTGGATTCTGCTGTCCGATCTCTTCAGCATTTTCGTCTCTTTTTTGATTTTGTATATCTTCCAAAAAGTAAAAACGAACGCCGCTATATTTATAACCACCAATACGGTCATCGGCAGGTAAAAATACAACAGATTCTGGTAGAAACCTGCAATCACGACATTAAAATTCGCCCTTCGACAAACTTTTCTCGGCATACCATTAAGAAAACAAACTCCCTCTCCCACATTGGGACGGAACTTGGAATGTTCATCCATGAACTTGCTCAGCAAAAACACCAATAGCACGAAAAACATCGACGCGCCCCAAGCGTAGAAGCTGTAAAAGATAAACTTTCTCCTCTCCGACGTTTTCTTGCTCAAAAATCCTGTCCACGAACTACAAAACAACAGTTAAAATAAGGTAATAAGTAACACGCAAGCATCAATTACCTGAACGCTAGAGACATATCGATGCAAAGGGCGTTCAGCCAGGCGAACGAGGCCAAATAGAAGAATATAATCGAGTAACCTAGAAACGGTTCAAAGCAGCTCGAATCGCGAAACTCGCCGAATACTCACCGATAATTCGGCAGGAAACCAGAGGCCATTGTAACCCGTAAAACTGCAACAACACCAGAGTCGAGTTGCCGCCTAACAGGCTTACGATGTAACACATCAGGGCGTACCGGTGCAAATTGCGTTCCGGTAAAATCACATACACCAAAAACGTGCAAACCAGGAACGGCGCCGACACCAACATGCCTACGAGTACCAGTTAATCAAACCTCGTAAGATCACAGGATATACTGGGAGTCACAAACAAGTGGGGTTGGAACATGGCGGAGTTCTGGAATGATTTAACATAACTTAACTAGAACCAAATGGGATCTAGGGCAATAATTTCCCGGGGAAGAACCCTTTAAATCTGGTCATCTACTTCCTTTACCAACTACCACCAGGACTCTTAAGTGCTTAGTAAGAAAGTTGCCAGGTGTTAAAGTTCTGGTGACCAGAAGATATTATGTAAAAATATTCATGAAGAGTTCGACTACTGTTTAGCAATTGTGTGTAACTTATTTACAAAGTACTTTTTGTTATAAGCGAGTTAGGTTGAATCATCTCATTTTCGTCCCAGTTACCTAAGCCATATCCCAATCTTTTTGCGACACCCCGTATATCCTAATGCGATAGTATTAGGTACTCACTTGCTGCCTTTACAATTCTCTCCATATCTGCTCGGTCATTACTAGCGCTATCGTTATAAGAGCACATAAAGGCCCAGGAATTGCCTTCGAAATCATCGATGCAATACAAACCGATATCGTAAAATTCCTGTATTACTTCATCGTCGTAGTACAAGGAACCGTTTTCTTGCAAATAAAGGAATTCGTTCGCGGTTTCAATGGATCGGAAGTGTTGGTCCACTAGGCACTCTTTTCCCACCGTTATGGAAAAATTGCTCATCGTCAAGCCGTCGGAGATGGTAGTTTTATTGTGGATGTTTACACTGAGAGTGCTATTGCTCGGGGCGCAAGCATATTCGTCGTCGTTCATCGGAGGATGGTCCAATATTCCTTCCCGTTTCATGTACTCCCCCAAGGGGCAGCACTTTCTGAAGCACCGCTTCACGTTGCAGATGCACCCCAATCGCGTGCCGTTCTCGGAAATGAAGTAGTCTTTTTTCTCGTAGATCAAACCGTCGTGGAGGAATGCATCCGGTCGGTTTGCGGATTTTTCTGCTGCGGAAATGTCTACGGTCAGGGATGGATGGCAAGGGGTGGGTTGTTGGGAACAGCATAAGGCGAGTATCGACGAAAAGGCTAGTAGAACGCGCACTTCCATAGCGAGATTTTTCCGAAAACTGGCCGTAATTGCGGCGAATTTGTTCTGTTATTATCTTCTTGCATTGGGAATTATCGTGCACAGGATGTTTCATAAAACCATAAAACCATAAAGCGTAAGGATGTGATTCAAATTTCGAATGGAATTCATCGTTCGTTAATCCAATTGCGCGCTGTTCGGTTAAATGATAAACGAATAAGATTATAAGAAATTTATTTCAGAAAAATTGAAATTTATACGGGTCGAACACTATTGTTTACAAGCACATGTAGAATTAGACAAAATTCGATTACATTCAAATTACTAAGCTAGAATTTTTTGAAGCGAATAAATAGTGTAGCTTTTTTATGAAGCAAATTATAAAAATGTGAATACATATGTATGTATATCGAATAAAACCTGAGTGTATACCAAACATTCTTAAACAATAAATTTTTCTTGTAGAAAAATTGAAACACTAACACAAAAAAAAAACATATTTTCAAGTACATGCAACATTGAATAAAAATAAAACAAATCGCAGTAAATTTAAATTCGTTTAAAAACCTGTAATAACCGACCGTTAAAAACTTCACCGCCCTGACTATTGGCTGAATTACTCGATCGCCGAGGCACGGTCCTGCCGTTGAAAACAAAAAAAAACAACACAAAATTACAAATAATTATTCGAATTTACGTTTACCGACGTTAAGCACCAACTTATCTTTGGCTCTGATACATTAGAATATATGGCACAATGATCGCATTGATAACGCAAGCCCGGACCTAAAAGGGCTGGAGATTAGGCCGCCGTGAGGCCGGATTCCTCCGGTTTGCTGTTCCTCATTTCGTTGAGCCTGTAGTCGGAGTTTAGGTTCGTTTCCGTCGTCGAGTAATTGCTGGTGCGCGTGCCCAGGCCAGATGATTGGGTCATGGTGTGAGCGAGATGAGGCTTTCCAACGAATACGTAGTACCTGCAAGGGCGATCAGCAAGGATTAGTCAGGCGTTATCGCTGAGGATTGTAGCTTTTCCAAAGTCGATCGAGTATAGAGACTATATGTTAGGTTATAGTGTGTGTACTACACAGCAAGTATACTGAATTCACTTTGGAAAGGCTATATTAAAGGGTTAATTTAGAGGCTAATCGGTAAAATAATCAAGGTGCGATTAGTAAACATGCCTTGTGCTTAAAATAACGTTTCGAATTAATGCTTCATTATATTTGCCATGCTTGATGTAGTCTACTGTAACAACTCCTAAATTTGTACAAAATTTTCGAACAGTTTTGCTGGGAATTTGGGAATTCTATCAGAAAGTTAAATATGTAGATGGATTTTCATGCAAAGTACTAATGTGTTTTGTCGCTATTCAATCCAAAACCAGTACATACACGGGGCGACTATAAATAAATAGAATTTTCGAAAAGTTGGCTGCATAACCGATTCTGTTAGTAACAATAAAAACTATTAAATGAAGGTACTATCAACTTCTCAAAAAAACCTAATTATTATAGTCACCCGGTATAATGTAATATGTTATTCCGGTGCACCGTTTTGTTTCGAAATACCATTACCATATTGTTATTAAAATTGGTGCATTCACGTAATTTTTCTATCGCAAAACTTACTCATTTCGCAATTACGTATTTCTCTATGCCAATCTAATATTGCTGGCATGTTCTGGTTCTTCTCCTGTATTTTTTTTACAGTATATTAACCACCAAATTCTAAAACGTTCCAATTAAATGGTTATTTATCAATTTTTATTCGATGTTCTTTTTTGTAGATTCTATGTAATGTAAGATTAATAAATGTAAGGAGAAAGATAGACTGGAGAGCTCCAGAAGAATCGAGATGTGTGTAAGAGTAATAGAGGAAAAATGTGCCTTTTATAAAACCAGGTATTTTAACATTTTTTTGGTTTAGCAATTCGATTGTTAGTAAAATTGGTTCAAAATTTCAGCGTCAATCGCAAACAGCAAAAAAGGCATGTTCTTACATGTTTATAAAATCCTAAATATCATGAGAACGTTTTCAGGGATGTGTTGTTGCTAAAAAAATTATTACGATAAAATTCGATAAAACACTCGATATTATACAATCGCTCGTAGAAAATAAATAATAACAACATTGTTACCTTCAACGTTATTAATATTAGTTTTATTAAAGTATGTATAGTTTGTGAATAAACGAAAAAAGTGCATTATAGTAGATAGAAAATGGTGCGTATAAAAAATAGTGTTTCTTGGTGAATAAAAAAAAACGACATTAAGGTAGTTAAACGTGTTCAAAACGCACCTTTTCTGCAAAGACTTCCAGATTTTCTTCTTGAACACGAATATCATGAATATCAGCAAACCGTACATGGCGTTAGTGAAGTCCGTCAAATACCAAACAAACGTCGGAGTTTCCTTCACCTTCCAATCCACGGCCCAGGAAACCAATTCCATCGTCCAATTCACGCCCATGGCGAACATCAATTTCAAATACAAATTGAACCTTTAACCACAACAAAAAAATCATTTAAATCGATCGTCGAACGATCGGCGAGAGTTTACTTTTGCTTGTCGTCTTCGTAAGAGTGTCGTTTACTTTCCGAATGCTTCAGCATCTTCGTCTCCCTTTTGATCCTCTGTATTCGAACGGTCGTGGCGATAAATAAAATTATATTGATCCCTATCAGGATGGCCATCGGCAAATAGAAGTAGTAAAACGTCGGCAATTCCTCTACAAAGATGATCAATGGAATTTTTAACATTTCAAAGCAGGGCGATTGGAAAATTCAAGTGGTTGTTCCTTGGTTATACTACTCCATTAGAAAGGACCCTGATGTTTTTGAAAGAGTTCAATGAGGAAAGGATTGGCTGCTTGCCTCCTGGGAACAACCCCTTGAATTTACGCCGTATAAAACCTCGTATAAAATGAATTATACCTCCTAAAAAGCACCGCCTTTTCCCTATTCCCGGATAATAACTAGCATCCGGGTCGCCGTAGGTGTTGATCAAAAACACGATGATAGTGTGTATCGTGGGCACCCCCCAGGCGTACACACAGTATATAATAAACCTTTTCCTCTCGGCCGTCTGCTTGCTCAACACAGTCCTCATTCCGCTGCGAATCGAAAAAAATAACAATCAATCGAGAAATAAAATAAACGTCGACGATTTAAACAAATAAACGCACCTAAACGCCAACCACATGTCGATGCACATGACGTTCATCCAGAAGAAGGACACCAAAAAGAAGAATATAATTAGGTGACCTGAAAATGTACGAAAATATACGATTCTCTTAGGGATTCTCTTGTTGTAGCTTACCTAAGATGTGACAAGCGACATCTGGAAATTGCCCTGTATAAAGTTGAATTGTAACCAATGTTATGTAGGCTATTAGCAATGTAAACACGTAGGACATAAGAGCTCTTCTGTGTATGTTTCTTTCGGGTAGCACGAAGTACACGATGAAGGTAATCAGCAGAAACGGCGTAGAAATGATCATACCTGAAATTACAAAAATATTTTAGAGACAATTTTTCAGCAAACATTTTACGCATATAAACTACGCATAAATGATATTCTATGCGGGTTATAATTGTTGTAGTATTATCGAAAATTCCCCAATCTTGCGTAATAATTTCGAAATGCAACGGCAAGAAAATCGTTACATACCGGCGACGCTAACCACTCGGCTCACTTTCGTTGCGCCGTTGCAAAGAAAAACCGACAAATTTCCACTTTCGTCCATGCAATACCGATCGTTGGAGTAGACGATTCCATAAACCGGCACCCACAAGTCCCCGTTCGCTTGCAAATAGTACGCGTAATTGGATCCTTTGGAATTGAGCCGAAAGGCGGCGCATTGCAAAGGTCCTGTCTTATACACTGCCCGATCGTCCAGAAGTCCCAGCAACTTTTCGTTCGTGTAAATCCTTACAACGAAAGTACCGTTCGAACCGTTTCCCACGCAAGTCTTGTTTTTCAACACGAAACCTGCCTCGCAGCACCTCCTCACACAGGCGTCCCTTCGATCGCAATCATCGAACAATCCCTCATTGATTCCAGCAACTATTCCCGATAGATTTATCGCACAGAACAAGATGCATCGACACAACATCCGCATTTTCAACGCCGTGTAAATGTTTATCAACCAGAGACTGTGCTGTACCGTTCGCGAGTGAAATAGAGCCCGGATTTTTCGATTAGTTATTGCAAGAAATGGTATATCGAACGAACAACGTGCGTATTAAATTAGCCAATGAGCCAGGTCTGTGTGTGTGTGTCACCTATAATCCGTCAACTTCAATGTCAGCGCAGAGAAGCTGCCCCTTCCCTGGGGGCGAAAGCATCCAATTACCGCTATGGAGGTTAATTAGAGCGTTAGATAGATTTGCGAATTTGTTCAAATCGATCACTCGAACGCATTTTCCACAAAGTATTCTGTTAGAATGCGATTAATTTCTGGTACCTACAAGCTCACTGGCTATTTTTTTATTGTTTTTGAGCTTTTCGCTTTCGGTTCTTCCACGGAAATATAAATATTTATCCAATGATAAGGGCTGATTGGGCCAATAACACCTAAATATTCTCCATTAATTTTGAGTGGTTACATTGTGTTAATACACTCGTCGGGAACTACTGAAAAACACCGGGTTTTCCGCATAATCAAAACGAATCAATCAAAAAAAGTAGGTTAATTAACGCTCGATTTTGATCAGATGATAATGAGTAGGAACGTACTAATATCACAAATTATTCCTTGTGTATGTCCAAGTAGTAACTTCCTTGGAAACAAAGAAAATTAGTGGCTATTAATATATTATAATCGATAGATTCGGAGAAAAATATGTCTGCGGTATTTCCGCAATAATTAAAATGAGGGATCGATACTTGCTGTAGACTTTATTAATTAAGCTTCAGGGTAAATATTTTGCTACAATAAATTAATCTATTATTTTTATCCGCCAACGGAGACATGTTGACACGTAAAATTAGTTGATTAATAGAGGAACATTTAAATTTGTTGTCCTTTTCGACACACTTCCGACCCGCCCTGTATTTTACCGTCTTTCTCAAACGCATTAAGTTAATGAATCTGCGCGCATAATTGGAAAGGCGTGATTTCATCCACAGAATAACTTGCTGTATATTAATGTTATCTATCACACAACAATTTCGCGGAATTTATTTTTAAAAAAAACCTGTTCTATTGTTACAGAAATGTCTGTAGATGCAAATAAACTATTTAAAGTTTACTTGGTTACAGAGCATATTGAATAACTAGATAACAATGTGCGCAGGCTCCGTTTAGAGCTATCCCAGTAGGTATAATTCGATAATTCGCTCGATTTTTCCATTGATTTTTAAGAACAGCAACGGGGAAAGATATGACCACCCACCTGATACCTTCCAAACAGTGACCACCTCTTGGTGCTTCGAACTGTAGCACAAAAACACCGAGAACCCGTCCCTTTCGTCCACACAAAACCTATCGTTGGCGTAAAATCGCCGCTTGGACCGCGGATAGTACAGCACCCCGTCCTCCTGCACGAACACCTCCTCCCTCGGATCGCTGCTGTTGATCTGGAAGAACTTCCAACGCTGCCCCTTGTTGCACGGCAGCAAACCCACCATGAACCCGTCGTCCTGGTACCGCTTGAAGTGGCGCTTCCTGTAGACGGGCACTTTGAAATCCAACGGGGCCGAGGCGTTTCTAACGCAAACGGTTTCCTCCACGATGCGGTTGTCGATGGGGTATTCGTCGTGGTGGAGGTAGAACCCGAGCTGGCAGCATTTCCTCAGGCATTTCGTCCCGTCGCCGCAACCGCAGCTCGACGTCACGTCGCTGGTGTAATTCGCGTAAACGGCGGTGCCACTTAGATCGCACAAATCCAAAGGCGTCGCGTATTTAACGGGTTCCAGGAGGCACAATGTCAATAGAAGAACATTCGTTGCGATCGACATGTTTTGTTCCAGTCTAATGGCGTCGATTCGGAGCGTAATTCGACACCGAATTATCGCGAGTATTGCATGTGGTGCAATTGAAATTAATCGTTTAAAAAAAAAACAGATGGCCGGTGGTCGTGGAGATTGGGAATATACAGGGTGGAATTTGGGAGACTTGTCTTCCGTTGAGGAATTTAGTGCTCACTTACCTATCGAATTGAATTGCCTCAAGGTGTTCCGTCTGTCTTTCTGCGTGAAGCACAAATAGACGGACAAACCGTCCTTTTCGTCCACACAATACCGATCGTTCAAGTAAAATTTCCTCTTCGAGTGCGGATAAAACAGCGAGCCGTTGCCTTGCAAATAATACTTCTCGTTGGGATCTTTATCGTTGAGTTTGAAGTATCGCAACGCCTCGTCTCGGTTGCAAGTCAGCATGCCCACCAAGAAGGTGCTTTCTTCCCTCAATTTCGTGTAGTTGGAGTAAACCGGAACGGTGAAGTTGTGGGTGAAGTTCTCCCGTTTGTAGCACAGGTTGGTGGATTCGTATATCCCGCGGGCGGCGTCTTCGACGTGGTGGAGGCTGTAGCCCAGCTGGCAGCACTTCCTGATGCATCGTCTGGCTTCGGTGCATCGGCACGTTTGCGTGGCTTCCTCGGTGTAATTGGCGTACGGCGTGGTGCCCTCGGTATTGCACAAATCTAACTCGACCGACAGCACTTTCACAGATATGCTTAGCAACGTGAGAATCCGCAGGATCATTGTCGGCGGACTGAAAACGTGCGAGTTGTTTTTCTTCTTTATTTGAGTAGCATGAGAGCGATTCGATTTTACGACCTTTATCAAATAACGAATGTATACAGAGTTATGCTGGCTGGATGTCCGCACGTTGTGTTTGGTTAGCTAACCTTGAGTGAAATTTATATGTACTGTGTGTATTCGTAATTTCACAGGTACGGGTTGGGATTGGATGTATGTATATCGGGTTTTTATCTGAAATTGTCGGTTTGGAACCGGTTTATCCGTAGATGGTTGGAAATTCAGAGGATGTTTGTTGTCTCTTTATTATAACGAGTCGAACAGCAAACGGTAATTAAGAAAATTAGGATCGACTTTTGGATGGAGCCGGTCCTTTGCATCAGATGAAATGTAAGGTGAAAGTGGCATTTATAAAAATTTTATCGAAAGTGCTGGACACACGAATTTTTCATTTATAGTTATATGACCCTGTATAAATCAAGGAAGTTATATAATGGATCATAATTATCTGTAATTCAAATGCTTATAAATACAATTCTCTCGTGTTTTTTGGTATTTGTTATGAAGCAATTATGTAGGTATATATAAATAATTTTTTTCGTAGTAGCGATGATGAATTGAAGGATATTAATATTCATAAGATGCATAATTATATCCCAGAATTACACATTGTAATAATTTTTAATAGGTCAAAATATTACTTACAGTTCGTTAGAAATAGCTGTAAACGCGTGTAGTATTATGCGCAATTATCTTATTTTTCATTTCAAAATCTCCAAAAATTTATATAAATTTTGAAATCTAATTTTTTCCCATATACTTCTAAATATTCCAAATTTTCACATGCGATACATCAGCTGTTGTTCGATGATTTACAACTAACAAATATTAGTAATAAGATGATGGAAGTTTACGTTATTATAATTAATAAGTTAAAAAATCTCAATATAGTGGGAATGAATGTAGTTATTTATAGAAAGCAGAAGATACACAATTTCCATGCTATTTTAATAGCTAATAACGATCGATAAGAAGCAACTGGAAATGTAACTAACAAGTGTACTTATGTGGGTAGCTATAATATCAATTTAATATTCTATAAGTAGCGATTTTTTTAATAAAATCTAACATTTTCCTATTATTTGATAAAGCTCATAACGATAAGACAATTCGTACAAAAAAACATTTCTATCATCAACTGCAATTTAGTTTATTACCTAATCTCACCTTGTAAGTACTAAGGCACTTATCTCCTATCAATTTCACCTCAATTTCATAAAAAAACCGATTACTAACCTAAAGAATAAAAATATCTAGTAGCGCCCGAATCTTCTTCTAAGCATGCGATTGCATAATACTGATCGTCCTCCATGGTCAGGCAATAATCCTCCAAAGCGAAAGCGATATCCTCCCAAACCAGCATCCCGTCAATCACCGTAAAATCCCGATCCAATATCACCTTGGTCTGGACATCATCGCAAATCTCGTTCTCCGGCACGACGATGATATGGAAGAGCGAGAAATTCCTCAAAGGCTTGTTAGATGAAACGCACTTTCTCAAATTCAAGTCCATGGTCTCCCCGTGATCACAGCACTTTCTAACGCACTGCAAGACGTTGCAAATGCACCCCTTCACCGACGCACCCACCGAGAAAGAATCATTTTTTCTATAAGTCACTCCATCTTTAATTATATCGTCGCCCGATCGCCTGCCGTCCGTTATATCCACGTAATTAGTGCACGGGTAATCGCCGAAAGAAAAGCGAAGAAGCGCGGAAATGGTGAGGAAAAACGCGACGCGATACATTCTCGTGGTTTTTCATTCGAAATTACTCGGATACGCTCAGGTTTTCAGTGATTTTAGCAATGATTCAACGAAGGTTGTAAATATTAGTCGACTTTTATCAGTACTAAGAATGGCGTAAATGTACAAATAAGTGACGAGATAAGATTAATGGATAAGAATACACGAAGATGATTTTAATCGTTAAATTCATTGTAGGATTCACATTTTTGTAGTGAATTCCGAAATGTACTGATGGACGCTCTTTGTATTATTTGAAGAAATATTTATGCTCATTGGTATTTCTAAGGCTAGGTAAACTTAGCAAATTATCTAATAAACGAATCGAGCAAATATTTGTTTGGTTGTCAAGATTTTTTTTTGAATAATTTAAGAGATCCTAAAACTCACCGTAACAAGCTACACAAGTTCTCTCGCCCCCCAAGCAATACAACACTCCAATTTCCCCGCTTTCGGTTTTATCCACGCAAAAATCCCCGTAAGGAACGTCCGTCAAGTTCTCGTAATCCGGCGGAAAGCCGCAAATCATGTTCATCCGGCCCTCTTCGACGAACAGACACTCGTCGGGGATCTGGAAGATCTCCTTGCCGACGGGGCAGCCGTTGCCGATCACCAGGCGATAGTCGCAGTCGAAGTCGAAGTCGAAGGTGAAATTGTCCGGTACGCAGGTGAGCGAGGTGGTGAACATGGTGCCCAAAGGGCAGCACTTCCTCAGCACCGTTTCGCAGGCCGTCGAGGCGCGCTCGACGCGACAGATGACCGATAGAACGGCGAGCAACAGATTCGCGGGCGTCGCGACGCTCATCGTGACGGCCGGTCGAAAGGACTAAAAAATGATATGTCCGCCAATTATTGGCGGGGCCCGATGTGTTCGAGAATTCTCGGCTGTTTATTTTATCAACGAGAATCTTTTAGACGTTTTTCATCTTCCATATAGGATAAACAAACGCTGTGATATTATGATTATGTGCGAGACATTTGCCGTTTTCTTGGGAAACAAAAACGATTATATTGTTATTGCACCATTATTGTTTTATACAGTATGTCCCGAGCCATCTCTAGGATACGTTCTATAAAAATTATTCGCTTATTCTAGGACGTCCTATATAATTTTTAACATGGCGTCAGTACTTTACGTATTTAAATATTTATTCCTCACTTCAGTCACTTCCTGAAGCGATGTCGTACTACAGGATGTATCAAAAAGAAATAAACTAAATTGCAGTTATACAAAAAAACATTCGAAATTTACTACATAAAAATATTTGCTTGTAAAACTTACATGATTTTAAAGTTGCACATGTCACATGCGAAATGAAGTGTGAAATGCCTGCGGTGAGTGCACAATTATTGAGATGCGTGTGTGTGTGTGTTTTGGGGGGAAATTTGTAGGTAGGATTGAACATATAGAATAATAAAACGCACGATAATAATTCGTTTAAGTGCAAATTAATGTATGTTTTCGTCGAAAATTAACTGGAAATTCTCTAACGAACCCTAAAAAAAAAGTTTGAATCTCACGTCAATCTAATAAATTTTCGCTATCTATTTCACTGTTAATAAACAATATTTACATAAGTTAATCATGAAATGTAATGCAAAAAATGCAATTCGATTAGCTAGTTTGTGTTTATCCGACGTCTTTTTTTTATTTATTTCTAATTAATTAATTGGAGTTGGAGTTGTCACAAATTATTAGGTAAATTGCCTAAGCGGTGAGGGTATTTTTTAATTAATTACCTAAAAGGGCGTAGGTTGGCCTTCTGGGAGAAAATTTAGGCGTACGTAAATCGATCGCCTCGGGAAAAAAATTAACCTGATAAAATGCCGGGCAATTAACGTCAATATTTCAATTAAAATATGTAACCGACATATTTAATTATGTCGAAATACAGGTATTTCTTCGGTAGTAAGTAGGTACGCAAAAATCGACTATTTAGAAGCAATTAAAAGAGTTATAACGAAGACTGGTTTCATTGATAATTTCTTAATTCAACAATTATAATGGTAAAATCGAGCAATCAACCGTAAAGTTATTAAAATCAAGTACTTGGGTATCTCTGTTTTGTCTCCAATAAGATTGATAAAAGAATATAAACATTATGCAAATACAGGGTGTTAATTAATTTAGTGCCAATACTTTAGGATGTGAATATTTGGATGATTTTACAGGGTGTTACAGTTACAAAAAATAACTTTTGTATCATAATTTTCAAAAGGTAAAAAAATATTAAACCGAAACAATTTTTTCCCATGTTCATTGAGACGCTTTTGATATTTTGTTAAAATTTGGTAGGCGCCCACCATGCATGAAAACACTTTTTTTTAGGACAAAAATTAATTTTCTACTATTACCAGTGACGTCAACGTCCGAGATTTCATAAAAATATCTGGAGTAATAAGAAAATTATGATGGAAAAGTTATTTTTTTTTAAACTGCAACACTTTTCTTCTTAAAATTATCGAAATATTCACATCCTGAAGTATCTGCACTCAATTAATTAACACCCTGATGCATAGTTTAGAGAATACCACAACATTAACTGAAATCCGCCACTTTTATTCGAAAAACCTTAGGTATAAAAAAAACAAATTTGGCCTCCTTTAACCTACCGACAACGGCGACAGTCTTAGCAATGACCACATCCTCCGTATCATTATCTTCCTTATAGCAAATGTAACCAATTAAATTCAAATGGCGTCCCAAATTGTAGTCCAAACAGTACATCTCCGGCGGATACATAATAACGTATTCACCGCCGGCATCCCGCCCGTACAAACTCCCATTATACTGAAGATACAATTCCCCAACGAATTTGATCCTATAGAAATCCTTAGGGCACTCTTGTTTGCCGTAGTCATAGTGCAATTTCCTCGCCTTGCGCTTATCGATGGCGGTGAAATTGTACAGCATGAAATCGGAGAGGGACACGTTGGAGTGTACGCATTTGTCGTCGAGAATGGCTTCGTCGGCTTCGCAGCACTTCCTGGCGCAGTTTCCGTCGGCTGGCTGGCAACCGGTCGCGTAAAAGACCCGCAAACACAACGCGAAAACTACCGCCGTTAACATTTCACTGATTTTATTTTTCGCGCCCGTTTTTCGGGCTGGTGCGTGCTGACGCCGGCGAGGCTCGCATGGAAATTGGGTTGAAATAATATAATAATGTTGGAATTACACCTAGTGCTTAGGCCGAAATATAACGAGTTGATAGTAAACTGGTTTATTATCACAATTCGTGTCCACCCGAGTCTATTTGAAAGCGGCAGGTAATTGCTTATTGACGATGCCCCTAATGTGAAATTCCGCTGAATATGTATTTCGTTTTAATTTAATAGCGATTATGTAGAAATATAACTATCTACCCTTAGAAATAATTATAATTAAACGAGGATATAGAATTATTTAATTAATTGTGAGGGAGTGGGTTACACCACACATTTTGTTATAATAATTTATAATTCATTCAACAATCCATGTTTATAGAGCGCAAGTTAATTTGTATTTTGTCTCATTAAAATACACGATAAATTTTAGCATATGAAGGTTAAGACTGCCTATAAATTTCCAAAACAACTTGTTTTATTAGTTAACTATTTTAGTCCCGAATAATAATAAACCGTATATTAATTTGAAAAAAATTCAATAAACAAATAAATTATTGGTATTTGAATAAAACCGGAAAATTCGTTATTAATTGGTAGATTATTTTACACTACAATGCGTTGTGTTATTGTGAGTAATGACACATTTACCGCGAATGCTCTTTTGTGGGTACACAAAATAGTGATAAAATCAACTTATAATAATGCCGGAAATAAACCGATAAAAACGCCGTTTTCTCGAAAATTGCTTTTTCCACTCGCCAAGCTTATTCCGATTACATTAATTAGTAAAATTTCCGAATGGAAATAGCCATTTCAGTGAAATTACCTGCCACAGGTATGTTTGTGGAATCCACGATTTCTTCGTTTCCAACGCAAACCAACGCCCTCAATTCGTTCTCCGCCGAATCGATCGTGAACAAATCGATGCAATAGAACTTTATCCCCGCGTATTCGGTGTCATCCCAGTAAAACGAGCCGTCATCGTCCACTCGAAAGTCGCTAATGATCAATCGTTTGTAATTTTTTCCACAGTTCAGCTCTTTGTGCACCAAATTCTGCACGCTCGTTTTCGATTTTAACGCAGGTAGAAACGTAGATTTAAATAGCTCTCGGGACTTCTCGCAGGTTTTGGTTTTTCCTATCATCACTTGATCGGAAGCACAGCATTTTCTCACTACACTTGCATTTCTTAGATCGGTATTAACTAGCGGTGCATTTTGCACGATTGCACAACAAACGCAAATCACCAAATAAAAAACCGAAACGCGCTCGAAGGACATGCTGAGTAGGTCCTGCGTGCAATTTTAACGTCGAGTGCTTTTCGAGGAGGGCTTGAAATCCACTAAAAACCGCACAACCTCTAAAATTAACTCGATTTAACTGCGCGCCTGTTGATAAAACAAAAGCGCCGGCTAAAATTTGTTTATATTAGAAATAGTTAAGGTGGTGAAGTTAATTAAGCTCTCACGCAAAAGTCGTAAATACTGTACAGACACGCAGAAAAAACGGATTGATTAATTTTACGTGTAATTTTATAAATATCTTACATAGAAAGTCTTTTATATACACTTGTTGTTTACCGTATTTTATAATTGAATGATTTAATTATATCGTGTGTTGTATGTTTTAAATAATAATGTACCTAATTACACTATCAAATAATAGTGTAATATATTTGGTTTTATAATGAGATATACCCAAAAGGAAGTTTAGATGAAACTGGACCCAATTACTCTTTTGAAGATTCTATAGGGGATGAAAATAGCCCCAATTTCCCGTTTTAAAAGTGTCATGGGAATTGAAAATGGCACCAATTACTCTTTTAATATCCCCATAGAAGATTAAAATGATTCCAGTTACTCTGTTAAAGGCCATATGGAGATGAAAGTGGCCCTATAATTACTTTTTTGAAGACCCTAAAGAAGTGAAAACGACCACAATTACTCATTTAAAAGCCCCATACATAGGCGAGGAAAAAGGCCCCAATTACTTTTTTAAAGACCCTCTAGGGGTGACAATGGCCTTAATTACTTTTTTGAAGACCCCATAGGGGATGAAAATAAATCCAATTACTCTTTTAAATGCCCTACAGGTGATGAACCATGGCCCCAAATTTTCTTAGATTAATTGTTTGCGCACCCCGATATATTAAAATTCAAAACGAAAAGGGCTTTTAATAGAACCACCAAACTCACCGTTCCCTTTGATAAACGTCTCTTCTCCCGACTCTTTTTCCTCGCACGTAAACCCCGACATGACCCCATCCACGATATCGATGCAATAATTCTCCACGCTGTATATATTCGTGTAATCATCCTCCACATAGTACACAGAACCGTCGGTTTGGAGGTACAATCTCGCCCCATCGGCTCGAATGCTATCGTGCGTGTTCAAACAGCGGCCCCCGTACACAACGAACAACCCCGCGCTGGCATTGGCCTGTTCCTGCGTGAGATTGTAGACAGGAAAACTGATCGCTCGGCCGGGACTTTCCACGCACGTGTCGTTCACGAAAACCTCGTTTTTCCCGCAGCACTTCCTCAGGCATCTTCGCAAGTTGCACACGCAGCCGAATATCGCGCCGCCCGACCGGTAGTAGTTCTTCTGGTCGTAGACGATGCCGTCTTTGAGGAGGCGATCGTGGTCCAGCGGAGCGCCGTCGGTGATGTTGACGGAGAGATAGTCGGGGCACGGTTCGGCGAAGATGTTGCCGATGAAGAGCAGAAGGCACCAGATCGCCGATTTCGAATCCATACCGTCGACTGGTTATCGTTTCGAAACTCGAACCGGTGCCTGTGTAATCTCTTCCGATGCTTAGCAGGAGTTGGAGTATTTCACACACCGCAGGATTTTCCGCGGTTTCGGCCGTCGACTATTTTCGAGATCCGTCAGGTTTGTTACGGTTTTTTCTCGTTTATTCATCGCCGATCGGAGGACGAGGTTCTAATTCAATTGTAATTTTGCATCTATACTATATGCCTACACTGCTGACTTAATAACACAGAAAAAACTTTCACGAAACCGAAGAAGGTAGTTACGATGGTGCCATTACCAGCGCAACGTTAAAACTGATTTGTTTCTACAGCGCCTATTAGTCGTAAAACTGAAATATTCTGAGTAATATTGCGGAAGAAATAGGAAGCGTTTCGAATTTCAATGTCATGTTATGTGCTATTGTAATTTATTAACATAGTAGCTTTACTACTGGCCTAATCACGTGCGTAGCCTAATCAAATCTAATTGCGGTGTAAGAATGTTGTTGATACGGTAATCATTTTGTAATTATGTACATACAAGTCGCTTCCAATGGGAATTAACTATTAATTTCGCTTTATTTAAAAGGAATATTACGGAAGTTAATATACAGTGATATGAAAATAGCTGCAGACATACATATCACCTTGTATATTATTAATATGTAGTTTGAAAAATGTTTGTTACCAAACAAATTTTGAATGAATAGATGATGATAAATAAGTATGGAACTTTTTATTGATTCCAAGGTTATTAAATTGTTAGTTAACCCGGATAACTAATATATTTCTTCAAAATTTTATTTTTATTACATAATGGATGTAACTGTAAAATTGAATGTTTTAATAGGCAATTGCGTAATAGGTACTTGTGCATGGCTAGACGTCGGTTTGAGGAGAGCTAATTTAATTGATGTTCTGTTTGAGTTTTTGAATGAATCATTTTTTTATTCAAATCAATTTTTCCAGTTGGGTTTCGAATGCAATCACGGGGATTTACTTAAACACGGCATGACTAAAGCTAATTTTAGAATCGTGAAACGCGCCTATTCTTTGCGAATTTCCAAAGATTTATTTTTCGTACTAATTATAGGTGCCTATAATCGAGAGGTGATTCGAATAAAAACAAAACAGCTGGTAGTCGATATGTTTATTCTGAAACGATATCCGAAACCGTTTCTTTATGAACTAAATTTTGAATTATTTCAAAGGAATTCGCTAAAAATAAACCTCTAAAGCAAACTAATATTACACCGGTTAACGAATCCATCAAGACTAGCCAGACTCTCACATCTAGACCCATTTACATCAACAATTGAAAATTCCCAAACAATGCACACATGCCAATATAATCATTTACTGATGTATGTAGGTAGTTAGAAAATATACTGCTCCACAAAAGTTCACAAATATTGCGATTAATTTAAAAGTTTCAGGTTTTTCGATCGACAAATTTAGTATGAGTTGTAGAGGTAGGCGCAAAAATTCCTCTTAGATATGAGAGGAAATTTTTATTTTCTCACATTTGAGAATTTGGTGATCAAAAAGTCTGTAACTTTTAAAATAATCGCAAAATTCGCGAACTTCCTTAACTTTTGTGGAGCAGTTGATATTCATTTATCTACGTTTGAAAAGTTCTTTCATATAAGTAATAATGTAAATTTATTGGTGAATATTTACACAATTTTACCCACTAAGAAGAAAGAATATACCAAGAGGAAGAAGAAGCCTGGAATAGTGCATTGCAAGAATAGTTTTAAAATGAAGAAGAATTGTAAATTCTTTTAGTTTGAATCAACAAATTTCTACCAACTCCAAGTAGGTATCTTATATCGTTGCCAATATCTTAAGATTTACCCCACATTTCCGACCAATCGATCGTATGCAATTAATTACAATTAATAATTAACACGAGTATCGACTTACCATAGCAGGCGTTCTGCTTATCGGCCGTCGCTTCCAAGTCCCCGTCGTTGTAGCAAACGATAGCGGACAGTTCCACGCGATCGGAAAACAGGAAATTCTCCAAACAGTAAAACTGATAGGACACCCTGGGCATCACATCGTCCTTAGGCTTCAGCAGCGTGCCGTTCCTCTGCACGTAAAACTCATCGGCCTCGTCGTAATCGGGCGACAGCTTGAAGCGCCCCGCCGACCGGCAGGAGTTGCTGTGCAGGACGTGGTACACCACGGTGGCGTCGGTGATCTCCCGCAGCCCGTCGTAGCTCTTGAAGGTGAACTCGTGCTCGGAGGACTCGGCGCAGGTTTTGTTGGCGAGCAGCTGGCGCTCCGGGCAGCATTTCCTGATGCAGGCGTTCCAACGGCACCAACGCTCGCTCTCCTGCGTGTCGTGGTTGAGTACCACCTTCCCGAAGGTGAATTCGAGCAGTGAAGAAACCAGGACGAGGGCCAGAAGCGCCCGTCGCTGCGACACCATCGCGGTACTAAGTAGTTCGATAATGTTATAGGCGGTGTAAATTTAGTGAAATACGCACCGGATATACTTATATTTCTATTTGCAAGTTTCCTTGCTGATAATAAGTTTTTTGATTTTGTTCCCAGTTTCGATTAGCAATGTAGTTTAATTATATTAGCAAAATTCATCCGAAACGTTAACGCAGCAACTCGGATTAGATTAGGATCGCGGTGATAAAGGCATGCTGAAAAGATTGTTTGAATTTAAAATGTTTAATAAAGCGACTTATAAAGAAAATTACTCACGAATGCAATTAGCATCTTCTCCCTACTGGTACATTCGCGCACCGATCACGTTTTATAAACTCTCCGTGTGCGAATCGTTCTGGGAAAACCGCGAGCACATTATCGCATTTCGGTAATTGGAAAAAAAAAGGGGTTCGATTAATTAATCCGTCGCCGATCGGAAATGTATTTACAATAGGCGAAACACTTTTGCTCGGCGTTCGGAAAAAAAGCACGAATTGTCGACGATCTAGACTCATCGCCGCGATTAATACGCGAGTTTTCTTAAAATAACCGAGATGTTACAATGTTTACACGTAAGAACGGATTTTTATTAGATACAATCGGCGTTAGAACACCAAGAAGGTCGATAAAAAACCCATCGTTTTCGCATAAAAAACCATCCAGTGATCACGAAATCGCTTAATAACGACCATGAAAGTATCGAATAGTTCAAATATCTACGCTCAATTCGAACTAACCTGTCACAATCAGACAAAGTCATGTACATCTCACAGAACTTATTTTATACATTGATTTTAATTCGTTTTATAAGCTGCATAGCAAACGATGCTAATGAAATGTCCGCTTATTACAACGAATCGAGCAAAATACTGGGCGATCAAAACATTTTTAACGACCTAACGAAACGATCCGCCAACGATATAACTCTAAACCAACTGAAGACCTTGCTGGAGAAGAAACTGAGAAGCAACAAAAGAACCATAAGAGAAAACAGTAAGTACCTCGCCCACTGTAATTGTTACTATTCTAACTATTTGTAGAGGCGGAAAATTCGACCAGTACCACAAGTACCGCCAGTACTAAGCCGGCTGCCGTGTGGCAGGAATGGACCGCTTGGTCCAGTTGCAGCGTGACCTGCGGCAAGGGCAGGCACATCCGCTGGAGGCACTGCAAAGAGAATTGCTCCGAAGCGGAGACGGAAATGGAGGAGAAGAGCTGCCAGTTGCCGGCCTGTCCGCAGAAGTTGTTCGGTTTAATAAAATTGTAAAGCGTTTATTTCATACAAAATTAATTATAACTACTCAGTAGTCGATAGGAGTAAGTTGCTTCGAGCGCGATTTAAGGTATGTTGTTCTCCGTTATTTCATCGAAATCGGAGAGTTTCCTCGCCGATTGCGAGCTATCCCAGTTCTTCCACGTCTGCACCTCCTCGAACAGCCTCTTTCCGGGACTCTCGATGCAACTGCACTGGCAATGGGCGAGCAATTTGTAATTCTCGTCCACGGAGCCTCTTTTGACGCCCGCCTCGATCACATTTTTCGCCATTTGCAGCGAGCTGTCGGGCGGCAGGTGGTGCAGGAAGCAGCCTATGAAGGCGATTCCCAAGGATTTCGCGTTGTAGCTTCTCGTGTGCGAGCCCACCACTCCCCAGCCGCGTCCTTCGTACACCAAACCGTCGGATCCGATCAGGAAATTATAGGCGATGTCCTTCCACTTCCTGCTCTCGATGTGGAAGGTTTGGATCAGGCGCACTAAGAGGGTGTTATCGGCTTGGGTGAAGCCCTCTTCGGTCGCTGTGTGACCTGTAAATTGAATAGATTAACGTTTCCAGATCCAATGAAGATGTAAAGGGTACTTGATGAATCATAATACTTACATATTATAACGTATTCTGCTGGTGCTTCTAAATGTTCTTTCACGCCTAAAGGCGGTTGAGCTAGCCAGTTCATTCTGTTGACTTGTACTACTTGGGACTCTGGTTCTATGTAGGGTTCGGGAGAATTTTTGTCGATGTAAGAGGAATTGCTGTTGATTATAACTGGACCGTGGATGTATGTGACGTCTCCCACGTGGACTTTCTTGGATTTGTAGATGTTTATGTTGTCGTATTTCTGTCGAGGGGTCTCTTTGATGATGTACGAACCACCATTCGAGTCCTGGTAAAAGTTTAGAGAACGTCAGTAATTCGAACAGCAAACATTTATTAAACGAATTATACAACAATTTCAATTGCTTGTTCCATTAGTTTTATTGCATTCGCAAGGCTAATAATCCAAAGTTTCTCGTGTATATTTAACTTGTTGTTATGCACGTTACGAAAAATTATTGAAGGAAACGTAAAATTTTTACCTTGTAATTATTACCGATGATTTGATCTGCCATAACTACCTCATCGTTTTGAAACACTAAACCCGAATCCATTGCACTGTTCGCAGTCGAATCGCTGAAAGTGCTTTCCGAATATTCCGACGATTTGTCCGAGTCGATGCATTTTTCCAACCATTTTCTGCACTTTTCCGTGAGCTCGTCGACTCCATCATCGTCGTCATTGGCGCCGAAATGTTTGCTAACAAGTGCTTGTTCTGTTCGTATACTTTTGACTTGGCCCTCCATTTTAGCAGTAACGCTTTAATTATATTGTTGCTTTGTCTGATGAGTCAATAACAGCGGTTTGTTGATATCAAAATACGGAGCAGGACCGGAATTGATTGCCTATCTGTTGTTTGTTTTTATCGCGTAGTTTATGTATTTTTATTAAAAAAATTACCGTATGAAATTGGGATGCGTGTTGATGAAGTATGTGATATTTAAATGGAAGAACTTGTAATGAAATTACCTGGTTAATTATTCGCTTTGTTTTTTAGTCAGGATCTGTTATGTATTTACCTTAAATCCTTATCTTTAATTTGTATTACAACGTATACAATGTATATTCGCTTACCCATATGCGAGAGTGTCGCGCAAAGTAATGCAATTTTGATTAAATTTCATTTATTTGTTTTCCGATTAGTTTTGAAATAGGTTGATGAAATGATATGTATATGGATGTATTACTTGTGGTACTTACGAGGTCAAGTTGAAAAGTATATCCGCCTTTTTAATCTGGGATTAATTTCATTCGTGTTGATTTGTCTACATGACACAAATAATTAGTAGTTTATTTATTGGGTTCACCAAATATTTTTCTCGATTCAAATTATTATTGGTCCGGGCCATTTTCGGGTTTTTACATGGGGTATTCCCCTTCTTTTAACCACAAGATTGCTTAATATAAAATTAATATTCATAAAGGTTTAAATCAAATAAACTCGATTGGTGCATAAATTATTTAACTAATGCATGTGTTCATTCATTTTTCGTGAAAATTCGTGCTATTTTATTTCTAGTTATAGTCACTTATTATAGGCAACCAACATTACAAAAATAATTCTTCTGCTTACATAAGTCACGAGGAAATGGCTGGATGTCAACGTGACTGACACCTGTCAGTAGTGTCAAATTTTGATAGTTGAAATTGTCAAAAATTAAATCAGAGTGGTGTTGGCAAGAAGTTTTAAAGTGATTTTTTTAAACAATTTCTAAGGATTATTAAGTTATGTGGGAGGCCTAAATTACTACAAACTGCAAATATGTCGTGGTTAAATTTCAATGACAGTCTGAACTCCCTGAAAGGCCAAATTACCAATTTTGCCAGCAATGTTTTGGCCGAAGACGAAGGTAAACAGAAGGTTTATAACACTTATAATTTGCTAATGAACTATTTATTTACACTTATGAACGTCGGAAATATGTCGAATGATTAATAAGGAAAGTGTTTCACTCGTATTTACTGGTTGTCATTTTACAGATCAACAATTATCCACTGATGAACTTAAAAGGATTTGTCAACAACAAGAAGAGGAGGTATGTGCATAAATTCGATTGAAACTAACTATTTTAGCTATTCAATTCCATAACAATACAATAGATTACTTTTCTTACGTTTTTAGATCGAGAAACTGAAGAAACTTAACAGAGAACTGGAGTTTCGAGAGGTATGTAGGTAAATTTACTTACCCATAAATTAAAACAGATTAATATCTACATTAGGTGATGATTTATTAGATTACTGAAGTTCTTATTTTACTCTCATGGACATCTGTTTGATAATAATCTATGCATCTCAAGTGGAATTTTTTTCAATGTTTCTAATGGGTCGAATCAATTACCATTAGAATTAACAACACACAAACCTTTTATTTAAGTAATTTTAACACTTGGGGCTCACAAAGCAGGCATTCTTGATAAGTACTTTAATATCGTTTATTAGGAGCAGAATAATTAAGTGTATAATGGGTTGCCTGCTAACAGGTGGTGAGAATTTTGTTGGGAATGAATGGGCAATATTATTGAAAAGAATTAGGTATTTTAAACGAACAATACGTTAATAAACGATATTCAATAGAATTACTATTTTCCCGGAGACTGATTTTCGTGTTTATACAATTAATCTCGTCGTTTATTTCATTTATACGGTGTATTATATTGTATATTACGCAATGGCATGTCGTTGGTTTAAATTTATTGCGAATTATGTCTATTTTAACGCATATTTAACCGTTAACGTAGTAAAATTTGTATTTCTCATGATCTATTATTAGTTTTCCCCTAACGCGACGTAAAACAAACATGACAAAACCTAATCCCCCCATTTGAGAGATATTGAATATTTATCAGTTCGAAATGAAAGTCAGTTGTTCAGGTAAAAACTCGCGTTATCGTTAAATAATCGATCCATTTTAATAAACATGGCCGACGCAAATAATAAAATATCCTATTAAAAATGTTCTATTGTCAGAGACGTATCGTTGGAATAAACAAGATTCAATATTATCGAATATTTCAATACTTACCTATAACAATTATAACCGCTTTTGTTCAAAAAATATTCTTGAATCTCTGCTGCTATTCTTTAGAATTGTTTTAAGAACTAGTAATGAGAAATTGTGCCATCAGGGCGTATGAGAACACCCAGTATCTTTCATATCCTTTACTATTTATTAGTTCTCCAGATTAAACAAGGCGAATGCATTTAACGTTAAACTCTAACAATATCAAACAGTGTTATCGAAAGCAAACAGACAGATGTTTTTATTTACAAAGGGTGTGATAAGGTGGTACCGAAATGTAATTTCGTATGGGGATCGTACGGAAAAAAATACACGAGGTGTTCGAATGGCTTTGTAATAAAATATATTAATAAATACGATTGTATATGGTCGAATTTAATCGCGACTTTTTCTATAAGTTTGATATATCTTTTCGTGGGCGTTGAAATTTCAGTTCAAGATACTTTCGAAATTTTAATCAAACGGCCTATCCAATGGAGTAAACAGGAAATCTACTGGCAAATCCTAAATTTATTGAGTTTGGTATTCTCAAAAAAGGAAGTTGAATATGTGGCTATAAACGCGATTAGTTTGAAGGCCTTATTTCAACTTCCAATGTTAATGAAATTTCGAATTTAATTTATCGCTGTCGTATTTTAAATTTGATATTATTTAGTATATAATTTTTCTATTTTTTGTTACTATATTATTACTTTGTTATCATAGGCAAATTAATTTGTTCTTCTGCTCTATATTATCGTTATCTTTATCATTTGGCGATCAATAATTCCTTCCCATTACAAGTTTTTTAATTTTTTTGGAAATAATGCTCGCCTACAATTGGCCATCGCCGATAAGCCCTTATCATTTAGTATCCATAGCAACGAAAACTCATGTATAAAACGGGCTTCACCCTGTCGTTTTTTCACCGTATACACCAAATTGCCAGAAGAGAAAAAACCAATCGGGTGAGTTAATTATTTTTTTTTTCGTCTCTATTTCCACATTTTCTTCGTCTATCAAATTTGATAAATTTAAGCGGATAAATATAAGTAAAAAATGCGCCATTATCGGACCGTAAGTTAATTATAATTTATCAGCATCAATAAGGAAGTGGTCGGTACATTATCTCGAAAAACCAAAGCGAAACGAAAAGTCTCATACGCTTTATCACGTGCGAACTACTCGAAATCCAAACGATAATTTTTCTTTTCACATCCAAGCCTGTAAATTCGTAATAATCATAAATGCAAGTAGGTGCAATTGCGTCGATCATAATCCCCTCGTCAGCACAATTTTATTTCGCTCTTTCCAAGTATCATACAGGGTGTGGAAAATGGGACAGCGATTGTATAAGTACAAAAGCGCGTTTTAAAATTGGAAAAAAAACGTTCGCTCCGCGCCCGTCGGGTTCTAATATTTTACTCGGAAATCGTGTTTCTATTCAAACAACCGTTTCCTCAGATAAGGCGACGATTTTTCGTTCTAAAATAAACATCGTAAGTACGAGTCCTGTGCGACTCGACTACGGCTCGCACGTAGGAAAAAAAATGTCATGTTAGGCCGACAACTCGTCGACTAAAAACGGTGAAACGCGATAAAAAAATATGTATTAACGTATCTAAAACGAGCGAGACATTTTATGTGGACTCATTAAAATTAATTAACGTTGTTCGGCTTCTCCTGTTTTCTAGCAGCAGGAGTTTAGAATTTTATCGATCGCGAAAATTATTTCGAGGTTCATTTGAAAACTGGTCCCGCAGGATCAGCTGGAACTTGGTCCAATGGGACCAGCGCATAATTGCTCATTATCTACAAACATAATGTGGTTAGGGGACTAGCACGAGTAAAATACAAATTGTATTAATTTCGTTTGGATTCTCCCGTTTTCTATTAGCAGGAGTTTCCATATAGAGGAATTTATTGATTGGGAAAATTATTTCAAGGCTCCTATGAGTCTAGTTCTACAAGAACAGCTTGAACTTTGCTCGAAACTGGTCCAAAGAGGAACAGTACGTATGAAATAATGCAAAGTGTATTAATTTTATTTAGATTCGCCCGTTTTCTATTAGCAGGAGTTTTCATATAGAGGAATTTATTGATTGGGAAAATTATTTCAAGGCTCCTATGAGTCTAGACCTACAGGACCAGTTTGAACATCGTTTGAACGTGGTCCAAAAGGACCAGCACCTGATTTCTCATAATCTATAATAAAATAATAAGTTTTTAGCACCAAGCACGTGGTTAATGCAAAGTATCTACTGCAGTCAACGTGTTAATGTCTCCTTTATGTTCACTTTAATATCTATTAACAAAAATTTCTATAGTTTGTGCTTTCTTTGCACTCGATTAAAGAAATATGAATTGATTAATCCTCTGTGGGGGTTGTAAAAAAGTGGTAATTTTTTTTTAACCGAACTCCTCCGCCTATGGCGGTTATAGTACGTGAAAACGTAACGAGTACCTAGTTTAATGTATTGTGCGCAGAGCGCAATATCGGATATTGAGCGTCGCTGAGCCGGTACGGCGCGCGACCATTTCGTATGTTTTTTTTTTTTATGTTTCACATTCAAAATGTTCAAAGTACTCGATGAGGATGCGTCCGTCCATCGTGAGTACCACTTACCAGCGACGCGGCCGGTTGGAGCTCAAACGAATCCCGTAGTTTTATTTTTTCTTTTTTTTTATATTTTAATTTCGTTTAACTTTGAGTGGAATATTCATGGAGTTTGTTTGAACAATGGTCTCGGTTAGTCATTCGATTAGGTGAGTACTTTTATTTTGTACTATAGAATTCCGCAGGTTTTAAGTTTTTTTTTTGTATGTACTTTATTTTATTTAAATCGATTGGATTTTTATTGGGAATTGTGATTTTTTTTACGATTATCTTTATCGGTGCGCTTGTATTCAGTAACTAATTGAACTTTATTTAATTTTATGTCCAATTGGAATTTTTATCGGTTTTTTAATTACATTTGTACGTACGTGGCCATTAATTGCTGTTATTACTCAGACTGAGCTGGATATTTAAGAATTTTTTTTTGGAAATTTCGGAAAAAGGGTGGAAGTTTGCATTTACCTAAAAACGTGTACCAATCAATTTAGCTAATTATTCTTTCGATAGCACAACTAAATTGCCCTATTTATGTAGAATTTTATCAATACAAAACTTACAATTTTCACTATTTTATAGCAAAAACTTTTATCTAATATTTCCATTTTAAATTAGGTATTTTTTACAATACTTACCCACACGAAAACCATTCCAATTCCAACATATCCCATAAAAACTCGTTTTATATTTGCAACAATTGCGCACGGTATAGATTTTTTTTTTAAATAATTGCGTCGTGTCGATTGCATTTTCTCGTGCATTTTCGAACCGCTCGAATTCGAGGCATTCGGTTGAAGTTTTATTTTTTTGTCAAGTTTCACGACCCCACCTACGATGGTGGTTCGAAAAATCCACCGTAATAACCGTGTAAATTGCGTTCGTAAACAAATCGTAAATTTCGATGGGTATATCAATATCACAACGAGGCGTAAAAGATAATTAAACCGGACTCTCTCCGGAGGCTACAATTCTATTTCTAAACACAAATAATCCAGCAAACTTCTGTGGTGGACAGACACTCGTTTTGAGTGTGCTCAAACCAATATTGAGTAGACTTTTAGAAAGACTATACATTCAAGTACACCTCGATTTTATGGGTTTGTAACAGGAGAAGCTATGCGTAAACTGTAAAACTATTTAATATCCGATTATTTTCCTATAAGTCCCATTGTGGAAGCGACGAAACTGACTGTATTTGGATTATTCCGATAATAACGGCTCGCATAAAGTGCATTAAAGACGTGATTGAACAATCGGTAATAAATATTTAAATTGAGGTTGTGTGTGTGATGCACGTATACCTATTTATTACACATCTGTTTGTTGAACCCGACTGTTAAAATTAATGAAAATCCACAAATTATTACAAACCTAGATTAAAAATTTATCAATTTTTGTTGTATCATCTGTCGAGACGGAAAGCTTAAAGTGTTTCGATATGAAATAACAATAGTGCTTTCATAAGGACATCCTGTATGTGCAATAAGTGCAATAAAAAAGCGAATATATCAGCGAGCTTGACGGGTTCACGTCACGTATTTGACACAGGTCTCTTTTACTCTTTATCGATGTGGTGTGTTTATAGACTACCAGAATTCTATGAAGTGAAACTTTACCCACATAATGTGCCCTAATGCATAAGCAACACCTGCTCGCCAATGATACAGGGTGTGCTCGAAATTTGCTCTTCGAACTTTACCATCTCATTGCGTCTTTTGTAGCCAGTTGAAATAATTTTATTATTGCAATTTACGATAAAACCAATACTAATTCCATGCCAGGCCGTTCTCCGAAACAATGCAATTATTCTTAATAATCGAAATGTTTGTAACATTATCAATTGTTAATTCTCAAAATATGTTTTTACTCGCCCATTAATTTTTGATAAATGCATTGTGAGTTTCACTAGGTAGTGTTTTATCTACGACTACATCAATTTGCTACCTGTTTCATAATGATGCACTAAGAAATTAGTTATTGATGTAAAAATAGAACACGATTTTCGTCAATAACAGAGATTGCTTATTATCCACTCAATGTTTCGAGAATCTATCTATTATTCATTGGAATATTTAGGCCTATAATTTAAATTTATAAATTTAATTTGGAATAGTTTTATGTTGGGTATATTATGCAGGCGACTGTACGTTGTGTTTTAAACAATAAAAATTACATTTCACTCGACCGCGCCGCGTACGGTTATTTTTTTTTATCTTTGAATTTTATTATTCAGCGAAATTCGAACCAGCAAGTACCCGTGCATTTTGCAAATGCGATTTTACGAGAAGCGTATTTTCTCAACAGGACCGCATTCGAGTAAAAAGTTTAAGGATTAGTTAAAAAAAAAAATCTAATCGAAAAAAAATGCCTCTTTATTATTCTATTGCTTAAAAACGAATATAGGAATGATACTGATTCAACAACGAGCGCCGTTCACAAATGCCCGTTACCTTTGAATACTAGCACGTTTTCGACGATAAAATCTTTGAATTCGCCGTACGCCCTGTCCAAATTGTCGTTCACGATGACGAGATCGAAGTTTCCCGGCTGCGTTCCGTAGTCGATTTCCTCCTGCGCTTTCCCCAGCCGCTTCCTCATGCTGTCCTCGGTCTCGGTCTTCCTCCCCAACAACCTCTCTTTAAGCGCCTCCAAACTCGGAGGCCTCACGAATATACTCCACGGATTCAAATCCGTCGTCTTCACCTGCTTCACCCCCTGCACGTCGATGTCCAATATGCAAACTTTCCCTGCAAACAAACGCCCAATGCGTTCAATTTCCCACCGTGAAAAGCTACATTCGATGAGTTATAAATAACTAGTTACCGTTCGCGGCGATTTTCTCGACGGCCGCCTTGCTGGTGCCGTACATGTTGCCGCCGAAGAGGGCGTGCTCGAGGAACTGGCCGTCGGCGATGGCGCCCTTCATGGTCTCGGGATCGGTGAAGTGGTAGTGGACGCCGTCGCGTTCGCCGGGCCGCGGTTTCCGCGTGGTGTGGCTGACGGAAAAGCCGAACGAGTCGGGAAACTCGTCGAGGATGCGGGCGACCATCGTGCTCTTGCCCACGCCCGACGGGCCGCAGACGATCAGGGCCCGAACCGCGCCGGCCATCTTGCGGATAGCTGGAAAAATCGGCGATGTTGAATTGGTGATTTCGAATTGTCGCACGTTGCGATTTCGGGACTGTTTTGGGTGAGTTTTGAGCGAACGGATGTTCGTTGGGGTATGGAGATAAGATAAAGAAATAAGGTTTTTTAAGATAGTACTTGTTTTCTTGTTAGTTTCGAATGGTTTGGTGATTAAAACTGTACATACGTACGAATAGTCGTTGTAATTTAATTATTAGTTTTATACACGAAAATTGGTCATTTGCTAATACATTAATTACCAGTAAGTAGCGTGTTTGGACGGTAATAGTGAAGAAGTTCGTGCCGTTTGATAATTAATTATAACACCATTAAATTAATCGATTGCTTTCAATATTCCAAAAAACGCGTTATTTCACCTTTCTAAAGCGGTTTCTATTAATCAATACTACGTTAGATACATTTTAAATTTCTTACTGGAGATTTAGCTCAAGCTGGATCCAACGGGTGGCTTCTTTCACCGATGGAAAGATTTTATAGCGCGGAATATAGTCGATGACGCCCCGACGGTGGGGTGGAAACTCATGCGCTGTTCGAGACACCAATTCCCGCCGATGAGATCGTTCGAAAACTGAATGGAAACGATTTTGGGTCACTTGAACGGCGGCCCACTCGTTTTTCGAGTACTTTATAAATAGGTGCGAAATGATCCGATGCGTTTGCACAATTTCGCACGATTAAACTATGAAATAACCACGAAAATCGGCCACTTGTATTTTGTATTGTTTATTAACTGTAACTGCTAAGCACATGTCGGTAGACGTTTGACAATTATTTCGGCGCAGGCGCTTTTCCAAGGTTAGCGATTTTTAAAACGTGCTTTGTGGTTTCATTGGCTAGATAATAACAATGTTCGCCCTTGCGTTGCGAACACGAACTCGGCTTATTTGTTGAAACAATTCGAATTTGAGCCAGTGCAAATATTTTATCCGGTGCGTTAAACCTGTTGAATGTAAGTGGAGTTATTTGTTTGCCTCCCCTCGTATGCGAGGTTTGTTTTTTTCGATCGCACCTCGTAGTTAAATTTCCCTAATCTCTTTACGTGTTTGATATGGAAACTTTATCTAATCCGGAGGTAGGCGAGGTGGGAAGTGTGTTCGAAATAAAGTTTTATACGACTTTTGCTGCTATCAAATTCGTCGAAGCGATAAGGAGGAAACGCGTAAAAGAGCAAACACGTTTAATCCGGCGAATTTTTTCGATTGTTCAACCGCCGGATTATAAAACATGTATAAATTAGAAATATTTCCAGCGACCCGCATGAAATTTTCTAATTGGAACGGTTTGCAAAAAAAACGATAAGCGAAAAAGGAGGTTAAACGTTAATAGTGGTAAAATTAAAAAAAACTAATCGGTATATTGACAATTTAGATAGGTATATTAATTATTGTAATTAGGTCTCATTACTTAATTTCTTATGCCCGTTAACCTGTAATGAGGAAAATTAACAAGTTATAAAGCATACAACTAAATTCCTCATGAACCAAATATTTATGTTTACTGGGAACTGCAATAAACTGCGTGTTTGCTTCAACTTATATGCAGATTACATTATACTGGGTGTTCTCAAGGATTTTTCCAATATTTCAAAAACGCCCTGTATACAGGTGCAAACAATTTTTTCCATATTAATGCTTCAATGCTCGTTTACGCTATGTAATGTGGTACTTTGACGTTGACCAGGAATATTGCTGATTATTATGTAAATAAACACTTTGATAACTTCTTATCATATGTATGAGTCTAAAAAGATACAAGTTTGTTGTAAAAAAAGATAATTTTACATACAGGAAACCGTTAAAAGGTAAACATGCATAGGTAATAATGGCACATTTCCTTCCAGCGTCGTACTTTATTATTATTTCTCGGCATTGATTCGACTATTAATTAATTACAATTGCGTTTACGCAATACTACATCTTATAAAAATACGAATAATTCTACCTTTTACTGGTACACACTGGGACCTTTTATTTTTAACTGTATCAGCACCGCTTGTTATGTTTGCATTGTTGCCCGCTCGAACTCGGGCATTATTTACTTTTGGTATAAATGCAACGAACTTTCCACTAAAATACAGGGTACAAATATTTAACCTTTGTTAACACTTTGTCTTCGAATTTCCTGTTCGAATTCTACCCGCGACTCGAACGAAACACACTTCGTTCGAGCTCTTTTCGACTTTTACACGAGGTATTCTCGAATAATTAAAAATGATAATTTTATTAAAAAGAACCAATGTTATCGTTGATGATCTTAAGTAGCGTTGTCATCGCTTTCGGGAAGCGATAAATAAAATGCAAATGACAACGGGAACAAAGCGAAAATGGCGGACTTAATGCTGCCTCACAGGTGTAAAACCGCACGTGTTTTATTTTAGAAAATATATGAGGGTATTAATTGCCCATGAGGGGGCGACGTTCCCGCAACAATAGAGGCGACTACTTAGCCGATTAATCGAAATTAGTATACTCAAACCGTTTTTTAAATGGTGCAAACATTGAAAAACCTGTACACAATAATCGAGGTGATTGACCGGATTTCCCCTGAATAATTCATCTTATTTGGTTTACAAGTTACTTACTGAAATATAGGTTAGAAGGAATCAATGATATGGTAATATTTAAATAAATTCGACGAAATAATGGATTGAATTACCGGTAGGTTTAAACTGCATAATTCCATCGACTGAATTCCTAATTTAATTACAGAAAAATGCGTCCGGGGACGGTCCGGAAGGGTCGTGGAATTGGGAAAATGCGGAGGAAAACGAATCGGAAACCGCCTTGAAGGAGAAAATCCGCGCGTTGGAAACCGAAAAATCCGAATTGCTGCAAAGGCTCGAGCAGCTCGACGCCGATAATCAGGAGAATCTGCTCAATATAATGAGAATCAAAGATAGACTCCAATTAGAACTAAGCGCAGCTAGCCAAAACTATGGCAAATTGCTAGAAGAAAACGAAATTCTCAAAGCGAAAGGCGATGAACCTACTCCAATATTCAACCGCGAATTGGAAGAACTGAAAAAAGAATTAATGGTTACGAAGAGTTCAAACGAAAACTTCCAGAAAATCGCCGAGCAAACGAAAAGCGCTAACGCCGATTTAGAAGAGAAAATCAACAAACTCGAATGCGAAAGCAAATTAATCTACGCCGAATTGAAGAAAAGCAACGAGCAAATACGGTTTTTCGAGAAAAAAAGCATCGAAGACGAAGACAATTGCCAAAAACTGGCCTTCATTTTGGAATCGTACGAAACACAAGTAAACGCGCTAAAGGAAAATATCAACGAGCTCACAGCCAAATACGAAGAATCCCAAAAGCAGCACGAAGACGTCCAGAAGAAATACCAAAACGACATTATTTACCTAAAAGAAGAAATAAACAATTCCAAGGTATCGAATCAAGACGAAGAAATTGAGCGATACAAAGAAGAAATCAACATTCTAAAACAACAAACGGAAGAACTGAGATTGAAATCGCAAGGAAGAATGGACGTTGAATTAGAAGACGAATTGGTCGCTATACAAGAAGAGCACGAGGCCCAATTGAATGTCATAAGAGAGGATCTGGAGCAATTGAAAGATCACCAATCTACAATGCAGCAAATCGACGATTACAAAATGGAAATAGAAAATTTGAAGAAAATCAACGATGAATTATTGGCAGACAAGACTAACGAAGATTTATTCGAAAAATACCAAAATGCTATTTACGAAATCGAACAGCTTCGACAACAAAAAAACGCCGATAAAGAGGAATTAAGGAAGATTCAAGAAGAACATCAAGTTCAATTAAAAGAATTGCAGGAACTAAAAATTAAAGAAAACAATCAAGAGAATTGTTTGCAACAAGAAATTAATAGTTACAAAGAAGAAATAAAGAAATTAACACAACAAAATGAAGAATTATTAGCTAAATCCTCTGCAAAAATTGACGTCGATTTAGAAGATGAACTAGTACAGATACGAGAAGATTATGAAACTCAATTAAATATCCTTAGAGAAGAATTAGAAGAGTTAAAAAAAGACGATACACTTCACGAAGAAATCGAAGATTTAAAAAGAGAAAATACAGATATATCGAAACAACTCGCCGAAGCAATCGACAACAACAAAAAATTAGAAGAAACTTGTAACGAATTACAACAAACCCATCTACAATTACACAACAAATACATAAATATCATTACAGAAAACATAAAAAAATTCCAAGAATGCGAAAAACCGTCCGATTTCCAACACTGCGCCCGCGAAGACGATCCCCAAGCCGCCGAACTAAGCAAACACATAGAAAACATCATTAAAATCCTCCTCGACCTAAAATGCAAGTCGCTGGATTTGGAGAAACGAATATTGGAGATAACCGACGAGAAGAACGCCATGCTGGTCGAGAAAAACCGCGAAATCGAGAAACTCATACGAAATTCGGACATGCTCAGCCAAGAAATAGTCGCCAAGAACCAAACAATAAAAGAGTACGAGACCGAGTGTAATGAACTCGCCAAGAACAATGAAGTGCTCATTAGCGAACTGGAAACACTAAAAAGCAATCCAGTTTTGCAAACAATATCGGAATCGAACGAAGACAACATGATCCTGCTCGAATCGCAATTAGAAACCGCCAACAGGCGCATCGAGGAGTTGGAGAAATCGATCGGGAATCGCGACGATAGAATCGATTACCAAAAACTGCTGAGCAACTACGATCAACTCCAAGTCAACTACGATTCGCTGAGGAAGGAGTTCGACGAAAACAAGGAGAATCTATCGGCGTCCGCCGAGAAGAACCTCAATCTCCAAGCGGCCTTGGAGAAGCTGAAAAACGAATACGAAATGTTCGAGTACCAGATCAACGAGTTGAACGTGAATTCGGAGAGCTTGCAGCAGGAAGTCGACGAGTTCAAGGCGAAATTCAACGCGCTCCTCAAGGAGAACTCGCGCATTAAACTCGATAACCAGGAGCTCGCCAAGAACTCGGCGCTCATCGAGTCCTTGGAGGGCCGATTGGCCACCGAAGTGGAAACCAAGAGGAGTTTCGAGGCGCAATTGGAGACCGTCACGGAGAAATTGAAGAATTGCAAAATGTCGGAAACCACGCTCAAGCTGCAATGCGAGCAGAAGAGCAAAGAACTCGCCGATCAATCGGAAGCCAGGTACAATTTAGAACTGTCTTTGAATAAAATCAACGCGGACTTGGCGAAATACCAAAACAACTTCGCCGACTTGCAATCGGATAACGACAAGCTCCGATCGGAACTCGACCAACTCCACGAAACACTCGCAACGAAAAACGAACTAATCGGCGAATTGGAAGAAAAAAATAAATTAGAACACGAACTGAAAATGCCGAACGACAAATCACCGAATAACGACGAAGAATACAACAAACTCAAACGCATCCTCGACGAAACCGTGCTGGAAAAAGCCAACCTGCACTCCCAACTAAACAAACTCGCCGAATTGCAATCGCAACTAAAAGAAACCACCGACAGAGGAGCCGCGTTGCAGCAGCAACTGCAAGAAGTCACCAATTCCCGTAACGAGCTCATCAACATGGTGACCATGAAGCACCAGGAAAACGTGACCTACCACAACGAAATCCAGCGATTGAATCAAATACTAACAACCGAACACGAACGATACAAAAACTTGGAGAAGCAACTCAACGACGTTCAAGCCAAAGTTTCCGAGGAGGACCTGCAGAACAAAGATAAGAAAATCGAGGAACTGACCGACCGCAACAATTTCCTGAAAGAAAAGTGCGAGGTGATCGCCAAAAATCTCCTCGAAGAGCAATCTACGGTCCAACAACTGCTATCGGAGCGATCGCAACCGTCGGACAACGAGAGAACCTTGCAGAAGAACCTCGACAGGCTGCAGGCGCACCTGATCGAGCTCGAGGAGCACTACACGCAGGAGCAGTACCAAGCGGAGCAGAAGAACCAAGCGCTGCGGGCCAAGGTGTCGGAGCTGGAGGAGCGCGAGAAGAGCTCCAGCACCATGTACACGTCGGTGAGCGTACGGGCCAACCAGCAGGTGGAGTCGCTGCAGAACCAGCTGCAGAACGCCCTCCAGGAGAGGGATTCGCTGAGGAAGAGGATCTCGGACGCGGAGGACGAGAACACCAAGCAGGCGGCGGCGCTGGCTAATTTGCAATTCGTCCTGGAGCAGTTCAGGAAAGGTACGTAATTTTTTGCACCCTTGACATTGCTATTAGAATGAAATTAATTAACCAACTATGTAGGTGTTTGTGTATCTAACGATTATACGTTGTTTGTACGGGCGTTAAACATTTTATATTCCGCAATTTTCTCATCGGCAATAAAGATAAAGGATTATCTTTATAATCCCGAGAGATAAAGCTTGAAAGTCGCGCTTTGTTTTTACTTAGTCACGGCTAAAATCGTTTTTTGTTGTTAAACACAACTAATGCTAAAATAATATTGCGATAGCCGATGAATTAACCCACATTCGCAGGTAGTTTTTCGGCGAGTTCAAAAACGTTTGGATTTTTTCAGATAAAGAAAAAGATGTGATTAAAGAAACTGAGAGAATTCGCCGGCATATCGGCGCGGAAAAACTGGTGCAAGAGGAACTCAGAGCGGAAATATCCGGTCTCAGAGCTCAATTGGAGGAAAGAAATCAAGGTTTATTGGCAGCTTCCAGACTATCAGACCAACTGGAATCGTCTAAAAAGACGGTAGTAGGATTAAAAGAAGAAGGTACAGTGCACATTCTAACATTAGATTATAAATTAGCAGTAGATTTCACCTTAGGTTTTAAATTGACTGTTTCTTTTTTTATTGTTCAGCGGTGCATTTTGATCAGTTTTTTCAGTTTCACATTCAATGGTTGTCCGTGAAATATCAGCTGGTAATTCTGGGTGGTTGTCTGTGAATTCCAGAATATCAGCAGATATTGTCATGAACTACTGTTTCAACCACGCGATAGCTACATTTTGTTTCATAATTCATAAATAATAATTAATCTCGTTCTATTTTCTCTGTTCGTATTGGAATTGAATATCGTAACGTGTAATGGAAAACAGAAATAAATTATATTACAATGATATATTTCACGAAAGAAGTGTAGACCAACATTTGGAATTTATTTCTTATTCATAATCGTCTAGTTACGTTAAATATGCCTTGGACTTGAATCATTCGTTCGGGTATTCGATTCTAATATTTTTAGTGTAGTTCAATTATTATTTTTTTCTATTAATAACTATTTTAAAACTTCGCAATAATGTTATTTCGAATGTTGTTATGCCGTTTAGCCTGATTTTTTTACGCTTCAGCATGTATTTATAATTTCTGCATGTGGACATTTCGAGGGGTTTGTTAACTTTTCTTGTGAATTGTTGTTTGTTAATCGGTTGTTTTGATTACTAACAATAATTAACGCGAATGAATTTTTGATTCGGAAAAAATAATTATCTAGAATTTCATGTTTTTAGCGCGTTCTTTGGCTTCTGGTTTCTCTAAAAATACATTCTAAAATATGTTCGTTTGTGCTTTTTTGTTTTACAATTGGCTCACTTTTGAACTTCCTGCTTTTAAAATGAATTATAAAGGTATTTTAATATTTGAACGCTCGATAATTATGAAATGGTTGTTTTTAATTCATATCAGGCTGAAAGGCATTTACATAAATTTAACAATGTAAATTGATTTTTACACACATATATTTTAGATAAAGGTAATTTTGAAATTATCGTTTTCTGGAAAGACTGAATTTACTTTAAAATTTCCTCACTAGTTTACCATTATTTCACAAAATTTCAAAGAACAAATTCGGCCTTTTAAACAATGGGTTTTCAGCGCACTATCAGCACTTTTTGTTTATTTAATTTTCGCACTGTTGCACGCTTCACCTATGTTTTTTTAATCTCATTTGGTAACTGTGAGGTATTTTAATTCCCCAGGTACTGAATGGGATAGACAAAATGTAGTGTTTGATCACCATTTTCTAATTTCGTTCGCACATTTTACCTTGAGTTAACGTTTTTTTTAATATGGGCTTTTATTGTTTGTATTTCGTTAATCAAAACAGTTCGTTCCTTTCAATTCGATTCTAATTCGTAGTGCCGTTCTAAAAACGTTATTTATATAAGGAATGCATTGTTTTTGGTAAACAATCCGTTTTTTTTTTGTTTGAATGGTTTGTATGATTTACATAATTTATACTTGGTGTTTTATTTTAACGTTTTAGTTTATTTTTTTTCAGTTTTAGTGCCGGCATGCAGAGCATGATTTATTTTGTAAAAACCCAATAGGGTAGGGAATGAGTATTACATCAGGTACTGGTAGAGTTATGAAACTGCCAGTCCCTGAGTAACACTTGATTTCTACCTTTTTAAAGCATCCCAGGATATGTGTGATAGTCAAGTATTTCCATTATTATTTATCCAATATTTATTTCTATCAACTTTTTATTTAAAATATTAGATATTAATAGCTCATTTTATTCGCAGTGTCTCAACTCCAAACGAAACTATCGAGGGCTGAGGAAGATGTGAAGACTGCCCTGAGCACGACCGATGGAAAAGTGGACAAACTATTGATAAAAAATCTAATAGTGGGCTTCGTGACATCCAACAACAATTTCACCAAGGACCAAATGCAGATATTAAAAATCATAGCGACTGTTTTAGATTTTAACCAGCAGGATCACGACAAGGTGAAGCTCAACAAACCCCAACAGGGATGGTTGGGGTCCTTTTTGGCGCCTCAAGCGCTGCCCGACAGCCAAAATAGGATGAACGAGGAATCTCTATCGAGGGCTTTTATCAAGTTTCTGGAGAACGAAAGCAAGCCTAGAGTAGTACCCAGTCTTTTAAACGAATCCTCAGTTTCTGAGGCAAGTACTACGAAAACCACGAACAGCCGATCAACCACTCCGAGCCAAACTCCCATCGTTCTAAGCGAAATCGTCCTTCCGACTTTTAATGATTTCGCTCAAAATAGGAATTCCAGTTCGATCCTGAAGGATGTTTTAAAGGATAATAACTAGCGCATATCTAGTGTTTAATCTAGCGATTAACAACATGTACATTCGAATGAAAGTGAATCCAAATGTAAATAAATAAATGTTATGTAAAAAATGGTAACTGTTCATATTTTATATAACTTTTTAATCTGTATAAATAATTATTTGTAAATAAAAGAGGGATATTATATTTTTTTTCGATTTTAATTCTCTGTAAACAAAAAAAATAGCAGAATGGAACAAAATTATTGAAATTTGGCAAAAACATGAAATTAACTTGTTTGTGGAACTTAAATTTAAAATTAGACATTTTTTAATCACAGGAAATAAAACTTACCAGATATTCCCAAACGCCCAATTTTGAAATTTTTTATAAACTAAACACTGCCTATAAACTAACAAATATGTTGGTTTTGTTATTTTTATACTTATGATTCAACTACAAATGAGATAATTTGAATAATTAATTTATTATTAAAATTTTTTACACTATTCAACGTGTTAACCTAACATTATTCTACTTTCTTCTTCTTCTTTCACGATTGATCTAAAATAAAAAAACCTACAACGAATCTTCTTACAATCCATCTATCTTTTTTTAAACCAAACAATAATAAAAGACAAACCACAAAATGACATGGTAATTTTCTCTACTCCCAAAAATCAAATAAGTTGGCAGCGCCGATTCCAAAATGTCTGCTTGCAGTACATATGCTGTCAAAGTCAAATTCACGTAAACATTTTTAATTTCATTATAATATATAAAACCACACAGTAACGTACAATGTAATCAACTGAATTTAAATAAAAATGGCTCAAGGAGTTTTGAGCTCGGACATCTCCAGAAGAAACCCGCAGGATGATTACGAATTAATTCAACGGATTGGGAGTGGGACTTATGGGGACGTCTATAAGGTAACAATATATACTTTTCTTCGTTCAGTACAAAGTAAAATTGTTGTCTCTTTTAAGGCTAAAAGGCTTTCTACAAACGATTTCGCTGCTATTAAAGTGATAAAATTAGAACCAGGTAAGCAATCGCACACTAGTATGATGCAATGAAATTATAATTAATTTTAACATTACTAGGCGACGACTTTGGCATCATACAACAAGAGATTCTTATGATGAGAGACTGCAGGCATCCCAATATAATAGCCTATTACGGTAGTTATTTACGCCGAGACAAACTGTGGATTTGCATGGAATTTTGCGGAGGTGGCTCATTGCAAGACATCTATCACAGTAAATACCCATTTAATTATCAATTGACCTATCGCTAAAACTAATTTTTCCAGTTACTGGTCCTCTTGGAGAGAACCAAATCGCGTACATGTGTAGAGAAACGTTGCTAGGCTTGCAGTACCTTCACACTATGGGGAAAATGCACCGCGACATTAAGGGTGCGAATATCCTTTTGACTGAAACCGGTGATGTTAAATTGGCTGATTTCGGTGTATCCGCTCAAATTACTGCTACAATTAACAAAAGGAAATCGTTTATCGGCACGCCATATTGGATGGCTCCGGAGGTGATAAGTCTTTCGTTTTACGATCGATACGTAATGCTAATAGTAAATTAATTTATAGGTGGCTGCTGTTGAACGTAAAGGCGGTTACAATCAGCTGTGCGATATTTGGGCAACCGGCATTACTGCAATAGAATTGGCGGAATTGCAGCCTCCCATGTTCGATTTGCACCCGATGAGGGCGTTGTTTTTGATGTCGAAAAGCGGTTTTAAACCGCCTACTTTAAAGGACAAAGAAAAATGGTATTTACCTAATTCTAATCAATTTCCGAAACTTACGTTCAATATTTTTTCCAGGAGTTCGACTTTTCACAATTTCGTAAAAGTAGCTCTAACGAAGAACCCAAAGAAAAGGCCAACCGCGGAAAAATTGCTACAGCATGCTTTTTTCCAAGGGGACATGCACAGAAGACTGGCTTTAGAGTTACTGCAGAAAGTTAACAATCCCTCGCATATGTTTACTGATCTTGAACCCGATGAAGATGGGGTAAATATTATTAATTTTAAAATGTATTGTTTATTTGTATCGAATGTATCGTAGGCTGTACCGAACGTTCCGCAAAGAATTGCATCACGACTGACATCAAGATCGAAATCCCAAAATGTAGTGCTTTCGAATAATTCAGATATCGATTGCATAGATGAAGTTAACAATACTTTGCAGAGATCCAATAGTAAAGGTAAATGAAATTAGGAACGTTAGTTAGGAAATAATGATTTATTTTTTAGATATACCGGCCGTTATAATCGAAGAAAAACAGCCACAGTGGGATTTGACGGATATAATGAACAATGTTACTAGCGTCCATAACTGCATCGAACATCAGAATCAAAAGTGCGGTATAGGAAATGCTTTCGATTCGCTCAACAGGGAAAAGTAAGTGTTTGATTGTACTTTTTTTTTTCGCTACAAATCACATGGCTTTTTATTGTACAATTTGATCAGGTGATTAAAAATTAATAGGTAATTGAAATTATGATAATTAAATGTTTCACAATGCTTTTACTATCATTAGCGATCGAATTTTAACTCATTAAATTTTTTGTGCATTTTCATTGCATTGTAAATTAATTCTCGAAAAAAAAAACATTGTGAAAATAAATAGGGAGCATCATTTCGTTTAGCACATGTAATATCGATATTTTTCTTTTCATAGTCGGGAGAGAAAAGCCATGACGGGATCGCAAATTTTAAAAATGTCTTTAAGGTTAGCCTCGTGTGGGAGTGTTGTTTTTATTTTAGCGAATTTTTGCATTGTTTTATGATTATTTTGCGTTGTGTTTTAGTTATTTTAGCTACTTATTGAAATTAGTTAAATATTGAATGAAATTGAGTAGAGAAATTAACTTTCATAAGAGGAATTAAAAACAGTAGGCTTTCGAATTGGAAATTTGATTGACACTTGTAAAAAATTAATACATACTACTATTTAATTGAGTGATGATGCTGTTTGTTTCAAATTTATGAAGATTTTATTGTTTTCTTAATAGAATCGATCAGTTTTTTTAATGATTGAAAATTATTTGAGACAAATAGAATGTTGTTTAGAAATTAACATTTTTTTTAATTTAATTTTCAACGACTAAAAAATTTTTTAACAGGCGTACTTTTGAACTTTTTCAATCGCACAGACTCTGTTTTACATTTTAATTTGTTATATTATGTTATTTAGGAGTCTCTTGCAGTACATTGACGAAGAGTTGATGATGAGGTAATTTCGACTGAACTTTCATCGGCTAATAAAGTAACGTCACATCATAGCGCTTTTTGATTTTTTTTTGTTTGGTTTGCCGCACATTTTTCTTTTAACGCTTCATTTTTCGCTTACCTGTACTCGGCTTTGGTTTTTTTTTTTGTACTGTTCCTTTTCATTTTCGGGGTATTTGGAATTTTCACGCATTCGAAAGCAACCGAAGTAGATTAAATGTTGTTTGATTATTCTAGGGGCACCTACAAATATCACCAGTCGGAGTATGAGCAACAGTAAGTTAAATGTATTTAAATATGTGGTGTAGTATTGTTTGCTGGTTTAGAAAATATTTTTTATTATGTTGAAAAAAAAAAAGTTAAAATTTGCATAGTTATTGACGGGAAAATATATAAGTGAAGGTTAACTGTTAAGTGGCTCAATTGCCCAGAGAGTTCAACTCGGTTTAGGTCTTAAAATATCTCCGGTATGCGATTTGTTTATTGTTACTTTACTCGTGATGCAATTCCTGATTGGTATTAATTCGAAATATGCGAGTCGAGTTGTATACGGATTTCTTTCAATTGATTTACACCTACGATATATTTTTTTCTGTAAGTAATTTCACCTTATCGATACATCTTTTTTATAACTAATACAACTTACGTTTACGCTCGATTTAATTGGCGAATCTATTTTTAAAAAGAACTTACATTCAATCGATGTTTCGAATTCGGAATAGTAGGTGTAACTTAATTATCAGAGCTCCATTATATGCATTGATTTGATTTGTTTTTATTTGTAGATGTATGGACGTATTAGACAATTTGAATGCATTTTTGAATTTGAACATGTAGGTCACTAACCCATTAACTTAGCACTTTTGCACTTTTATTAACGTCTGCAAAGAAGTAGAGCGAGAATAATTTCATTTACTATAAAATAATGTAAATATATACACATTCTCCTCTACTTCTTTAATTCTATAAGCTTTAATATCGCGCCTCGTTCGAATTTTCTACAAAACAAAAAGCTTATAGAATTCCGCATCGTAATTAGAACTAACTCGAACTCTTCCCGCTTCGATTCCCAAGATTATAGCGGAGTAAATTTGAATTTTTTTAGAGCCACCCTGCCCGTACAGAGTCCCGAAGGCACCGCGAAATGTGACGTTCACGCCGCCCCCAAGGATCCGCCGTTCAACGGTTCGCCGCGCAGACATTCCTCCGTCGACGAAATCTTCGGCTTGGTCACGTCGATGAATTTGACGGGCCAAAGGCAGCGATCGCTCAGCGACAGCAGCCGAACGGGCAGGACCCATCGGGACAACAGGGAAGTCAACGGTAAGTTGCGCTTTAAGGGCGCCATTCACGATTGCTGGTTCAATAGAGAGACGTTCACTAACGGATGCAGTTTCTCACACTCGCAGACAGATTTTGGACTCCATTTGGACGTTTGGAGTGCTCGTGAATGGCGGCCCCGTGTAGTTAGCTCGGTACTGTTCATTGTTTACATGTTTACGGAACGTTTTTAGGTACCGGCGACGATGCGAATCACGAAGGTAGCTCTATAGATATGGTGACCTGTCCGCCGGTGCCGCCTCGGAAGCACAGGAGGCGGCACACGCCGCCGAGACCGCCCAGTAACGGTTTACCGCCCACTCCGAAAGTCCACATGGGAGCGTGTTTTTCGAAAGTAATAACCGATTGAATCGCGTTTGGGGTGTGTGTATAAAACGAATCGATTTGTAGGTGTTCAACTGTTGCCCGTTGAGGATCCATTGCACGGTTTCTTGGATCAATCCCGATACGAGAGACCAGCATATACTGATCGGCGCCGAAGAAGGGATATACAATTTGAATTTGAACGAACTGCACGAGACCTGCATCGATCAATTGTATAATAGAAGAACCGTTTGGATGTACGTTATAAAGGACGTATTGATGACGTTATCAGGTAATATATTCGCAATACTATTGAATTATAACACTAATTTGTGATATTTTTTTGTAGGGAAAACTCCGAATTTGTACAGGCACGATTTGCTGGCGCTTCAAAACAAACAATCGCACCGATTCAGTTTGCACATGAACAGGATACCGGAGCGGTTCGTGCCGAGGAAATTCGCCCTTACTACTAGAGTACCCGATACCAGAGGTACTTTGAAGTGCTGCGTAGCCAGGAATCCTTACAACGGTTACAAGTATCTCTGCGGAGCTACCGCCAACGGGATTTATCTGATGCAGTGGTACGATCCGTTGAATAAATTCATGTTGTTGAAGGTAAACGATGCGTTTTACGGCGAATCGGTTTTAATTGTGCGGTTGTTTTAGCACGTGGAATGTACCCTGCCGAGTCCTTTGCACGTTTTCGAAATGATTATTACGCCGGAATTGGAGTATCCGGTCGTGTGCGTATCGATCAAGCAGGCTTACCAGCAGAATAGGTTTAAATTAGATTTGATTAATATGAATTCAGGTAAGCATCGATGATTATTGTCTGTTTAGAAATACGAATAGATCTGAGCGACTTGGACGCGTGTTAATATTCTATTTTATTTCGTATCTTTATGACTTTTAGTTGTACATAATAATTGGTACGTTTGGCAAAATAGGTGTATCCGTAAATCGCCATTGTTGAAAATATGCCCAGGTATATAATAGTATATGCTTTTTCCCGCTCAAACATAACTGTACCATATTTAAACCTAAAAGATTCTAGAATGGAATTATACACTAGCGCTTTTGTAATTGACAAATGTGTGCCGTTTTAAACGTGATATTATCTAATTTACTACAATATACAAAATGTCTAACTCTTGTTATAATGTATAGTTAAGAAACGATTTCTAATTAGTCGAAACAATAAGATTTATTATGTTCTAGGTGCTAGTTGGTTCCATTCGGACGAATTGCAAGATATGGACGGCACGGCCACCGTGATCCCGCGCCGTGAAAATTTAGACATAGTGAATGTGACTCAATTAGATAAAGATACGATTTTAGTGTGTTACGAAAATCTTATTAGAATAGTCAATGCGCAAGGGAAGCCGAAAACGAACAAAAAGCAGGTTTCAGAATTGCGATTCGGATTCAAAATCGAAAGCATTAGTAAGTATTGCAGTTTTATTATCGAAATATACAGATAAGTGCAACTTTATTCATATACAGATTGATTTATTTTAGTTTGGAATATTGGCGCTATGGGTGCAACAAAGACAACCTCCATTAGAAGGAAAAAGAAAGAATGACATTGTCAGATTGTAACATTCTCAATCTACTTGCAATTTTAATAATTTATCTTTGTTCAACTCATAGAAATGATCATATTGCAAACTTTTATGCACCTAGTTGTAGTCAATTCTATGAGTTGAATAAAGAAAAGTGAATAAAATAACAGTGGGTTAGAAGGAGAAAGTTGAAATTCCACATACCTAATGGTGCATTTTAATTTGCAATATGGTGATTTCTATGAGTTGAAAAAAGAAAGATTACTAAAATGACAGTTGTCAGAGTGAAAAGTTGCAATGACACAATATCACTCTTTCTTTTTCCTTTATATTAGGCTAATGGAAGTTGTTTTTGTTGCACCCATAGCCTATATTGCGAACAATTTTGCATGTACCCTGTATTTCCTGTATTATAATGTTGTTTGTTCGTTATAGTTTGTCTTCCGGATAGTGTTTTGGCCTTTCACAAGCACGGGATGCAAGGTAGATCGTTGAAAAACGGCGAAATTACGCAAGAAATTATCGATACGGCGCGAACGTACAAACTTTTAGGATCAGATAAGTGAGTTTTTGTGGTTTTTATCGAGAAAAATCGGAGGGTAATTAGAACGAAATCGATCGGTTTTTCTTTCTAAATTGCAGGGTCGTGATGTTGGAGAGCAATTTACTTCGAAGTGGCACATTATCAGCAGACGAAGGCCACGATTTATATATTTTAGCAGGGCACGAGGCCAGTTACTAATAAAAAGTAAGTATTTATTAATATTTTTCATTCACGATGATCCTAGTTAAAAGCATTTACTTGCTACTATAACATTATTGAGTGAAATAAATATAATGATTTCTTTTTGTTCTAGTTAAGCTCATCGTAATACGAGGTTTTTGCTTTGCTTAAAAGTTAGACTAATCAAAAGAAATTTAACTTATTATTAGAATAGACCTTAGATAAGTCGGAAAAGAATACAGAAATCGTGATGTAAGGAATAAAAACCCAAGAAAAACGAAAAAGAATGGATGTTGATAAATGTGAATAAGAGAATCTATCTTCTAAGGATACATATACCTCAATTTCTCTTCCCTTTTAACGAGGAAGGTAAAAAGATTTAAACCGGTATTTGAAAACTCTTTAGATACCTTGAAAGAATTAGAAAAAAGTACCTACATTAAAATATACAATAATTATATTTTCGAGATTAAAAATTGAAATATATTCTATTTGAAAGTTGAGAAAAAAGAGTAATTTTTCACCATAGAAATTTAGGAGAAATGAATTAGTCAATTTTATTTTTTATTAGTGTCCGCTCAATTTGTCACAATAAGAAAATTTCGCGTGTGTCATTAAAATATTCCTAAAAAAAACTAAATACAAACAATACGAACATAATTCTAAAATATACCTCACCTAACCCACAAATTTTTTCCTATTTCCCTTCTATGGGAAATATTCTGCAATGATGTCCTTAATTTACAATCTAAACCAGTTATTTTATAAGTTATTTATTTTTTATAAGTTAGGTATTTTTCGACCAATTTAAGTACCTGCTACACCTTATAAGACCAATAAATGTTAGATTTATTCGTCACCGAGTAAATTTTCCAGTTTTTCAAGTCCACAAAAATTCTTAAATTGGTCGAGAAAAAAATAACAAAATTTTAATACTCTGCTGGATTTCTGTATTTTTCTGTATAGTCTACAGCATTCTTGGCTGTGTTTCAATTATATATTATGTAATTAACACGTTATCTTGTACATATTGTAAATTTGAAAACAAATTAGGTGGAACATACCAAAAAGTAATTTATTATATTATAAGGTTGATGGACTTTTTTTATTGTGACCACGGAAGTAGCGTAATAAAGACATTTTATTTTTTTTAATTCGTTAACAGTACTCGATTGAAAAAATATCACTTTTATTATAAAATGTTTATTTAATTGATTAAACTATTTTCGACTGTTTATATTTATTTATCCATCACATTTGTCCAGTTTCAGATGATATAATGTAAAGTTGTGGCCGGGAATTTATTGTTTATTTAATTTTTAATTCGTTTTTAGGTGTAAATTTAGTTTTTTTCAAGATTTTCATCTCCAGTCGATAAATGAACGAGACCAGATTACTTGGAAAATTGATAACCAGCTAAATTTTACAGTTTACTATTAAATAATATTCCTAAAGGTATAATATAAAAGTATAAGCAAACGTGATGAGTAATTCCTCGAGCGATAATTATTTTATCGAATGAAATTTAAATCGATTTCTCCGCGACACATCCCAGCGAATCTTCTCTCGCAATGACTACTTTCAGTTTCTACACGGTGCATTATACACTTTCCCACCCGTGGGTTTCACGCGAGACTCGTACTACAGTTCAGATTCTCCGTACTGCCAGGTAAGTACCGATAGAACTCTCGAAACACCGTCGTGTTCCCGTTTCTTTCCTCAGCTGTCAGGACATGTTCTTCCGCACTTCCGCCTCCTTTTTCCTCGTCCTAATCGTGGCCAGGACGAGCGCCGTGGACAAACTCGCAGGACTGAAGGATGTCTCAGGTATGTCCTCATTTATTTACTATAACCAATAAACATAGAGATGTGGACAGTTAGATTAAAAGATAATATGTGTAGATTCTCGTTAACAAACACATTTAAAGTCTATAAAATCGATGATGCGTGCCTGTTTCGAATAGCACATAATTTAACAAAATCATGACATTTAAATGTTGGATAAAAATTATTTATATTGCTCTGTTAGCATTTTGTAAACAAACGTTAATCGACGATTTTATTATATAAGTAGATTTTATTTCAATTCGATTTTTGTTGCATCTTATCGCTGTAAAAGTGCAATATAAAGCGCACGATCGGGCCTTTCCTATTCCTTGTTTACATAATGCATGCAGTTGTGCGTTAAGTGAAGCAGAAAAATCTAATTAACATAATTGCTAATTAAGCAGAACTTACTGATACTAAGATGTTGTACAATATTTAACACACTTTGAATTATTAGCTATTTCGTGAATTTTGTATAAACTCGTAAATTATTAGGGTAATTATAGGCGAAAATGACAAAGTGTCGCAATTGGAATCAAGATAGAAATATGATGTCAAGGTACTCTTGCGGATATTTGAAAACTTGTAAATTTGACTCGATAACGCTCGACTTGTATTACAGATTTATAAACGAAAACCTTAATATGTTTCCGTTCTAAATTTAATTAAAGTGGGAGCGCAGAAGATCAATTAATTTCGTTATAATTTATTACTCAACTCTATCATCGTTTTAGCATGAAAAAAATATTTATAATTAGTATTAGCTTATGCGCTTGAACGATGCTCGTAAATATTTTTCCTTATTTAAAAATTCGAAGGTAATCTGCTGGGGTTCGATGATTTTATCGAAGAAGTTCAATTTATCAAGTATACAGCACGTAAACCTACGAGTAAAAGCGAAAAAAGGTCTTTGTTGTCTGATCGCAAGGCCGGTAAACCATTAAATTCGTTACTAATTACTCTTGATTGTATTTTAGTACTGTGCATACCGACCTTTGTGTGTTCAAATCTCATTTAATATTAACAAAATGATATCATTTTGCTGGACTTAATGGTGTTTTCAATTAATCGGGTCGTAAAAGAATTATTACATTATCAGATTCTTCGGGCGATTGGATCATTCAATGGCCGGATGTGAACGCTAATTTAGTGCAAAATACATTTTTATCGAGCCCATTGTTTCAACAGATCGATCGTTAATTATTATTCAAATCGAGATAGAAAATAGGTCGTGTTTGTTCTTAGCACAACACCATTACACCCACATGGATATTATACCATGCCATTTATCAAAATATCGGCATTAATGAAGTTTAAAAATGCCATTTAGGAAGCATCTTGTCTACTACAATGCGCGGATTAGCCCACATTTACAGTGTATTCGTCGAATGGGATTTTTAGATCAATGGCGAATACCTAATGCATTTAATTCCTTTTGTTGTGGCTATTGAGCAATACCCGTTTATTTACTCGTTCCAGCTACACCTCTGATGATTTAAAAATAAAATTGGCTGCAGATTTTTAAATTGTAAATCGTGATAACGCATTAATTCGGTTCGATTAGAAATTGGATTTTAACGAACAAAAGCGCTGCCAGCCGATCGTTTTTTGCCATCAATTAAATATAAACGTTAACTAATAAACCATTTTTTTATAAGAAGAACCCAACCTGGAAGTGAAAGTGTCATATAAATTTACATTATTAGGTAATTGTCTAAAGTTAGTCTGCGGAATTTCGTTACAGAAGAAAGTTCGAATATAGATGAGATACAATAATGACAAAAACTGGCCGTTATTAATTGGATAATAATAATAATTAGATTAATAATTACAGCTTAATGTGCAACGGATTAGTCAAACAGTTTCTCGAAAGTGGGCAAAAAATATCGATAAAAGATGTTAATTGAGCAGAATCGATTAGATTGTGTACACGCACATAAATCGTAATTGTTTGAACTTGGAAAATCTTTTTAAGGATGGTTTGTTCAATTAACCTTAAGTATGTAGGTTATGTAATTGTTAGATAATGTCGGAATATCTCAAGAGAAATTTTTTAAATAAAATTTTACCGAAAAAGGCGCCTTTTGTAATAACAATTACCTCGTGTTGTTTTGAGCAATATTAGTCTTACTTCCAAAACTATTTCGTTTGCTCTCGGAAATCGATAGTAAAAAAATCATAATTAATTATTGTAATAAAAGAAATCACGTTTTTATTTCTAATTAATAACCTTGCTAAGGTATTCTTGAATGCTGATACCGTTAATATTGCTATTTTTCTACACGTGAATGTAATAATTAACTTCATAAAAAACCTTTCTAAATCAGTATGATGTGATAAGAAATTAATTTATTGTTGTTTCTATTTAATTCCTAGATTTTCGCTCAAAAATTAATGCAACCGAAATTGCATAATGCATAATGACACAAGTAATTTATGGTACTTATATAACAACGACTACAGAGTGGATTTAATTAAAAATTTTGCACATTTCTATTTTGTGGTTATCATTAATTTTGACTTTATCCCATCGATACTTATGATCCAGCAGATTGGGTATTTCACACATATCAGTGTTAAAAAATGCCATCAGGGGGACACTATAAGCAAACGAGGACGTTGTTTTGTAACCATTAATAACTTCGACATAAAAATAAGAAAATTAATTTACCAACGCCGGTTTATAACCTGTTAATACGTATTTGGGACGTACGAATAAATAAAATTGTGCACTTATAAATTTGCATAAATTGATCGAATGTACGATTTACATACCTTTATCCAGCAGGTAAAAATTTCCTTCTGCTAATACCAAATAACAAACGGAATGATCTAATTTAGAAATTATGACAGCCTTGACTCCAGCTTACCTGCATTGTTTACAAACACAATTATTAGTCAAGGTTGAATTATTCGAATCGTATATCAGCATTGGAATTCGAAAAGTCCCTCGACAACTAGCATTAAATAGAAAGGCGTTGGGATCTAACACGATTCTCCTCGATTTCAGGTTATAGCCTGGACATACACGAAATCCAGCGGCAAAACCAGATAACCAAGCAGATATTGCAAAACTTTCTGGAAAAGCGGCTGTTCGGGCGCGACAAATCGCCGAAGCCGCCCAGCGTGTGGGAGATCCTCCCGAGAAACCGCAGGAAAATGGTGAATAACATTCAGGACGCCTTGAATGGCACGAGTAGCACGGAAAAGGAGACTTTAGAAAGCGGCGAATCGGAAAGGATAACCGCTTACGAGGATTACGATGATGGCGGCGGTAATGACAAGAAAACTTTATTATTAGATACTTATTTTGCGATACGATGGAAATATCGTTCGAAAATATGACGATTATGAAATTAGTGAAAGTCGAAAATTATTTATAAGCATCCTCTTCGATTCAATGCTGATAGAATTGTAATGGAAATAACTCAAAATTTTGCAACACGAACTATAACAAAAGGTTATTAATCATAATCATTTCGTTTGTTATGATACATCAATAAAGTACAAAGTTAAAGGGATAAACATTTACAACATAATTACTCAATTATGAAGGGTTTATTAATCAATTTTTCCTAAATTCAATTAGCTTTAACAGGCGATTTCTTCATTCACCTATCAGCTATTAAATATTCGAATACTTCAAACGGTTATTCAATGGCTAACTGTTCGCAATTACACGAACTATCCGAGTTATTTAAATTTGATATTAAATGTTTTCATGAATATATCACTTATACGATTACGCAATAAATCTTGTAACGGCAAACAACGTTAACTTTCTCGGTTTTTACTAACGACAACTAATATTTTCCGCTCCGTTTCGACCAAATAACCGCAATTAAGCCGAGTTTAATACTCTTTTCCTTACAAAATAATTCAATCTCTACGACATACTCATTTTCATTTCGCTCGCCCACAGCAAAAAAATACTGTTTCGAGAGCATAGGAATAGTGCAGTTGAGTATATGCACAACACTATTGAGAAATAATTACGGTATGCACAAGAATATTGAGATATACTTGAAATATACACAAGACTATTCAGAAATAGTTCAGGTAGGCACAAGACTGTTGAGAGAGTTGAAATAAGTACAAGATTGTTGAAAAATACTCAGTATAGTTGAGATATGCACAAAACTTTTGAGAGGTACTTGAAACTTGAAATATTCTCACGACTATTGATAGCTGCTTAGGGTAATTAAAACAAAGCGGGTTATAATCAGAGTGGAGTTATGAGACCTTGACTATGTCGGTTTACCAATGACCCGTATTTTGGCGATTGGTCATTCTTCCACTCGCAGCTTCTTCGCTACAGGTACTCGGCATACCAGCGTGTCCTGTCCTCACGCAGATGCAGCGGAATAATAACTTTCTCTGCGGTTGAGCCGGGGCCGCAAGGTCGCCGAATTCGCTAAGAAATGAATAGCGCTAGACGCTCGCGATCGAGTAATATCAGTTATTACGCGACGAAGAATCGATGAAAACGAGAGTGGTCTCTTTCCATGTTCGCCGTTAGTCGAATATATCGTTCGTTTGTTCCATGATGATCGGTTTAACGGTGTGTTTCGTGGTGTTGTTGGGGAACCTGTCGGCCGCAGGACCCTCCGTCCGGACCGCTTCTTCGAATAATATTCCAGGTTTAACATGATTTTAATTTTTATTCAACAATACACCCAATTTCTCCAACTAAATTCTACTAGAAATGAATTGAAAAAAAATCACATATTCTTTTGTAAGCGAATAACACAAAGGGAGTTGGAAATTTGGTATCTAAAACAAGATAGAACAGTTTCTGAAATCCCGGTTTCGTAAAAGAAATTTCCAATCGGCGGCCTTGGCATTGCAGGATACGCATCTCTTGCTGCAACAAATAGCCACCGTACCGTGACTAAAACAATCACTTTAACAGGTCAAGAATTTGCAGAGATCATTTAGTAGTTTCTTTCAAATAATCTGGTCTATATGTAAAATGTGTCTCGTTGACGATTGGATTTTTTTTAATTTCTAGATTGTCCCAATTGCATTGAGGACGCTGCACCAGCGCCTAATAGGTGGACCATGCCATTGCTGAAGTTAGGCGAGAAACGGTACTACTTGGGAATATTTTTCAAGGTAATTATAATTTCACGTAGCCTAATAAATTATTTCAACTCATCCGAGACGTTTACTAACGCTATTTTTTCGTATTATAATGTCAAGAACGTCCAGCGTTCGCACTTCCTCTCTTCGTAAAAGCCATTAACGGCGTTTCGTAAGGCAATTATGCGCGCATTGAGAAATCGATTTCTGCATGATTGTCAATTACACACACACACATAAAATAATCTCTCTGAATTTTGCTCGTTCCTTCAGGCGAACTACTTTCGAGCGACGCAGTATTGCCGGTTCCACGGCATGCATTTGGCCAGCATCACATCGCAAGAGGAGAACGACAAACTGGAGAAATACATCAGAGACTCAGGTATGCAATGTAACGATTCCTTATACGATTTTATAGATCAATCCAATAAATCTATTCTAAATCGCAACTTGTACGGCCTCTTATTATTCTTGTTTTGAGCTGAGTATCCTCCATTCCACTCCTACCTATTCTGGAGAAGAAATAGCTATTACTTGTTTGTGTGGCCTTTTATTACTATTGTCTTGAGCTCCCTACCTTCATCACACTACTGTCACCCTATTCTAAAAGAAAAATATCCCCCTTGCAGGAGTTGTTACATGTTTATACGGCCTCTTGCTATGCTTGTTTTGAGCTAATACTATATCGGTTTGTAGGTTTCGGTCACGAGCATTTCTGGACGTCGGGTACGGACTTGGCGGACGAGGGCAAGTTCTTCTGGATGTCGACGGGCCGTCCGATAACGTTCACCAACTGGAACGCCGGCGAGCCGAACAACTTCGAGTACGAGAACGGCGAGCAGGAGAATTGCCTGGAGCTGTGGAACAGGGACGGCAAAGGGCTGAAGTGGAACGATTCGCCGTGCTCGTTCGAGACGTACTTCGTTTGCGAGGTGCAGCCCTGATGTGGGTGGCTATTCGAAAGGCTGTTATGTTAGGTTGGAATTAGGTTGAGGCGATCGGAGGGGCGCCATATTGCTGCTGTTTAGGATATTTATTTCGTTGGTTGTTTGTGTCGAAAAGTAGCGATGTTCGTGCGTATCATTGTCTCTCTGAGAGTTTATTCGTTTATCGATTGACTTGCCTAGACCTAAAGTGTACATGAAATACTCGTAATTAATTGTAGGACCAAAGAACAAATGTTCAGAAGTGATATTCGTTACTAATACAGTAAATTAGTTTGTAAGGTTCAATTAACTGTTAATTATAATGTAAATTAGACTAAGAATTGAGTATTGCTAAGATCACAAATCTCCACATTCATATAAATACATTCACAACTAAAAAATGTATTATATTCCGTTTGCGAATTAACAAATAATGGAACTATAGTTATAAAAATACGAACTGTAGTTAACATTTCCATAGGACATTCATCGTAGGAAGCTCATTTGTTGCTCATAGTTACTACTTAATGAAGTGAAAATGTTATCTGTTAGTATAATAAAAATTGTTATCCGATTTTTTTTAATAAAACCGTAACAAAAAATTCTAAAGATTTCAATAATTCCCGCAGAAATATTTTAGTTTTTTGCGCCATCTGTCGAGCTAATGCTCAAGTCGGTAAAAAGGTAATCTGTATTATCGACTAAACCTAATCAAATGACATATAATTTAGAGATGGGGCATAACTTTAAAATTATTAAATATTTAATGGTAGTTGGTACGATTATTTTATCCTTATTTCCAGTATTGTTTTCCTATTAGAAAACTTGTCGTGTTTTTTATGTTGAAAATTGTTCAAATAAAGCAGTTAAAAAAATTAATTCATGTAACAGTTCCAAAAAACCGTTCCACCGTTCCACTCCACTATCCATTTTGATTTGATCAGAATCCGCCATCTTTTCATGATTATTATCATAAGTCAAGTGAATTGAATGGTTTTGATAGGGTTTTTAAAGTATTTTTTAGTTATTTTCCTTTACGTAAAGGGATTTTGACTGATTATTTCAAAAGAGTACTTTTAGGCGTATTATAATAATCCGGTTAAGTAACAGTTAATCGCAACGCAATTCAAAATCAGATAACAGAAGTTACAGAAGTGTTTCGTCAATCGTCATTAGGATCGTCACCTTCATCTCGAAAAGCGTCCAATATTTTAGGAATATAAAAATTTTTAGTCTTTTGAGAAGATCATCGCTGCCTGTCTTAATGTAAGTTCAATCCAAGCTAATTTTAGTGTTCATTTTAATTATTTCTCGCATCAATATAACCACATCGAACTTATTCAAAATGGTGTCTAATTATGGCTACTAACATATTCTAAACAATTTGATTGCATTAGTACGTAAATCTAGAAATTTATCACCTCCTGTTATTAAGTTTGCTTTATACTGACCAACATTAACGTTATTTTAATTACCATTAATTAGTAACGTACGTATTAAGTCGTTAAATTATTCCCATATGTTTATAATTTTACTGTTACTTCCCTAGGTCGTTCAGGCAGGGAGGCAGTTCAGCGAGCACCAGAAGCGGCTCGTTCCGCGACCACGATAACTTCACCAACGGCAACAGCGACCGCAGCAGCTCCTTCGGCGGAGGCAGCACCCGAAGCATGAGCGGCTTCAAAGGCGGCAGCGGCGGCGGCTTCCGCGACGGCGGCAACTTCCGCAGCAACGACGGCGGCTTCAGGAACCGCGGCAGCGGCTTCAAAAGCGACTTCCGCGGCGGAAACGACAGTCGCAGCCGTTTCGGCGGCGGCGGAGGCGGCAGGAGCGCCCAAGGGAACCGCCTCTACAGACCCCAATGGGACACCATCCAACTGCGCCCTTTCAAGAAAGACTTTTACGTTCCGAATCCTGCCGTGGCCAACAGATCGCCCTACGAAGTCGACCAATATCGTCGCGCTAAAGAGATTACCATCGACGGTACCGCGCCGAATCCCATACAAAACTTCAGCGAAGCCTGCTTTCCTGACTACGTGATGAAGGAGATCGAGAATCAGGGGTACGATGCGCCTACGGCCATCCAAGCTCAAGGCTGGCCGATCGCTCTAAGCGGCTTGGATATGGTCGGTATCGCTCAAACGGGCTCCGGTAAAACGCTTGCTTATATCCTCCCTGCGATCGTTCATATAAACAACCAACCGCCGATCAATCGAGGAGACGGTCCGATCGTTCTCGTATTGGCCCCTACGAGGGAACTGGCGCAGCAAATCCAGCAGGTCGCCAGCGAGTTTGGTAGCTCCTCGTACGTGAGGAACACGTGCGTGTTCGGGGGCGCCCCGAAAGGGCCGCAGGCCAGGGATTTGGAGAGGGGCGTCGAGATTTGCATCGCCACGCCCGGTCGATTGATAGACTTTTTGGAGAAAGGTACGACGAATTTGGAGCGGTGCACTTACCTGGTGCTCGACGAGGCCGATAGGATGCTCGACATGGGATTCGAGCCGCAAATTCGCAAGATTTTGGAGCAAATTCGGCCGGACAGGCAGACGTTGATGTGGTCGGCGACGTGGCCGAAGGAAGTGAGAAAATTGGCTTTGGATTTCTTGAAAGATTTCGTACAAATTAACATTGGTTCGTTGCAATTGTCCGCCAATCACAACATCCTTCAAATCGTCGATGTTTGTCAGGAATTCGAAAAAGAAGTGAAGTAAGTACTACGAAATGTTGCTTTTCTATATCGATTTTATCGTTTCGATGCTTTCAGATTAAATCAGCTGCTTCAAGAAATAGCCAATAACAGTGACAGAGAATCTAAGATACTGATTTTTGTCGAAACGAAGAAAAAGGCCGAATCGATTACAAGGACTATCAAGCGATATGGATGGCCTGCTGTTTGTATGCACGGAGACAAAAGCCAACAGGAACGTGACTTTGTACTTAGCGAGTTCAGAAATGGAAATTCCACGATCTTGGTGGCCACCGACGTGGCTGCACGAGGATTAGGTAAGGATCCACTCCGATTTAGTTTGGGTTTCTGAATTAAAACCATGTGCAGTTTTGAAATTGAACAAATATGTGGGTACTGCTGACTATAGTAGCATATTAGTTTTGGGATGTCCAGACTGGTTCCGGGACCTTGAATTTTTCAAATTCAAATGTGGCGTTACGCCCTACATTTTGGTGGTTGTTAAATGTTAATTACAACATATGTAGGAAATTCATGATTAGGAGTTCAGTTTATTTTTAGGGCTTTTTCATTATTTCTATATCTGCAGGTTTTCAAGTACAGTAGAATCTTTTGAGGGCTGGTACTTGACGAGAAAACAGCCACTTACTATTAAAACGTTGGCACATATATTAGAGCTAAGTTAATGAATATACAATATTTTCTTAGTGTCGGAATTGTGCGAAATCGAAGAGAAGTTCTGGTTGAAGGTTTAATTGCTTTCTGCGTTTGAAATATAAACCAGGATTTGCACATTTTTATAAAATTTATCATTTTTTGCTCTCATTAGTTAGGAAACAATCATTGCTAATCCAGATAAAAGTTTTACAGTAAATTATTAGAATTTTTTACAAGAATTTAGAATCAATGCTTATTATTCAAATTATTGTATTCATATCTATACAGTTAAATTCTAGACAGGAAAATATTCAACATTTTTGCTATTTCTATTTTACGAAGCTTTCCATAATTTAATCATTAGTATCGTATAATAGTAGTTATTAGTTTTTAAGTTTTTGATTTTCTACAATTTTTATTAATCAGTCTGGTTTATCCTTTCTGTTTCAGAGGCACATGCAGGATGAGCGTACATAGCATTATAAAAAAAAGCATAAAGAAACTAATTTGCTAATGATACGCCTTTGTTGTGTTCTTACTTAAAAAGGATGCAATTCTGTGTCTTGCGGTGCCTCTGGCTGTCTGCTCCCCGCTAAGAGGTGTAGAAGACCGATGGGACGATGGACATAGCATGTAGAAATACAACAACTGTTGCTGGGCACTATTCACCATTACTAGATCCGTTTTTTTGCAATGGATCGTTGAGTTTAAATGTAACAGAAATACGGTGGCGTAGTTCATAAAGCTTTTAAGATTCCTCGAGGCAAGATAATGCGTTGTGGATGTTTATCGGACGATAAAGGGGCTATCGGAATGTTTTATAACGCAGTGGAAATTACGAGCTACGCCACGTTACTCAATTGCATTACGTCGTGTACAAAAAAAAGGTGAAACGATGCAGTGTTTGTCCCAATAGCAATCAAAAATGTATAAATAAAATAAAGGTAGCTCGGCTGTAACATCAACGTACATCGATCTGTTATACAGTATTGCCGAGTTGCTGAATTGTGTATTATGTCAGCCTGTCGGTCCTGCAGTGTGAAGAGATAATTTGACATCGACGCGTACACGGTACATAAATTAGGCTTTGTATAAAATTGAAACGAAACAAAAAAAATAATAGAGTTTGAGCAAGATTGTACGCGTCACTCCACTGCAGCAGCCATCTTACCATTGCTACTATAGCTGTAACACAATGAATTGTTTAAAAACATCAGGCAACATGGATTAAAATAGACTTTCATGGTTAGTATTCTTGTTATATTTTTATTTTTTATTTCGTTTAATATTCATCTGACGAATGTTTTTCTGGACAATTCAATGCAAATTTTGAGAGAGTTTATTTCGATTATATTCGTTTTTTTAATTTGTCGAAAAACATTCCCGATTTCATTATTTTGTTTCATAGATTGGTTTATCGAATTTAGCATGTGATTCAGATGGTTACATCACTTTCATAGTAACGAAACGTTGGCACATATATTAGAGCTAAGTTAATGAATACACAATATTTTCTTAGTGTCGGAATTGTGCGAAATCGAAGAGAAATTTTGGTCGAATGTTTAATTGTTTTACTGCATTTAAAATATAAACCAGGATTTGCACATTTTTACTCCACTCAGGGACAGATGCGACCCCGCCTAGTCTACTCTGAATCTGTTCTGCTTTGAATCTACTCTAAATCTGCTCTGCTCTGAATCTACTTCACTCTGGATATACTCTATTCCGAATCTACTTTAAATCTACTCCACTCTGAATCTAGTCTACTTTACTTTAAATCTACTCCACTCTGAAGGGTCGCAAATGTCCCAAATTTACCACCATTTTCATTTTATTTACTCTTATAATCATACTCAAAAGCGATGTAACTATTTTAACAAAAAAATCAAGGACGAGTTTCGCCTAATCATTTTTTTGATTTGTCGCATAGACGTGGACGGAATAAAATACGTTATCAATTACGATTATCCAAATTCTTCGGAGGATTACATTCACAGGATAGGCAGGACGGGCCGATCCGATTGCACCGGTACATCATACGCCTTTTTCACGCCGGCCAATGCCCGGCAAGCCAAAGACCTGTTAGCCGTACTCAAAGAAGCCAATCAGGTAAATATTCTTTTGAACGCCCTGTACAAATAGTAGAAATAGTTCTAATCTAACTGTAATCTTTTGCAGGTGGTAAATCCGAAATTGGCCGAAATCGCCAGCCGTCCCAACAGCTTCGCCAAAAGCGGGGGCGGCGGTTTCGGCAACAAATACGGCGGTGGTCGCGGGAATCGCGGCGGCGGGGGCGGTCGTAGCGGTTCGGGGGGCGGCGGCGGAGGCGGGTTCCGTTCGAGAGACAACAGCGGCGGCAGGCCGTCGAGGTTCAGCGGCGGGTCGGGCGGGAGCGGAGGCGGTAACAGGATGGGCGGCGGGTCTAGGATGGGGGGTGGTTTGGGCGGCGGGAATGGCGGTTCGTCGGGGGGCAACAGGATGGGTAATGGATTTGGAAATAGAGCTCGTAAGTTTATTTTTTTTTGGGATAACTTATTTTTAAATTAAATTACTTTTTTAGCTTATTGATGCAGTCCAGTTTAGAAGGTGAATTCAGTATTCTTCTGATGCATTCCTGTGCGTCTTTAAAGGAATTTTCTGCTATTGCATAATTTTTTTTGTCTCTCTTTGAACATGGAACATGTTACTCATTTAAAGTATAATTTAAGTCTATTTTTTTTACTGTGATTAGTTCGTAACAAATAATTTTTCTTTTAACTTAGGTAAATATAAAACGTACATAAAAGTCATAAATATTTTTATTTTGCTTTTTATCTGTTCTTTTCAAACAAGTCACATAAATTATTTAACAAAAGTTTTTTTCGGGAACTACTGACTTACTTCCGAAAACTTACCAAATTCATGCACAAAGTTTAAAATAATACTAAAAAAATGTATAAAACTAAGTTAATTTGGTAATACATACTTGGCACATGAATTCTGCTCATTTTTATACCTCAGGCAATTGACATATTTCGATTTTTATTAAAGAATTCCGAACCGATTAATCGAAATATATTTATACCAAAAAAAGAAAACGTACAGATCATTTTCATACTACAATACAATGTAAAACTATAGTGAAATAAAAGGGAGTAATTTAAAATGATCTGTATGCTTTTAGGAACATATAAAATATTCTCTCCTTTTTTTTTGTAACCGAACCCTGTTTATTCAACTTCGTTATCCATCGTCTGGAAATATAAATCCAGATTCAGGTATTAAGGCACCAAGTCACACAGTTCCTTTGGAACTATAAATACTGTTTTTCTTACTGTGTTCACTTGTGTTAGTGTTCAAAACTTCTACTGAAATATAAGAAGTACGTTTAAAAAATTAATTATTACCGAATTATTGTCTCTACGCTTTCTCTAACGAAAAATGTAAGTCTAAAAATTTAATAGGTCTAATAGTAATTCAATTTTTTTTGTATAATTCGGTAATATTTTTGACTAGTTACTAAATATTCAATCTTAAAAGCTAAATGAGAAATTTGCAAGAAATGCTTTCCTCGTTTTGGCTAAATTAATTCGAAAAATACTAATTTATTGCAATTTGTATGTTGAATAGTTTAAATAAGAAAAATCCATTTCTTGCAACCCATTAGTCTAAATTTATTAAATAAATAATTGTAGGAATTTTGAAGTAGAAAAATTCTCAGAGATTACTATCAATATTAGTTTAAAGTCCAAAATGTACGATTAAAATGATTTTCCTACGACAAAATTAATACTTTTTATGCATGTCACTACTTGTATTAGTTGTTCAAATATTGCAAGTTGTGCGCTATACTTTATTAAAACTTAGTGACTGGCATAAAAGTAAATCTACAGTCAAACTATGTTCATCGGCGGTTATGGAAAGAAATGAACACTTACTAAATGACACTATAAATTTGAGCTTAAATTAAACTAAATAATCACAATATTCAAATATAAATATTCTCACTATAAAAAATGTACGTCGAGAAATGAAACGATGGATTTTTCGGAAATGGTTTGCTTTTATAAGAAACTAATAGTCCTCCCATTAAAAAATTTTTACATCTGTAATCACAGTTTTTACTGTAGTCAACGGCACAGCATTTCTAAAGTCCTTCATACACATGTCGATTCCAATTGAAACGAACAAGTTCTTGACCGTTTCAACTCGAATCGACACGTTTCCTGCATTTCAACGCCAATAATTAGTGTTTATCACGTTCCACGAATTAAAATTCATTTCAATACCCCTTTATAACGATTGCTCGGATAAATATTTCGGCAGGGAGTCGATTTGTAATCAGTTTTCTACATACTCGTAAAATAAAATTAACCGAGAGAATGTTTTGTCAAGTTTATGTTTTAAATTGGCTCGTGTTTTTATTTATCAAAATTAATAAACTAACTACGCTAATAGTTACGCAAATAGCCTAAAGTATTAAAAGGAATTGTTAAATTTATTAAAAAAACAGTTACAAGTTTCTAACATTCTAACTAACACTGGTTGATTTTAACGAATTAAAAGTTACCACTTATGAAATTAAACAATTAAAATGAATATTTTTTTAACAGCGATTATTGAAATGAAATGGTATTAGTTTTTTCCCTGGTAAAGTATATAACACTAACTGTATCACAAAACCAATACTTGGAATGATTTCTATATAATGGCATTTTCCTATAAACCCCCCAAAAAGGTCACCGACTGTCGCCCAATAGCGTAAATGTTCCTTGCCCCAGAGTATTTTTTTTTGTTATTATTTTGATGTTTGAAGGAACGACCGGGTTCCAGCCGGTAAAGCAAAACCCTCTTTATAGAGACTCTCCCCGCAAGGGTAGCTCTAGAAATACTGAACGTATTGGAGGGTCTCAACCGTGGATGATCTCTTGTATGCTGACATACGTCCCCGTTACGAAACCCAGCAAACCAAAACCTATGAGGAAAAGGTTCTTCCATAAACGCCAATTGAACCTGCCCAAGCCTGGGTCTTCGTAAAACGTCACTAATTCTATAATAGATGGAAAAATGAGACCCAACATTGATAGACAAACAGCACCGACGAGCGAAATGAAACCACCCAAATTCGGGATCAGTATGGCGAATACGACGGTCAAAATGACCAAACCGACTCGAATGCTGTATTCTGCCAACGTTTTCCTCTCAAAGTTATTCTTTACCGCCTTCCAGATTATTTCCATCGGAACGTAAAATTGCAACGCGTACGTGAAGAAAACTGCTACGGCAATCATGATTTTTACCGTTTGGGCCAATCTAGAACAAACAAAAAAAAATATTTAATACACATTATAATACAGGAGAAGTGGTATAACTTACGGTACATCGGGCAGATTCAATGTAATGCTTCCCAATTCAACATCTTTGCCGTATTTGAGATATCCAAAGAATCCAACTGAAGCATAAAGCATTATTACACAAAACATCCCGGTGTTCAGTACCCCGGGACAACCGATAAAATGTTGCGGCGTTTTCATGTTATTTTCCAAAGGCATGACTACGCCGATACCTTCCAATGCGAATATGGCGGTACCGAAGAACGAAGGAAGAGTGGCAACGTTGGCGAAATACGGCCTGGAGTGAATCGAAGGAAGATCGGTGAAAATGTAGTAGAACGTAATACCCAAACCGACAGCTACCAGAATATTAGCTAGCATAGACAACGGAGACAGATATTTCAAATTTCTGATAAGATTAATGAGAATTAGAACGGGCAACAGCAACGCCATGTATATCCTTATATCGTAATGGTAATCGACCGGCGCGTACACGTCGACCACTTGCTTGACGTTCTTCGCCACGAACACCACGTACACGCAGCAGCAGCCTAAAAGATCCGCCACCAAGAAGAAATTAATCATCGCCTTGGCGAACTTCGCCCATGGATGGAAGGCCTTGGGGCCGCTGAGGAACGCCGCCTCGGCCACCTCGGCGTAGCCCAACGACGGGACGCGCTGTCTCCTGTACAGCTCGTGGGCCGTTTTCACCAGCAGATGGACGCAATAGGTGCAGATCAGACCGATCGCGAACGTGCACGCCAAACCGAAAAACAGGCCGGCGTGATGGAAGGCCAACGGCATGGCGAGGATCCCCGAGCCCAGGCTACCTTTCAGCAAATGGACTAGCGTATCCATGTCCCTGAAACCAAACACAAATTATATTACCACAAGAACCTTCCCAAGGCTGCAACACCTAGTTCAATCGAGCTATCTAAGTACTTAGATGATCCCAGTCTCTACTAAGACTCTGGAAGAATTCTTGGAACTTTTCATGACTAGATAGGTAGGATATGGATAATAAGAGGACTTATTTAAGTACTTAGCCGATCCAAGCCTCTATTAAGAAGATAGAAGAGGAATTGGAACTTCCCATGACTAGATGGGCAGGATAAGGATGATAACAAGGCTCAAAGAATCACTCCACTCAACTTATCCAAGTTAACAGGAATTGCTAAAGGATCTCTCCACTGGTCTTATCTAAATACTAAGACGATCCAAGCCTCTACTAAGGAGATAGAAGAGGAATTGGAACTTCCCATGACTAGATGGGCAGGATAAGGATGATAACAAGGCTCAAAGAATCGCTCCACTCAACTTATCCAAGTTAACATGTTAACAGGAATCGCTAAAAGACCGACTCCACTGATTTTATCTAAGTACTAAGACGATTTAAGCCTCTACTAAGATGATAGAAGAGATCCTGGAGCTTTCCAATAAGCAGTATAAGGTTGACAACAGGACTTTGCAACTCTTCTTATCTAAGTACTTAGGCTTTTCGAGGCTCAACTAAGACGTTAGAAGAGGTCGTGGAACTTCTAGAGGCTCAAAAAAGGGTCGGTAAGGAGTAGAAGGATGAAATTTACTTACGATGTAGGATGCGGCAGGCTCCGGTGCTGGAACGGATCGTACTCCCCGACTTCTGTGTCTGGTTTCTGCGTACCCACCAAAGGTACGGTGGACCCGTTCGCCGATTGAGTGGGGACTTGATTTTGGTCACATTTAAAACTGGAAATAGAGCAAATTAGACGTGCGAACCGTACTTGTCGGCCGGTTGTTCTTTAAACGGGAAACGTGTTAAAGTTTGTTAGTAAAGAGAAATGTTCGAAGAGTATGAATGTTTTTCTCGGAAGGGTGGCGAATGTACTGGTGTATTTGTGTGTGTGTGTGTGTGTTTGTGTGTACAAAAAACTGTTTTGTTTTTTGCTTAAATCATTTTACCTTTGATACAATTATTTATAAGTTTTTTGTACTTTTAAATTACACCTTGTATAATGTGCATGGTCGGAAATCGGGTTTAGGATTGCTCGGGGTATTTATAGATTTCGTGCTGGTGGCTCAAGAATTTACTGTTTGCTCTCCAGTTGGCTATTTTTACGCGTACTTTGGTGAAATACCACGGAATTCGTATCGCTTCAATTAAGTGATTAAGCCGTCATATCTAAATCTATAAATCCCCTTCTACGAAAAACGGTTCTCGATGGGATTACAAGGAAACGATTCACGTGGTTGTGAATGAGTGAAATGTAACATAAAATAAAAAATAATAATTACTTTCAGCTTGAACTGAAGGAAGGAACAAAATTTCCTAAACTGAACAAAAAAAAGAGAACAATCCAGAATCGACTTGTAAAAACTGTAGGAATTTCGAGTTACAGCAAACGTTTCTGAATACTTGTGACAATTGTTATATCACTCGAGACCTAAACCAGAACGGGGAAATTGAATTGGGAGTAAATCTAATCGGAATGTTTATTCGAACAATATACAGGGAATAAATAAAACTACAATTACATACAAGTCAACGAGAAGCTAGCTTTCGAAAATTCATCTAAAAAAAACTGAATGTCAGGAGAATTTAACGAGAAACGTAAAAGTTCCAGAAACGATCAGTTTCCAAAATCCAACCAGTTCAAACAGCAAATAGGATCCTGGATAATTCAATACAGTTTTTTTTTTGGTAATTTAATAAAATATAGAGTAATTGTACCGTTGGTTGTCCAAGACTGTTCCGAGGCTCCCACAGCAGCATTCAACCACATCACGTGGTGCGGTATCAGCATACTTCTAGCAGCTCCGGTAATAAGAAGTTGCCAATAGCTTACAAAACTATCAAAATATAATCAACACAATACTATGCCTAACCATGTATAAATGCGTGGCATCCCTATAAAGGATTTGCGCGTGTCTTTGACTTTTCGGATCGGTCAAATGACGGAGTACGAGACAATATTTGGAAAAAGATTAGTAAAAAAAATCCGGCAAAATAAAGAGAAAACGATCAGAAACCGATGTATATTGACAAAATATTAGAGTTTGGTTTAAGAGGAATATTAAGGTAACGTTTAAATATTAATCATGTTGAAAATACACTCGGTTTCTTAGAGAAATAAAGGTTTTTCACCAAACATAAATCAAACTTTTACGATAAATTTGAACCTTCCTCTAGATATTGTACTGAATCCAAAGACATGTAAAAGACAATTACACAAATAAAAAAAAAACATAAAAAAAGGAAGGTGAAAATGACACTTGCAAGCATGACGAGAGAATAAGCTTATGATAATTAATTTTCATTTTGAAGGTTTATCAAGATGTAACAATTTATTAAATATTTAAATTGCATTACATATACTCGAATTTTATAATTAATTCAGGCGACTATAAAATATCGCGTGTACTGATTAGAATTCGCCAAGTGTCACCAATAAATAATTTTTTGTTGTATCATATATCGCGATAACTTATCGAAATATCAACAAACTAGATAGTGATATAAAAACGAAACTCCTGACGCGAAATTAGTTGATTTATACTTGGTAGAAACATAAAAAAGCGCCCTAACTAATCGCCCACAAATATACATGGTTTTTTTAAAAACGAAATACTCATCAAAAAATAAAAAAATTTCAATTAATGTAAAATCCAATCACCAAAAAAACTTACTAGAAATTAAGAATGCAATTGTTTTAATTTCAACAAGACCAAAAAAATTTGAATTTTACTTGACTTTTTCACTGAATTTCAATAAATATGTTGATAATACATGAATTTTATACCTTCAAAAAGAAGCATTGTGAAGTTCGATGGAATGAATGTATTGGTGGAAAGCTGGAGCTTTTTGTACTTACTTAGTCATTATTACTGTGTTTACACCACCCTTTTTCTGGTCTAATTGGGCAATTATAGGCTGTAATAAAAAAAGAACAATTACAAAGTTATTCATTTCGAAAGATTCATCGTAGATAATTACATATTTTATCTGATTTCGTAACCTTAAAATCTCCATGATTATTCACAATTATACAAACATTCAATCTAATTATGTGAATTATACAAAGTTGTAGAGTAAAATTTAAACATGATGTTAAAATAAAATTCAAAACCTCCGTTTTTATTGGACAACAAAAAAACTGCAAGCTATTACGAAATATAATAAACGTAGATACTAGAAGGTCAAAGCATTGTTTTGCGATTTTACCGATACAATTGTTCATCAAAAGCGATTTATTTATACATTTTAGTCGGCGAAATTGCCGTTTCCTTTGCGTCGAAATTGAATTAAACGGCGCATTTGAAATAACACAATAATTGACCCCAATATATTCGTTGAATTGATACGAAAATAAACCGTGAAGGGGTGGACCAACCTTGGACCACTGGGGCCCCTTCGATACTCCAATTATAAAAATAGGATTCAGTTTCAATTCTGACACTGGTACAATTTCGAACGTTCAACGTTTCAGAGATAAATGTGCGTTTCCTGTTGAACCTATTTTCGAATTATTTGAACGATTTTTTGATAAATTAGACGAATTTATTTAGAAACATTTCACACCTCGTTATCATAAAATTACGTAACAATCTGTAGTGGAAATGAAGCAATAAAAAAAACTCCTACAATTCCATTAAAACTCTAATATAAATAGAAAAATTAAGCACATAGTGTCAAGAAATAGGTACCTGAACGGATTTCTTTCATCGAGCTCGGCTTTTCAGGATACCGCTGCCCGGAAACGCGATAAAATAAGTTTTTATCGGCCCAAAAAAAAAACGTTCACGAAATTCAATCGGCACAAATAAGCTTATTACGAACCACAACTGCCACTGTTCGAACGAACAAATTCGAAATTTATCTTGTCGTGACAAAATTATTGGTTTCGAAAATTCCACGTCGTCACGACATTCCGGAATATCGCTACTGAATTTCAAAAGATACAATAGGTATCAAGATTAAAAAGCTTTGTCTAATGTTTGCTCGCTTCCTTAAAATAAGCAAACACGAGTTGGTCCAATGAAAAAGAGAATCATCCCGCGCTCATTTCAATTCATTCATTATTACTCTCGTTTGTATCTATAATAATCTGTCAAGCATTATATCTCTGAAGTGTAGGTAGATCTATCTCTCAACTGAAACATCTCTCAACTTTCTATCTTTCAATTGATACATCTCTCATCTGAATATCTATCAACTACACATCTTTCAACTTTTTGTATAGGTATCTCTCAACAATACATCTCTAAAGAATACATACTTATGTTAAGTTATTCTTGTTGAATTATTCCTAATAAATAAATAGATATTTAGCAAATTTCTCGGATTATTTACAAAGTTCCTAAACGAATGTTTGCAGTTAAATTTCAAACCTATTGTTGTCTAATAACAAAAATAACAGAATTACATCGTCACCTATGTTTATTTAATTAAAAAAACCCAAACATTTCGCTGCTGGCATTAATGCAGGAAAATTCCATTCCTTTTTATCGAAATGCACCTTTACGATAACAATTTAATAAACATAAAAATTCGCTGAATAGCTTCGGTCGATTTTCCGTGGCATCAGCGCATTGCGAATTGTTAAAATTTTATTTATCTGTCCCGTCGTTGGTCGTCGAATTGTTTAGAAAAATTTAAACATTTAAATAATTAGAAATCGTTTTCACACAAGATGATTCACGCGATTGCTGGGAAGTAATTGTTTTATAAACAACTATTCGGAATTATCGAATTAAATAACGACATATGTTTAGGAATTCTTTATTATTAATACGATAAGATAAGTTGTATTTAAATTTCGTCTGTAGTAAATTTTATTGTTAATGGAATCGCGTGAATGATGTGTTAGCAAGTTTGTAATGAGGAGTGGTTGAATTTATATTTAACACCTTCGTTTATTGATGTGCAGTAATGGCAAAGTAAATAAGTTTCACCTGCAAAGCAATCGGTTTTCGCTTATCTATTTACCATGGTGTTATCAAATAGAAAATGAATTTTTAACTTTGAAACCACACAAAATACTTATTTATACGTAGGTCATTTGTATTCTAAATTGTTTCTTTCCCTTTTGTGAAACACGAATACATCTGAATACATTTTAATCGAAAACAAATAAATCTACATAAATTGATGAAACGATTTTTGTGCGTGACAAACCGGAAAAGAATTACTTTTCGCGGAAAAATGTTACTTAATTGGTTTACCGAATATGTGTTAATTGTTCGTTTTAACATTTGTCATAATTGTGTTGTAAAATTTCGTGATGAAATATTCCAAAAATTCCTTCTAATCTTTGAGTGGAATCTAAATACTAAAAATCTCTATCAGTTCAATATGACAGACGATTTTTTGTTGGATTTTTAAACGAATTTAGTCGACCTTGGCGAATATTCGTTAATATCTAACTAATGAACCGACTTCCAACTGATTTTATTTATGTAATTATAAACTACACTATAAGTTAAAAAAAAATTCAATATTTATGTATTTATTCGTACATGAATATTAATGAGGCGTGTAGCTTGTAGAAATATTTGTATGTAAACTATAAAAAATGTACTTATGGCGCTAGAAGGGAATTTATTTTCTAATAATAAAATTCCTTTCGGCGAATTAAATGAATAGAGTACTAAAATCCGAAAATATTGAAGTCTCAAACACTTTCTCTTGTGATTAATCGTTGATTAAATTAAATCCGGCAATCGAATGCACCGAAAAGAATTGAGCGTAAACTCTATTTCTAAAAATTGAGTACAGGCCAACAGTATTTATAGAACATGAGGTCAATAAAACCAAGGAACAAGAAACAATTTAGAACGATTAGAATTTAAGATACAATTTATAAATAGAAAATTTACAGGTTACATTAATTTATTCGCAAAACGAGCGAGATTTTACGGTTGAAAAAAACTAGATCACGGCTATTCCATCTGAATTATATGGGTCGTATTAATTTTTCAAAGCGCATTTCGCCTTGCACATCCAGCAAACAATGCTACACACACTTTAAATTTCATTTTATCTGTTCCTATCGGAGAAATGTCCTTAATTAGAAATGGAATAATTTGCATCGAATATACATAGCCGGTTCGTTACGAGACAGCCTTGACGTCAGTTGCGGTATAGAAAGGTACATAACATTAAAAAAAATCATGAACGTATACAAACGAATTTTCACCAGTTTTTCCATTACCATTATTACGTGTAAGTAAAGGTCAGTTCCGTAGGGATACCATGCCTGACCAAGGCAATTATTTTTCGATCGAACTGTTGCACGGAAAAACCGGAAAAATATACAAACAGAACCATAACCAGGAACATTACATTATGCGTTTATGTTCCAAAAGGTTACCGTTTGTGGTATAATCGAGTTTACCATGAGGTGGAGAGAATAAGGAGAAAACCGGTAAAAGTTACGCATCGCATCTTCAAACTATTCCGCATGTTATTAGACGCAACATCATCAATTATAGTGGGTTTCGTTCTGTTTATTTTTTTCGTTGCTCTTCGGTATCTAGGTCGATGCAAAATAATTTCACTAAGCACATAATGAATTCGTTAAGATGTTTGTTTTCTATTTTAATTGTTCGTTTTACGAATTTATATTATGCTGAGTCAAACGGTAAAGAATGGTCTATAAAACTATAGATGAGCCGTAAACGGACCTTTGATAGGTCATAGATAGACAATTGATGGATCAAAGATGGACTCTTGATAGACTTTGGATCTTAGATGGATCATAGATGGATCTTTGGTGGGCTTTGGGTAGACTTTAGATGGAGTTTGGACCTTAGATAGATCATATATAGATGATTATATGGATCAAAGACGGACCTTCGATGGACTTTTGATTGACGATAGATGATAAGATAGACCATAGATATTAAGTTGAGAAGATTCAGTTGTATAAAATCATAAGTTTCTTAATATTATTCATTTCTTCATCTTGTGTTCGTAGCAGTTTTAGTATTATTTGTATTTCCATTATATACTGGAAATACTTCTATTTTTTGAGTATTGTATCTAATTTTGGGTGTTTGTCAGGTTTCTGTCAATTTACCTTCCATAAAAAGGTTAGTAAACTCGGACTTTTTACCTGAAAAGGGCGAGTGGGCGAACAACAATACACCCTAAAGAAGTTCGAAGAACATGCTAGAAAAAATTTATTACATTTTCCTGTTTTGAGGATGAATAAATGTAACTTAAACTGATCGAGATGGAGGCAATTTACGTTTAATAAATGCATTTTTATACAATAGGTTTTCAATATTATCGGCCCCGACCCACGTAAAAATCGTTATTGACAATCGAGCGACTATAACCAATAAAACAAGACCTTCGGTAAATATCAAATACTGCCATGTGGCAAGTTAATTCGCGTTGCAACAAACATTAGCGTTGGATTTAATACGGGAAAACTCGTTTTATTCATTAAAACACGATTAGAAATAAGAATCAATTTTTCATTGATTGTCATGTTATTTTTACTATAAACTACAAATTACAGTAGTTATATTTTTATCGAATGTTTAGTACCAAAATTATAGCAAATAAATTTACTAGTTCTAGGTAAAAATACTTGTGTAGTATAATTTGTTTATTTTTTACGTATTTACTGTCAATTTTTTTGGTAGTACCGGTGGAATGATAAGAAGAAATTTTAATAAACTTTCGCGTGATTTTTAAATCGAAATCCCTTGGGATTTTTCTACGGAGACGCCCGTGTGTGTATGTGTGTGAGCGTGTGTGCACAGTATACCATACACGTTGGTACTTTTCCATTGCCTACGTCACGAACATACCAGGAGAACAGTAACCTCATGGTTAATTAAATAATGCATTGAAACAAACGGTTCATATTCGATTACCTATTAGAATTTCAAATTCACACCGCCTAGTTGGCGAATAGATGTTTTTTTGTAATCATATGAAATAATCCACTACTATTCAATTCGATATAAATTTTGGAAATTTTTTTATTCAAAAAAAATAATACCTTTTCAGCCCCCTGAAGAAGCGCGGCGGCAGCGGGATTCCCGTTTTTCTTCGACATCTTTCTCTCTACTGTTACGATCGCTATCGGCGCAAAAAACCACAATCACTGAACACCACAGTCTTCGATCTCGAAACGCTAGATTTGAAATGTTTCGCGACTCCTCTTGGCCTGGCCGTCGCCGTTCCTTCGAATTCGAATTTTATTTTAGCGTATCGTGCGCGACGAACGCCGGGTGGGGAGAGCGCTCCGTGTGCGGTTTTTTGAGGGAAAGGAAAACGGCGCTTTCTTCGGGCCCCGGAAAACTCCAAATCTTTTTTATAATATTTCGAGTTTTTAATGGAATTTCCGTGGTAAATATTTACAATCTCGTTGTAGTTATAGCAAGCAATTGGTAGCGCTTCTATTTATATCAACTTGCGACGATTCGATTAGTAATGGTGCCGAATATATCGATATCTACTTGGTTCTTAATCTAGGTGCTTTAGATAACTTATTAATTCTTGGATTCGTACAGGAAATACCTGCGGGTGTGTACGTAATAGAATTGCACTCACTAGGTCATCATAATATTTGAACTTGAAATATATTTCCAGCGGGGAAAATGCGTTTATAATTAATTAATGAAATTGTTATTTCGTACTCTAAAAGTAACGGCTTCGAAAACAAATTGGAGCGAAAATAGTTTTTGATATATACGCGAAAAACAAAAAGACACTGCAGTATTTGATGTTTATTTATAAATTTCTATACAACATAATAAAGTCGTATAATATGCAATGAAGGAGCTTTGAAATGTTAAAAATACAACTGTTTTTGCGCAATATTTTGTTATTTATTTTCGGTTGGACGCGTTCCAAAGGTGTAAAATAGTACAATAATTTTTTTATTGGTTTTAAAAAAAATTGTTGTCATCGGTATTTTATAATTTAACGTTATTTTATCACAGCTTGGATTTTTATTATTATTAGGGAAACTATAAGAACTATTTAATTAGTATAGATAATCGCTTTTTAAACAGTTAATTTCATTAAATTAACCATAAACAATTCCTCTTTTTCCTGCATTTGAAATTTCCCCAACAAATTCGATTTGTATTTACGTAGGTACTTTATTAGGAAGTTAAAATACTAATTTCTCAGAAATTTAAAATTTGACAAACAGTATATTATACATATATATATTTTTTAAATGAATTCCACACTTTATTGCTAATAATATTTACTAATTTCCTGAAACAATAAAAAATATACAGGTACTAATAAACATCTAATCATCATTATGTCCACAGAATATTGACCCGACCTAAAGAATAAATTTTGTTTATGTAAAAATTTACAGATTATAGTTAAAGTTAAAAGTATCGTTTTATTGTAAGAATTCCCATCAGTCAATAAAATGTAGTTCATTAACTAAATCTCCAACTTTGTTTACACAAATATATAATCAGCAATCAATAACCATCCAATTTTTACTGACTCACTGATTTATCGATAGGTAAATTTCCCCATTACACACACGTATGCCGAAGAAATCAATATCACCGAACTTTGGAGCTATAGTTAATTGAAAACGATAATTATTAATTGATCTAATCGGCATGCAAATTGGATATTTTCGTCATAAAAATATTCTTCTATCGCCTTTCATTATGTACGAGTTCCCGGTAAAAAAATTGCGAACATAATCGAGATATTAAACAGCCATTATTATTAATATCTTTGCGATTAAAGTCGAATTGGAATAGTTTCAACTGCTTTTGTCTAGAATCATCCGGTGGCAGAAACATGATTGATGAATGATGAATGAGTTAATTACACGCAATCGCATTTTGTTTTGCAAGAAATTTAATTGCAATTAATTAATGTGAATCGAAGGATTTTAATCAGAAGCCGCATACTAGCCGGTTTTCCAGCTAAATTTCACTCGAAGATAATAATAAAATTCCACGTTGGAAAAACTTTCCTAATGTATGCTCGATATGTAACAGTTAATTTCCATATAGGACGTACAAAAAATTGTTAAAAATGTCATCATTGCCATATTTAAACAATCACGATCGTAAACATGAAAAATGTGAAATTCCACCTGAAACGCCATAAATCTCTAACCATAAACAAGGCAGATAAACACACAGCATCCATAAATAGCTCTAAATTAGGTATACCTAGTATCGCAAAAATATTTTCAAACTAATTAATCATTAAATCAACAATTAGGCACAACATAAATCCGACACTGTAATTTTTCGCCAGCGTCAAAAAGGAAATATTAATCAGAGCCGAAATCAGCCATCAAGGCTATGTGAGCAAGTACGTTTGGAAATGCAGAAATTACATTGGAATAATCTAATATATCCCACAGCATTTTATCAAATGGAAAGTGTCAAATGACTAGCACAAGTCGAATAGTTTTAAATCACCTATGCTATTCATTAGCATAACTACGATAAAAAAATGTATGTAAGTACTTAATGGAATAATATTATTCTTCAAATGGTATAAAGAATGTTATAGAGTTGAAGCACCCTGTATAGTTTCGAGTGCAATTTGCGGAGAGTCTTTTGTGCAGATATTATTGATCCTTATTTCGCGGAACTCCGTCTCACCCTCGAGCATGCAAGAAAGTAATAGGGGAGGAAGTCGAATGAGGTACAGGGAAGTACCTTTTTTTTCCTATTTTTTTGTGGATTTAGAAGTGGAATTTAGCACGCGAACTAGGGGAGATTAAATTAGTTGATAGGAAAACGTTTTATATTGAATGGAAAGCTAAAACTTTTAGAATTTATTCGCCAAGATTTTCTTGTTTATCTACTTGTAGTCGTATCGATTCTAGCGAATCCAGTAGGAAGAGAATCCCGTAGGTGGAGAGGAAATTGATTCAAGCGACGAATATGTATTCGCCTGGACCGACGCCAATGTTCTTGTTTACGTGAAAAAATCACATCGAACCGAATATCCCGTACAAACACGTAACGTTGTTAGATAAACAAATTTATTCGTTATCACCTCCGCCGCTAAGCGGGTTTCAGCGGCATTAAACAAATAAAATTCAATTTTCCGTTGTTATCCGAAGAAAAATGTTTTTATCCTACACCCGTCACGATTCCCGCTGCATTGTTTTCGTTATCACCAATTCATATTCCACTGTAATCACAGCTCTATAACTAATCGAAATTTTTCCTACTCTTTGGGTACAGTACAGCGAGCGTAGCTGGAAACGTAACTTGCGCGACTTTTGAACGATATGTGAAATCTATCCTACTCTCTAATGCAAAAATTAGTATTAAATTTATACGATAATACAATGGTGTTTATTGAGTGTGATAAATCAGAACACATTACAAAATCTGCGACACTCTGTCGCTCTATTATTAGATCAAAATAAGTGCGCTAATTTTGATTTCGACATAAACGAAATGGACGCACGTGGCATTTACAGCGTAACTTTAACGCGCATATACCGAAAAATCACTAAATCCACAGATTATTTAGAAAAATCATGTAGTAGCCGATTCGGAATAATATAGAGGATAGTCGTAAAAATTCGCTTATTTATATTCTAAATGCACTTCGCGATGTGATTGATGGTTATCTCTAAAGCGATGGAGTTTAATTTGCGAAATAATTGACAATAAAATTTTATAGCAGCCGATTTAGTTAAGGATGAATGTTAGGAAGCGGCACCCCGTGAGAAGAAATCGCTCCGAACGCGCAATTTAGCGTTTGGAGAGCTTCTTTTTGGCACTCTCGTGACGCACGAGCTTATTTTTAGATAAACAAAGCACATCCTAATAAATATTTAACCCGTTCAGTGTTCATGTGTCTTTCAATAGTAAAATTGCTACTGTTTGAGCACGTTATTTCTCATAGTATTGTTACGTTATTAAAGAAAACGCAATATGGATAAGTACAAAATTAAATTCTTACCTATAGAGGAGCCAATGAATCAACTGATGCGTGATCAATAATAATCGCTATGGTGATTTCTCTTGAAATAGTCAATGTTATCAATAATAACCAATGATAAATATTAATTTATTTAATCTACAGATTACCCCTCAGCAACTTTAGCGACAAAGTTCAACAACATCCCTTTTGTACTTATATAAGAGTTGAAAGTTCTGACACTCTTATTACACATTTACATTATTATCAATCAGCTGACTATGATTTACCATGATCTGACACTTCATTAAAGCATAGTCATAGTTAACTACGATTTATCTAACTCTATGTCATGTAAACTACGTCATAGTTTGTTGTGTATGACTTGGAGTGTCTGTTCGATTTTCCAAGGGTTTCCTCCAGCATGTTATTCGATTCAACCTTGTGCTATAAACTTGAGTTGAAAGAAGAGGAGGCGCATTTTTGGTATTCGATGACGTCAAGCGTCGCCGTCGCGGCGTCTCCGAATCCTCCAAATAGCCAGACTGAGCGGCTCTTCGTTCGGAAACAAAAAGCCATATATTTCAAAAAATGGGGTTTTTAATCGATGAGAAATCTCGCGAATGCAGATTGCGGATTACCAGAGAAAAAAATTAAAATGTTTAAACTAATAAAATGTATAATTGAATCGAAACCGATTCGGGTTTATGTATATGTATATCGAGTGTAATAATGATTATCGTAAAATTGAGATTAAAGTAATTCATAAGAGATTTTATGTCGCTGATAAAAATTATGTTGTTGTTGCATTGTGATTAAGTGTGTTTATGGCGTTCGGCGAAAAGGGTCGTAAAATAGCGGAGGAAAATTACGGAATTTACCTATTAAAAATGCAACTAAACACAATTGAAACCGATCTAAAAATAAGATATTTATTGATGATTAATAATTTCATTGTAGACGAAAATAAATTCGACTTAATTTTTTCGACGATTAGCTCAATTGGTGGTGTGCGTGCCAAAATTAGGATAAATTGATCTACATCGAAATGCGTTCATCAAGTACAATTAAAGACGGTTTCAAAGGCTCTTTTTTTAGTTGAATTACTTCATTAGCTTCTGTACATCCAACACGATCATTATTATGCCTTAAATTGATACCATGTGTTTGTTCTAGAGGAATTATTTGTAAACAATTTCAATTATTAAATATCACTTAATCAATAATAATCATCCAATTCTAGTGACTTTTAAGTGACAGAGGTTTTAGTGATTTTTTTAAATGGCGCCTGCACTATTTTAGTAAACATAAACAAACATTGCAACAAAGTTATTTCAGCAGGTCGATTATATTTAGGTGGAAAATATTTACAACAAAAAAAGTTTGGAAACCGAACGATCAATCATCGTGGTAATATGGAAGAATATTGCCAAACATATTTCGAAAGCGTTTATTTTCGGATAGTAGGATACCTTTTACTTTGTAGTTTTCCACAAAATTAAAAAATTAATC